GGGGGGGAGGGGGGTTCTGTATTGATATTGAACAAAAATAATTAAAAATGGGAATCCTATCGACAGGGGTTTTAAAACGTGCCACTATTGTTGACGGAGGGACGGACAGACAGACGGACAAGTGAGTGATTGCAAAAGCTCACCATGTTAGCTAAATATTACACGGCCTACTTCGGTATGGGTTTATAGATGTATTTCTAAGGATTAAAGCCCAGGATTCAATGAATTGCTATGCATATGATTCGAAACACGTTTCTTGTTTCCAGACTTTGAATTTAGGGTGGCAGAGCGAATTCAACGTCCACGACACACCGTAATGAATGGATTAAATAATGAAATATTCATTGTGCTACAAGTAGCGAATGGCTGGCTGACGACTGCCGGATTAATCTAGAACTTTCACCGGATGATCTATTTGCGAATTTCATTGGTGTCTACTTCATTTGGAATTCCTAGTTTTGGAACAGAAAAGCATTCCAAGTGATATTCGACTCAATTAATGCAAAGGTGCAAATAATACTAACAGTATTACAAACATGAGTTTTCTCTTGGAAGCCTATTTTACAAATAACAACGAATCGACGTGTTTTTCAAATACTTTATTTTATAGCTAATGTTTTTTCCAAATTGAATAACAAAATTTGTATAAAATGTATCTTCAACAAAAAATGACCACCATCAAATTCAGGGGGTTGTATATTAAAGAGATAACTACTTTATGCTCCTTGAAAAATAACACCTTTTACCATGTAAGTATCTATGTACAGTGTCAAAACATAACTCAATATGTTGAAAATAGTATATTACAGTACATAAACAGACGAGCCAACCTTCCATTTTCCGTAAAAAAACTAACTACCATTTTGTATCCTCCCGCATCGTATTTCTAATAAAATCTACCGACATATTTTTTTCTATAAAAATCTGTTTAGTTTTATGAAAATGGCTGTAAAATCTCCCGTATTTTTGCTGAAATCTAACGTAAAATCGGAGTCACACTTCTTTCTTTTTCTCGGTTTTAGGGCCAGGAAAACAAACTGAGCGAACAAGCCCTCGTCATACTTGTTCTGGGTCAACTTACATGATGTATACGCAGTCAAATAGGCCTAATTAGCCACATTGTGAAATGATTTATATTACAAAATGTTGACATTGTTTAAGAAAAAGTAGTGAAACAAAACACCAATCTCATTAATGAATAGGCCATCAATTATTTTTCTACAATTTCTGAGGGACGTTACCAAAAAGTGCACGAGCCAATAACACAAAAGTGTACACTTTCCTCTCCATTCAACAAATGATTACACCATCAACAATTGGCCCTCCTCATTCATTGCTATGCCCATTCCCTTCATCGAATACATTAATTAGACCACCACTGAATCATGATAAAGCAAACACTATGATTGTACATTAATTACAAAAAATCTATTGAATTCTTAGCCATAACCCCAGGCATCAGCATACAAATTTTGAACCATATCGGTCCACTGGTATTTGAGTTCATCTGGAAGATTCTTCTTGAACAGAGCTACATTGTCCCTAGGAAGCAACATATGAAATAAGGACCAAATCCGTCGACTAGTATTTGAGTTATCAAAGGTTGTATTTTTGTCCGAAAAATGGCGGCTATTTTTAAATTCAGCTGCTATCTTGAAAATTCTTTCTCGAATGGAGCTAATATGTCCCTAAGCATCAGCATATTAAGTTTAAACCAAATTCGTTCACTGGTATTTGAGTTATCAAAGATAATGTATTTTTATTCCACGCATACTGTACTCAATACAGCAAATAAAATTATCTGCCCATTCCCAAGTGCAACAGATATTTGAAATGCTCCCTTTCACCATTTCAAAAGAATACTGACACATTGTAGGCTTACATTTCATATTTCTACATTCTTGAATTTCTTGGATAGTGACCATCCTAAAGCATTAAAAGCACAGATGTTGTTTCCCTATTTGTGTCAGTGGAAGTATGGTTTTTATGTCTATGTTAATCATACTATTGGATTTCATCTGACTTAAGTTAATATGCAGTATTGGAACATGCAACAAAATATAATTTACAATATCAAACTTCTAATGAAAATAAATAAAAAATTACTTCCGTCACAAAATATGATGATCTTTATCAATCATACTTATTGTGGTCCATTGTGTTGCATAAAATAATCAATAAATAGCAAAATATACATTTCCTGTTCAGTAGAGACACTAATTATTGCAATATTTGACAAGAGTAAACGTGAATACACAGTGGAAGACTCGGAGACAAAACATATAAAATGCATAATATTAAAATGCACATGTACTATTCATATTAACAGTACATGTCTCTTCAAGGCAGAATCAAAACTAGTGAGCAAGCTTTCTAAAAATAGCTGTAATTTGGGATATTTTTTAGTTCACATCATTCCTTTGCTTCTAAAACATGTAATAAAAAGATTAAGACATTTATTATGTGGGAAATTTTGAATATTTTGCACTTTGAATCTTAAATAACTTAGCTTGATAAGATGCCATGGGATATAATATATTAGAGAATAAAGTACATTGGTAGTTAAATTACACGTCGCTTGCAATTTGGCATCTCATACAGTATGATTCTGCCTTTAATACATTCATGACATTCACAATCATTCATAATGAAATAATCCACTGAATAAGTATCATAATCTTATGATAAGAACTAAAGTAGTCTTGCATCAAGCTTCTGTTGTCCACCCACCATACATTTATCCTCGAATGAAGAAATTCAAGATTTACCTCATGTCTAATAGTTTTAGGGAGAGAAGGTTCCACAGACTTGATGCAGGGAGTAACAACTCCTAAATATACAAAGGAATGCACCATACTGGTGACAACTCTCTAAATATACAAATGAATGAACTCCCTAAATATACAAAGGAATGCACCATACTGGTGACAACTCACTAAAAAATATACAAAAGAATGCACCATACTAGTGACAACTCCCATACAAAGTAATGCACCATACTGGTAACAACTCCCTAAATATACAAAGGAATGCACCATACTGGTGACAACTCCCTAAATATACAAAGGAATGCACCATACTGGTGACAACTCCCTAAATATACAAAGGAATGCACCATACTGGTGACAACTCCCTAAATATACAAAGGAATGGACCATACTGGTGACAACTCCCTAAATATACAAAGGAATGGACCATTCTTGTGACAACCCCCTAACTATATAAAGGAAAGCACCATACTGGTGACAACTCCCTAAATACACAAAGGAATGGACCATTCTTGTGACAACCCCCTAACTATATATTGGAATGCACCATAATGCAAACCTTTCCCAAAATAATACAGGAGATTTTCCACAATCAATTTTTTATTTTGGGTGTGAAAATAATTTCAATAATCAACTATGTGCTAGGGCCACAGAATACTGACCTGGTTCCTTATGGGAACCTTTATACAAATTGTTTTCAACAAGAAAATTCTTCAAAATCAACAAAATAATGGAATGTAATCATACATTTAAAAAAAAAACTATCCTATTGATCTCTTCCATCTGCATATTACCCAATATGGCAGGTACAAAATAAATACAATCATTATCCATTACCATAATTTGTAAATGTAAAAAAAGTGTAAACATATATTATGTATGTACATACTCTACTTCCACAGGTACAGGGTGACCCAAAATGCATGCCTCTTGTTTTGAAATAACATAAATTGTTATGAAATCTTCTTCAATGATCTTTTGTTAAGTAATTAATGGAGCAACTCAGTATTCTTAATTTGTATCTATGACTAAGGTTTAGAGAAACCACAGTTTTGTATAGGTATGGCGGTATGCTCTCGTGATGCTAAATTTATAAATACAATTTCCAGAAATTAGAATCTCTGTCTTAGCTGTTATTTGAACCATTTCTCTTTGCTTTTCACATATTATCCATCATAAACTGTATGTCCTATTACATATCTTCTTGCAGACTTGGTCAATTAGAATAAACAGACTTAATTGCCTATTAGATATAACAGACAAATACACATTTCTGAAATTGCATTTTCAATGATTTCGCAAGAGAGCATGCCTTTCCAGAAATATGATAAGTAATAAGTATACATTTTTTTATTCTATTGAAAACTCTATTCACATAATTGCACTTAATCCAACCATAACTAAGTTATTCCAAAATAAAAAATTCATTTTTGGGGTCACCCTGCACTGCATATTACTCGGAATGTTAAACCAACTATCCCCACTGTATAGTATTATGCTGCATATTATGATTCAAACACCTGCTAGCAGCAACTTTTACTGTTTTATTCATAATGCTTTGTGAACATATTGGTATACTTATCTAATCCATTATTCATTTATTTATTACTGTAACCTTGGTTACAATCTCTAATTTTAGCTGCTGTTTTGAAAATTAGTGAAATGTATGTATATCATATCATGCATGGCAGACAGAGCTAGGCTTTTAGCATGTTTAGAATTTGGTGCAAAACAACCATTGTTATTTGCATAATGTGAAACATCATGTAGTTTACCTTCAAGTAAAACAGTTTTAGTTGGAAAATCATAGCATTGATTGAAATGAACACAAGTAAGTCAATGATATGCTGTCAGCCCTTTTTAAAGAATACTTACTGCTCTGACAATGAATTTATCAAAAATTAAATGCACAGCAAAATCATTTTCATGCATATACCAATAACCAATAAATTAACACACTGGAATGCTTTTAAGCTGATTGGCTGAGACACACTTGGCATATTTAAATATACAATCATGTACTAAACAGCTTAACTGAGTAAGAACATATAAGATGATTGTGCAGCTCAGGGGCGTTTCCAGCTTTCAGTCAGGGGGGGTTGCGATTGCCCAAAAATTTCTGTTTTCAGTCAAGGGAGTTGCGATTGTGGGATATACAGATGATTGTGCAGCTCAGGGGTGTAGCAAGCCAAAAAATAATTATTTTGAATTTCACAAAAATTGATGCAATTTCCTTCAAAATTGAGCTAGGAACTTCATGCACCAAAAAAGCATTTTAAAGCTCTTTTCTTCTTATATCGATATCACCCATCGCAACCCCCCCCCCCACTGGCTACGCCTATGCAGCTTTACTGATGTGAAATATAATCTGCCAAATGTCAAAAATCAAAAAATTGCAAAATCAAACAAGCATCAATTAACCCAACTTACAGTAGCATGATAATCTTCAAATACAATGAATATATTTCAACAAAAACTGAAATATTTCCTAGCGAGAGTCCTGTCATGCAACTAAATATTAATCAACATGGGCTTTCAAGATAAATTAAGCCCATGGTATTAATATAATCTGATCCATTTACGGATTAATAGTTAGTGTGAAATAATGGATTTTGACAAATCTGCATATTTTTATGCTCATACTCATCTGCTAAAAGCATCATTTGGAGAATAGGTCACTGCACTCTATTATACAGTTACAGTTATATGTAATGCTGATTGATTGGCACTACCTTCATGTCAGATCTTTTCTCCAAAGACACCATCTATTTTATATAAGGTGAATCAAATCTTTTGTTTTTCTTGGATGTGTCATCATGAAGTGCTATCTCCAACCAATCGTCCTCAAACATGGCAGATGTATCACTATTTTCATCCTCATTTTGCCAGGAACTTAGTCTCTTGTAGCGTACAACACTTTCTGGGTGTTTACAACATTTTTGTACGGCAATAAACACCAAACACCACACAATAGCTATGATTGCAGAACCATCATACAACACCCTGTAGCCATAGTGATCATACACCAAACCGGATAGTAGACTCCCAAGCGCATATCCAAATCCGGTATATACAGCATGTAGGCTACCATGAATGTTGGATGATAGTGACGGATGATCTTCAAACCCCTGGTATGAATTCACAGCAGCCCAAAGTGCCGTAAATGAGAGGGAATGTAGGAGTTCAATAGGAAGGATAGCCCAGGGGTTCCAAAGGAAGGAATAATAGATAAACCTACCACTTAATGCAACCATTGCTATTGCCACTACAGCTGTGTTGGAGAGTTTCCTTACAAGACCTTTACTAATGAAGAGTAGAGGAATCTCAGAGAGGGCTGCCACCGATATTGCAAGTCCCATTTGTAGTACGCTGCCACCTATATCCTCCACCAACCATAAAAGCAGGTTGTTAATCCCAGCGAAGAGAGCACCAACAATGAATACAGTCAATACATAGAATGCGCTATGATATGTGCCAAACAACACTTTGAAAGCTTTCCATTGCTTGTGACGAACAACCTCCTTCTTTGCTTGGTGTATTGGGTAGACAAACGCCACAATGAAGGCAACACCAGCTATAATGCCAAACACAAAGAAATGTAGCATAAAACTGTTCATATGGAATACACATCCACTTGTTCCATTCACTATTGATGCAATCATGGAAGCAAACAGGGCAACAGCCAATGATGAGTACACGCTATATTGGCCAAATTTTTCCAAAGAGTCAGCACAGTCGAGAAAATCATATAATGCTCCATCAGCAATTTTGTTGACAGGACATGAGAGAAGCTCCCCAAGAATGACAAGGAACAGCACCAGGATGAAGGCCTTGTATTTTGACTGGTTTACTTTATCTTGCAAACTCCTAAACTTGGCTTGGAATGTATCAATCAGATTTTCGATTCCTCGTCTCTTACGATTTCCATTGCCGTAATTATTTTTCCTTATATTCTGTAAGAGCTCTAGATTATTGTTAGTGTCCAGCTTCTCATAATAACTAATCAACTCTCTTACTTGTTTGAGACTTAGATCGGAATCTTCAATATCATCCTGAGTTATGCCTATTTCTCTAAGCTTGGACTTCTCCCAATGTTGTAATTGATTCCATACTATGGAGGCTTTATATTTCTTCGAGGCAGAAGATTGACTGATTCTTGGTTCAGACTGTTCTCCTTTTTCAGCAATTCTATTTTTCTGAGATTCTCCACTCTTGCCACTCACAATATGTCCATATTTATCATATTTGGGATTAATTCCATCTTCTTCATTCTTGGAATATTTGCCATAGGAATTTCTATTTGTAGAGCTTGGTATTGGGACTCCTTTAACATGTTTATCAGTCAAGTCTTTATCAGTCTTAGGGTAACTATCAGGATCAAGTCCATCATTCCCAAAAGGAAGTAGAGGAGACAGTCCCCCGTTTGGATTTCTATTAAAAAAATCTGTAAGGCTTGGAAGAGTATCATCCTTTTTCTGATGTTGCTTATCATCTGCATCAAATATAGCATTGGGACTGGGAGTGGTCCTGTCTGATTTTTCAGGTAATGGCCTTGGGGAAGTTATAGGCTTTACTATGTCAGCAATATTGTTTGAAGGCACAGTTTTTGGTACATTGGAAGTGTACAAGGTGCTAGTGCTAGTAAGCACAGATGTCGTGCTAGTTGTGGTTGTGGAAGACGATGTGAAGGCACTGGTTCTGTTTGTAGTCTCACCAGTGGATGACTCTGGTGTCGTAGAAGTTGAGACGGTTTTAGATATTGAGACAGTATTGGTTGTAAGTTGAATTGTTCCATTCTGAATAGTGGTTAAAGGCAAAGTTGTTAGTCCACTATGTATGGGTGGGAATGTTGCATTGAGAGACGCGCCACATTGAAGTACATTTGTTTCATCGCCTGCAGGGACCAATAGAAGACTAAGATTTGCAGCAATCATAAAGAATAGAGAAAATAGGAGAACAAATCTTTGCTTGTTGAACCGACTCACGCAGGACATCCACATTGGTGTTGAAATAAGTCCAGAAAATGCTTTTGCTGCACATATTATCCCAACCTGTGTAGCTGTCAGCCCTAACTGTCGATAATACAGTGTAAGGAATGGAAACAAACACGCCTTCGCTCCTGACAACAGGAAATGAAATGCATTGGATATAGACAATGCCTTCATCACGTTCACTTGCTCAGACTTTGGCATTTTCATATAAACAATTCCTCCCTTGTCTGAGAGCCCAGTCCTTGATATTTCAATGCGCAGGTTGTTGCTGTTCATTGATGAAACGTAAGTTCTTTGGTCTCCCACTGTGTTTTATGTATGATGCCTCACTAGGCTTGGTCATGGTGACAGACCTGAAAAACAAAATTCTTGTTTTATCATTTCATATAACAATCTTCATAGATATTTTATTCTTAAATACTTGTTGAAATTAAAGTACATGTATTTCATTATGTTTTAGATTCCCAGTATAAAAAAATTGCATTGCCAATTAGAAAGCCACTAAAACTGAACATTAAAAACAGTTCCTGAAGATACTGTAGAGGAGGGAAAATATCGCAACAGATTTCGGACAGTCATATGTTGGATTTTAACTATTTTCTCAGGATTTGCATATGTTAGGCCAATGCATTATCACCAGGAAAAGCACTCATAGAGATGATAAAAAAATAATTTTGACTCTGAGACAGGGAAGATGCAAACAACCCGCCAACATGTTTTTTCTGAAATGTTGTCCTGATTTTCAACCCCTTCCACCCCTGCTTTTTCAATTTTTGTTGTATCAATATGTTGCGTTTTGACACACAATTAAACCCTTTAAGGGATAAGTGATTCCTCCAGGAGTTTTAAAGATATCCATTATGGGTGACCAAAATTAGCTGTAAGCAATGGATTGCATGAGTTTTCCCTATGGGAAAAAAACATAGGAAATATTGTTTTCCACTTTATCGAAGAGGAATTACTCATTCCTTTGAAGGGGTTAACTGTGGCTAAAAACGCAACATATTGATGCAACAATAAGATAGACAGACATGTAGATGTACTCAGAGCTGTCAAGTGTCCCGCGAATGGCGGGATTATCCCGCGAATTTGATCAAAATTAGGCTAATTCGCGTGTCCCGCATTGTCCCGCGAAGTCCCGCAAAATGTGGCTTTGACCTCCGCGAATTTCCGAAATTGTTGCAATCCCCTATATTTTGATTATCTTATCTTATATAAGAAGCTAAGTTTTTGCACTTTTGAGGAGTAAAGTTTACGTAATTTTAAGTACCTAGCATGCTGTTGTTTGGTATCAAAATAAAGGGGAAGGGATCAACTTTCATTTTAATTACGAAAATAGGGATGTAGGTCACAAATAGTTCCAACGTTGGCCTTTTTACTACCCGTGTGGCCTTCATCTCAGAACTGAACAAATGTTAGCAAACGCGAGTTACAATAAATGGACGCTGATATCTAGAAAGGGTTTGTATAAAAAACCGGGTACCGGGTAGTAAATCCTCCATGCTGGGTTCAAACTTGGTAACCGGTACCCGGTCAAAAAAAAACGGGTACCCTAAAAACGAAAAATACGAATATATAACATAATTAGATTATGAGAAAACGTGTTAGATTTGTTTTGAATTTGCAAAAATGTATGTAACATGATTCAAAATTGAGCTAGAAGCTTCAAATAAAAAGCATATTTTAAGGCACTTTTGTTCCTCTATCGTAATGGCCATATTTTCATTGGTTATGGGGGGGGGGTGCACCATCGCACCCTCTCCTGGCTACGCCTATGACATTGTAAGACACAACAATTTACAATTCAGTGGACATTTTGTCATAAATTGGGATCACTTAATTATGATTAATAATCAAAATCTTACACGTTGCATCATGTAAATTAACACACGTCACCTCTCTGCTAAAGCAACGATAGCTATTTACAGATTTAAATCATAATCAAAACAATTCACGTACCAACATACGAACTATTGAAAATAGAGTAAGATTGATTTGTCTTGTTTTTCAAATCGTCTTACAATGTCATTGGCGTAGCCAGGAGGGGGTGCGATCGCACCCCCCCCCCCCCCTTCATTACCAATGGAAATTTGACCAAGATGATAGAGGAAGAAAAGAGCCTTAAAATGCTTTTTATTTGAAGCTTCTAGCTCAATTTTGAAGGAAGTTACATACATTTTTGTAAATTCAAAACAAATCTTACACGTTTTCTAATGATCTAATTATGTTGTGTATTCGTATATTTCGTCTTTTGGTTTTTTTCGACCGGGTACCAAGTTTGAACCCAGCATGGAGGATTTACTACCCGGTACCCGGTTTTTTATACAAACCCTATCTAGAAAATTAACCTCATTCTCTATAATTTGATGTAGATTAATCGAACCCCTATATCATGGGCTTTCAATTGAAAGCCCATGCCTACAGTATATGAATAGGTACATTTTAATATGTAACATTATGGGGGTTTGCGTGCGTTTCATAGTTGGTCACGACGCCAGAAGTGCAAAGTATTGTTCCGAATTTTTGAATTTCGTGTTAGATTACGGTAATCACACCTGAAGCATGGTTTTTGTTTTTGATAAATTACAATAAAGTTTAATAATATTCCTATGCGTATTTTGTGAAATTGTGTTGACGTTTATTTAAGTTACAATGTAACGGTGCATTATATTTGATTAATCAGTATCTGAAAGTTTGATTTAAGTACTTCTACACGCTTTTACATTAGTCCCAATCACGCAAATCCCTTGAATGTCCCGGGACATCCTGCAAATTTAGGTGGATGTCCCGCGAAATCCCGCAAATTTAGGGCACTTTGTCTAAAAAATCTGTCCCTCTATGAAGTTTTTGGTGGTACACCTGTTAACTGTCCCGCAATTAGGGTGTTTGTCCCTCGAATGGTCCCGCGAAATCCAGCGAATTTGATAAAAAAAAATCTCCTATTAGCGCAATCACGCAAATCCCTTAAATGTCCCGCAAAATCCCGCGAATTTAGTAGATGTCCCGCAAAATCCCGCGAATTTTGGGCACTGGGTCTAAAAAATCTGTCCCGCGAGAAAATCTTTAGGGGTTGACAGTACTGTGTACTTAAGGACAGAGCAGTTCTTTAATCCCCCAAACTTCGGAATAATGATCTTATGCTAAATATAAAATAAATTAGCCTAAGCCACCCCCATTTTTCAATTCAGGATTTGTATCGTGAGTTTTGGTCTTATTACCCTAAATACCTCATAAAAAAATTCAAAACAATCAAGTAATGTAGTGATCAAAACATTACTAAATCTTTTGGATCGCTACAGATCTATAATCGATGGTTGTTTTCTGCGATGGTGATTTCTACTAGATGTCTTCAAGATTTGTTTAATATTACAGACGTGTAAAGGGATATACAGAAATATGTTTCTTTGTTTTGGCGTTTGGTTTATTGGTAGATTAGGCTAGTTGGTTGCTTGGTAGGTTGTTTGTATGATTGGTTGTATGACTGGTACATTAAGTTGAGGGCAGTTGAGCGTTTTGAGGCATAAAATGAAAAAAAATTCTAACCTTGCTAGGAATGTTAGGTACCTGGTCACCCAGCTACCGTTGTTTTACAATAACCCTACAGTGGGGGACATAAAGAATTACAAAAGCTATGGAAATTACATGCTGTCGCACATGTTATAAATTTTTACCTCAGTGTATTCAGTGCTCTATTTTCTCAGTCCTAGTAATTCCAGATATAGTGGAATTCGTGTCCATAATGACAAATAAGAACTTAAAAATTTGAAGTGGAATTCACATGTTAATGCCGACTCTTCAAATGTTGAGGTGATTTTGGAGCCCGATTGCACTGCAATGTGGATTGGCTCCCAGAATGCAACATGACACGTGTCAGCTTTCAAAATGCTGTTTCGCCATTTTGAAATCTGTCACGAGTAAATAAGGTTACCTGATGTTGCATTCTGGGAGACAATCCTCCTTGGATCACAAACATGGCGATTCATGAAAACATTCATTCGATTTGGTAGGGATTTATCCATCATTTGCAGGTATGAAGCTTTGGATTCTTTTATTGTGCTACTAAAAGTGAATGGGAATTATTTTTCTATCGCTTGGGAGAGTTTGAGACACTAAACTTAGAATTTAGCTCATTGTGACAACTTTTGAGGGTTGAGATCTATTTTTGTCCATCACTTTAGTTTACATGTACATGTAGAGTCCATTTCACTGCTTCATTTCGTCAGTAGAACGGCAAATATAAGAAATTGGGAGACCATTGTGCAATAATATACGTAAAGGCTAGAGTACCGACAATTGTCGGTACTCTAGACTCTGATGTGGTGGCACGCTAGAGGACCGACAAATAAATTGTCGGTGCGGCAGATATGCTGTGTTTACACGCTAGAGGACCGACAAATATTGATTTTCGAATTTTCTGGCGCATGCGCAATGGGCGGGGGATATTTCAGATATCATACGGATATTTTGGGAACAAGTGCAAAACCCGGGGAGGGCATTAGCCCCGGCTACCCGGGGATTACCAAACCCAGTCAAAAAATGGTAGCCCGGGAACAGGGAATGGTAGTAAACGTTGAAAACCCAATAAAAAACATGAACAAGTAAGACGTTAGAGAGCTATTAATGCAGAGTAAACGGCTATATATATTCGTAACAGACAGGATATTTCTCCTGTGCCGATCACGCGTAGAAAGGGGCGTTTGCTACCCATTAGATAGAAGAAAATAGCTAGAATGTTTTTTATTTGAAGCTTATCGTATGGTATGAGGTTCCATATCCATCCGCCAATATAGTCCGCCTATATAGTCCATTTAAAAACCTGTGGTATCGTTCTAAATAACCCATAGTTGGCTTCTAGGGTACCTAGTATGCCACTATTTGGTATCAAAATAAAGAGGAGTTCAACTTTAATTTGAATTACGAAAATAGCGATGAAGGTCAAAATAGTTCCGAACGTGAGCATGTTTACTACGCGTTTGCCCGTCATATCAGAATTGAGGAAGTGGTAGCAAACGCGAGTTACAATAAACAGACGCTGATATCTCAAAAAGTAACCTGACTCCCTATAATTTGATGTAGGTCAATCGAACCCCTATATGGACAGGTGCATTTTGATATATAACACTATGGGGGGTAAGCGTTTCATAGTTGGTCACGAACGCCATAAGTGCAAAGTATTGTTATGAATTTTCGAATTTGGTGTTGGATTACGGTACTCATACCTTATAGCACAATTTTTGATGGAAGTTGCATTTGGCTCCCTTAGTTAATGGCCACGATTCAATCTCGCATGAGAGAGCTACCAAACGCAAAGTAAACAGTGATATATTCCAAATGAGATATTTCTCCTGTGCCATGGCGTATAGTAAGGGTAGAGGTCGACGGGGGCGAAAGCATCCCCTCCCCTAAAGTATATATCGACCCATTTGATAGAACAAGAAAAGAGCTTTAAAATGTTTTTTAATTGAAGCTTGTAGGACAATTTTGATGGAAGTTGAATCAATTTTTGTCGAAATAAATTATGGCTCACTACAAGTTAATGCCTGTACGATTCCATACTGCAAAAGAAGCACTATGCCCCCCCCCCCCTCAAAAGAAAAAAGTAGGTCCTGCCGCGATTCGAACTCGGGACCGAGTGTTTTAAAGTCGTGCTCGCTAACCACTAGACTACAAGTGATGAGGTTATTTCAAGAAGTAAAAGTAGTGGATTTATTTATGAAATTGTCGGCTCTCTAGCAAAAACACGTAGCAGCCACTTGCGTACCGACAATTGTCGGTTCTCTATCTGGCACTACTAGGTGACGATAGAGTGCCGACAATTGTCGGTACCCCAGCAAATACCCCTGGACAGTCTCCAGTACCGACAATTGTCGGTCCTGGAGCCACTCCGAATAATATATGGAAAAGTATATTCATAATGTACATGAATGACATTTGTATATCTTGGATTGCTTCTAGTTTGGCTTATAAAGTGTGTGGCCTCTTATATTTGGATGTTTCTCTGCCATGTTATTTTCAATAAGATTACATGGCTGAAATTCTTCAAATTACAAGACGGCACAGGCTTATTGCACAAAAAACCAAAAAATCTGAAATATAAAAATGTCATTCATGTACATTATGAATATACTTTTCCATATATTATTGCACAATGGTCTCCCAATTTCTTATTTTTGCCGTTCTACTGACGAAATGAAGCAGTGAAATGGACTCTAAGCAAGCATGCGCAGCAGTTCCAGCCATAACGATTCCAAGGAAGTTGAGCTGAGCGGGGTGATGTTGGCAACAATTTCTACAAACGACTAGATATTACCTTGGTAAAAGTCTAACCAAGGAAGCTGAGCGGGGTGAAAATATTTTGGCAATAATTTCTACAAACAAGTTTGTCCACTGTGATGTTTTGTGTCGACTTCTACACAAAGATAGTACCTTGCATAATATGTAGCTAAATTTCCAATATTCACGGTTGGAAATTAACTTGAAACTACATTTTGGAACTCCATAAACTCTCTATAATAAAAGAAAAATACCTGTTGATTTTTTACATAGCCCATAACAAGTGACGTATGCGATTAACTTTTACGACATAAAATGTGGTAATTATGCGAACGATTGAAAATAAGTTTGTCGTTCGTATCTGATCGATGATACTGTCAATCAAAATGCATCACTAAAAATACATGTAGGTTATTTCTCGGTATAAATGAGTTGTAGAATTTTCTCAGTATTTTTAAAAATACCGAGGTTCTCCCGAGCGAACCGGGAGCGAACATATTCAAACAAGAGGAAAGTGCTACAGACGTTCGTTATTCAAACGGAGTATTACACCATCAGTCGTCCGAAATATAAATATCTTTTACACACGTCTTTTTGTCCTCAATTACGCGTGAGTACTCTATATTTCACATCAAAAATTATTCGTAGGATATTTATTACCAAATTGCTCACCAAAAGTCGTTGGTACACAAGCTGTAAATCTACACTGATAGAGAATTAATTTACAGGGGCGGATCTGGGATTGGGAACAAACAAGGTGGGGGGGGGGGGGGGTGGGCACTGACCTCTGCCAGATTACTTTTTCTTCAGTGGTGTCTAGGCTCAATAAATATACTCAAGGACAAGACACAAGATCTTCGGAAAATTTATTTTTCCTTGATTTTGGAGTCAGTTTACACTTGTCATACCGCAAACGATGTGTACTGTTGTTCGCTTCAAATCCAATCACTAAAGCCACACATCCAAGAAAGCGTCTGTAATAAAAGCTTAAAATAAGCAAGCATTTATTTAATGGAGTGCGTCGGCTATTTCCGTTGTTCAAATGTTTATTCCCGAAGTCAAATTTACTTCTGAGAATGTGACGCCACTCCGGATGACGTCCCCGGGATGACGTCTTATCAGAGATTACCGAGAAGTCCCATGACGTTTCTTTAAACTCCTGTAAAAACAATAACAATGGTTTGTTAGGGTATGTGATCCTTTACTTTCATTGGCTGTTAGTGTTGCGATGTGACGTAATTAGACGAACAACATCGGACACTGCCGGAAATTACCGAAGCTCTCCAAGTTATCTTTACCCTCTGAAAATTTGAAATAAATGTCCCGGGAAAATTTGATTTACAGCGTCAATAATTGATATCACTCAATCACAGGCTGGTATCGAAAAATTTGTCCGCTGTGACGGAGCATGCTATTTTTCATAAAAACACTAAGAATGCTTCACGATTATTTTTTTAACTCATATGTATCGTTATATCAAAGATAATTACTTACTCCATGCAATGGATATATCATTTGCATGTAACCTTCACTTCTGTTTGAAGTCCAATAACGCTAGGAGTAAAATCTATTGAAAACGGCGCCAGAGTATCAAACTCTAAAATGTACCATTTCTTTTTTAACTTTTTAATGGCATGATATAGTGAAATGTGATGACCCACGGAATAGTGCTGAAGTTAAGAACGAATTTTTGTGGAATAACAAGAACATATTAAGGGAGGGTAAGCAAATTTTCAGGAAGGATCTATTTGAAAAACAAATAGTCCAAATACGAGATCTTTTAGACGAAGAGGGCAAATTCTTAAGCCATCGGGATTTCAATCTGAAATTCACGATAAATATTAACTTTCTAGACTATATGGGAATTATATCAGCTATTCCATCGAAGTGGATCTCCTTATTAAAAAGCGACCGCACAATGATAAGTGTATCAAACTATGAGCCCAGATTGGAATCTATCCATATTGCAGGTAAGATTTTCGATATTTCACAGCTGACCACAAAGCTTATTCAGTCATGTATAAATGAAAATAATTTTACTTTATCCAAAAGTGTGCAACAAAGCGCCTCGCAATTCAATGTCTCAGTAAATGACATATGTTCGATGGCTTACAGAGTAACAAAGAACAATTTTTTTCGCGAGCTGCAGTATAAAATCATTAATAATATTTACGCGACAAACCTGTATCTGAAAAGAGTAAAGATAAGGAAAAATGGCACGTGTGACTTTTGTGGGGAGGAAGAAACTGTTCAGCACCGGTTCTGGATTTGCAAAAATGTACAACCTCTCATTAAAAACATGAAAATGCATTGGGAGCCAAAGGGTATAGAATTAAAGGAACAGCACGTAATAGTGGGATATTTTGGGAACTTACTTTTCAAAGAATTCAATTTTGCTATTTTAATTTACAAGTATTATGTGCATACGAAGATTTTTAGAAGAGAACCTATATCATACTTGGGGTATAGGGCGTATCTTTCCGAGGGCTCCAAATTAGATAATTATGATTTCTAACTTTAAATAGCGTTCTATGCTTTATTTTATGGCATGATTTTTCCTCTATATTTATGTGACATTTACAGTATGCATGTGTCTGACTGGGATGTATGAAAGATGAGAGGGTATGGATGGGTAAGAATGCATGGTGTGAAAGGAAGAATGTTTGGAGGTTGCCTTAAAATGTAAAATGTAAGAAGTTTTAAACTGAAATAAAATAAATACTACAAAAAAAACAAAAAAAAACATAATGTTTTCAGCATAACTCTGAATGTATTCATGATATATTAATGCATTGGGTCTTTTTAATTTTTTTATAAAAAATAATATTAATATTTTTTGTCCGCTGTGACGGAGCATTTTCACAGTTCACATTTGCAACTGCTCCGTCACAGCGGACAAAAAAATGAAACATTATTTTTTATAAAAGAATTAAAAAGACCAAAATACATCAACATCTCATTTATGCCTTCATAGTTATGCTGAAACCATGTGTAAATATTATCGTGTCACTATATCGTGCCATTAGAAAGTTAAACAAGAAATGGTACATTTTGAAGTATGATACTTCTTCCCAGCGTAATTGGACTTCAAACAGAAGTGAAAGTTCCCCGCAAATGATATATTTATTGCATGGAGTAAGTAATTGTGTATGGTATAACGAAAGATATGAGTTAAAAAATAAATCGTGAAGTTTTCTTAGTGTTTTTATGAAAAATAGCATGCTCCGTCACAGCGGACAAATATTTCGATACCAGCCTGTGTCAATGTTTGAGCGATGGAAAAGATAAAGGTCAGTACGAGCGTCATATGTTTAGGTGGTCATTTTTTCGATATGCCATTTTTGGTTGGTGTTTTATCTCAGATAAGTTATCTTCTCATTTATTCATTGAGCCAATTTCCAATAGGAGCTAGATCTGGCTCTGGATCTGTGGGGGGGGGGGGCAAATTCAGGTCTGATAAAAAAAACTTCTGCGCTTTTTGCCCCTAAAACTAAAAAGTGGGTCTTAATTTTGAAATTTTGATGCCCATTTTCTTTTAAATTTGGCTTAAAATTAAAAAATAAGGCCTCAAAAGGCCCAGTAATGACCAAAAGGCCTACTTTTTGGGGCTTCAAGGCCTCTTTTGGTCTAAGAATTTTATATGTTTGATGACAAACTGCCCCCTGCCCCCCCAGATCTGCCAGTGATTACTATGAAAATCAGAAATATGTTTTACTTTAGGCCTTACTTATGCATACATGTACATATGATGTACTCAGTACTCTGTTTATATAAACACAAGGCTTGTTCGAAAAATAATATTTCCAATCATAGAATAATCTATGAAATTGTATATTTTGCATGTGAATATTCTTGTAAAGTATCATTTATTTTGATAATGTTTTGATTTATTCCAGAATTCTGCACTGTTGTTACTAGTCTAAGTGAACCATGGCAAGTGGGGGTAGGAAGGACAACAAGAAGAATGAGTCTGACTCTGGTCTCAAAACAGCTGGCATCGTACTGGGTGCAACTGCTGCAACTGCAATTGGAGTAGGGCTGTTATCATGGGGAATGAAGAAGTTATTTAGTGAGGAAAGAGAGCCTGAGACTTCACACTCTTCTGATTATGCCTGGGACGAATCTAAGCTAAGGGAGTCTGCAGTGGGAGATTACAGTGGATCAGCTATGTCTACTGGATTGCTGAAAACTGTTGAAAACTCCCCACAAGATGAAGGCATTACATTTCAGCCAGATGAAAGTAAACCATTGGCAGATAATCTAGAGAAATATTTCAAAGAAGTTGTCACTATCAATGAAGATGATAGAAGATCTGCTAAAGAGGTTGTCGAAAAAATCAAAAATGCAGCCAGAAAGTTTTTCAAGGATAATTTCCCTAGTAAACCTCTAGGTGATTTTCAGCACAAAGGAAGCTCATACGAAGGATTGAAGGTCATAAGTCCAAATGAATATGACATCACAATGCCTTTGAAAATGAAGTCTCACTTATGGGAGATAGTCGAACCTGATCATGTACAAAACCTGGATGGATTTCGAATGGTGAAGCGTATTAATCTAAAGCAGTTCCCACTTGGAAGTAGTCCATGGGATGAATATTTAACAGCAAATGAAATCCTCTCTCCAGCCAAAGTCTACCAGCAGTTCCAGAGCTATTTGGACAAATTTCTTCTTAGGTGCTCGGATGTTCTTATTTACACAATACGTCGTTCCAAAACTGGTCCTGCCATCACATTAAATGTTTCGTATGGGGAACAAAAATTGGATATTGATTTAGTGCCTGAAGTTGAAATCAATCACATCCCTCTTGTTGCAAAGCAACATCCTATGGTGAAGCGTGAAGGTGGAGAACAATATGCTCATCTTTGGGCAAGGTCATATTCCCTTAAAGAGAAGGAACTTTTCAAGACCATTGATGTTGGCGATGGTTGTAGGCGAAAGTGTTTGAAAATTATTAAAGCAATCTTCTACTACAACAGATCTCAATTTAAAATTTTGAGTTCATACCACGTGAAAACCATCATAATGGGAATGAGTGAAGATGAGGATTGGCGTCAGCGATGTCTTGCAGAAAGATTCATCGATGTGATCATTTCTTTGAGAGATCATCTTGATGATGGAGATCTTCCACATCATTTCGATCCATCAGTGAACTTATTGAAGTACATTAAACAAGATGCAAAATACAATGTGAAATGCTTTCTTAACAAGGTGATCAATAGGGGCAATTATATTGAGCTGTTGAAGTCAAATTTATAGGGAACTCATAACATTGTTAGAATGAGAAAAGATAAAATAGAGTGGCAATATAAAAGACAAACCAATATGGGGACTCTGCTGTGGTTCTGGTTGAGTTACATGTAGACTATAACAAATAGCAGATTAAAGGTATTCTCTCTTGATGGTAAACATTTACAATATTTACCAAAACATTGCCAAAGGTTAGTACAGGTGTATGGTCATTTATCAAACTTATTTCATATTTTTTCAAAATAGGTAGTCGATAATCGGAGTTACCAGTATAACTGGACTTTGGGTGCAGGGTAGTCTACCATAACAAGACAACAATGGGCTTTTAAGGAATATTCCTTGAATCAATATGCCAAAAGAAATTACTGCACACCAGTGATAAATGTTACTTCAACAGTTTTGATTAGTGTTAGCTGGATGCATCTAATGCTATTATTATTGAATATACAGGTACATATCAGGCCCGTAGCCAGGAGGGTTCGATGGGCACTTTTAAAATGATTTTTTTGGACCAAAATTGTCACAATTGAACTCCCCCTGGAATTTTTCAAAAGGTGAATCCTGCCTTGGCAAATCCGGGCTACGGGCCTGTACATATGTAGTAGACATAAGTCTCTGCATGCAACAAAATGCATTGTACATACATGTAGCTGTTCTCCAATTTCTGAATCTGTCTTCTGTTCATGATCATTGGCTGTTAGTGTCCTAATTAGATCAACAGGCATACGTGTACATAGCTTGCTAAATAAATTACTAGTTTCATGATGAGTGTTGACAATGACAGTCACTGATATATCTGTATATATGTTTATGATAATTATATCTGGGATCATTATATTAAAATGTTTCCATTCTCAATATGAGTAATTGTTAAAACTTGTATTTTATATGTATGTACGTTTATGAATGTACATGGAATTGCCTCAAGTAAGTTTACCACCCATTCGGATTATTATTTGAGAACATATTTTCACTGGCATAAATCAGATATAAACTAGATTGCAATATCAAGGTTTTGAATTGGTGTTGAAGATATCTTCAAAATAATGTTCATTTTGCAATTAAATTGAAAAATGATATTAATCCTTTGTTTTGATCATAAGTGTGTGATTCTGGAGCTGGCAAAGTTCAAACTGCAATTGTAAATACACAATGAGCTTAAAATTCCAAAGTTTATTTATTGGACACCCTGTATCAGCTGTAGAAAGTATCTAACTGTGCCATATTATATTAATACATTAAACTGGGGTTGGTGCTGATTGTACAGCTGAGTCCTGACATCTTCCAAAATCTTACTTTTTTAGGTATGTTCCTAGAAATATGGCCACTATCAATAAATATCTGCATATGATAACAGATATTATTCATCATAATAAAGGAGTTTTTATATAGCTTTGAAATCTTGCTAATTTTCAATTTTCACGTGAGATTTGCATAACCTCTTGAACCTCATGGAAAATATATAATTCTATCTGACTTTTCTTATTCAACTTTCATTCAGAACTTAACTGTTACAGTAATATTATATGACAAGATTTTATCCAGTCTGGCCCAACCAAAACAAAGAGAAATAAGTAGTGACATCTATTTATTCAGCTATATAGCAACTCCCTTATTGAGGTTCAATCCCGTAAACATTTATATTTACATTTATTGTTCAAAACTCATTACTTGTGAGTAAAAATTATGAATAAAAATGTTTTATTTTCAATAAATCATTTATTTACAGTATCAAATGTCTTAACATGTAAGGGACCCTGCCCCTGTTTTCACAACTTTCTATCTTTTCACATATGATTCATAATTTATGTACATTTGACAACTTGTATTTACAAAATAGAAAAATATTTTTAATATGTTCTTAAATCAATTCTTAATTAAATAGCTGTTCATTCAAAATATTGTTTGAATACTGTCACATGTTTTCAAAAACAAGTTTGGCTCGAGTAGTTAGATTTTATGTTTAGCATCTTTTGGTAGAAATATGAGAGAGAATAAGTTTTTATATTTTTATTTTTTTCTAACATCCTTATTTGGATATTCTGTTCAATAATTAATCAGTAATTAGATGAAATGTATTGGCATCATGAACCCTTTACATCAGTTCGACTTTGCAGGATGGGCATCATTGTGTAATCTTCATTATTAGGCTATAGTATGTACATGTAGTTTGAGATAGATGTGAGGGACCATATGCTAATCATTTTATCTATTTTCATGAGGCTTATGGTAGTTTGCCTAACAAATACATTTACTAAAATGCTAAACTAATACTAACTTGTTCATGATGATATATTTTTTTCAAAATGATTGTCTCTAAAAATTCCTCATCACATGTCACACCATCATGTAAACTTGTTATACTATGTGTGTTTATTCATGTAAAGCATCAGTTAAAAATATTTTTTAAAGTTTAAACTTTGAATATATCAAATTTACATGTATATTTTAATTGAAAATATACAATTCTGTTTTCATTCAGAACTAAACTGTCACAGTAACACACCTTATATGACAAGATTTTTTTCATTGCATCTAAATTTGTTCTATCTGATTGTCATGGTAACTTGGTACTTATATATTCATCCTGAATTCATGACTAGTAAATTCAGCAATACATGCACATTTTAGCCTAATAAATGGGCCAACAAAATCAATCACATTATTTGGTAATATCACAGTTTTTGACAGAAAAATTATCTCATTGGTTCATACATGTTATAAGGGCCAGGGGTGACTCATATACCTGCATACATGTACATGATATAATGAACGCATTTCACATAATTTGTAATTCTAATGGATTTGATAAAAATACAAAATATTTAAATTTGCACATGTACATTCTTTAAGTTTTATAATTCACTCCAAGCCATGCAGTTTAGGCAATTCAAGAACATATCAGGCTTCATGCTAATTGATCGATCTATCTTTTCTTTTCACAATACTTACAATAATCAGTATTATTTTACCTAACTCCTAAAATTTGGCAAAATTGGGAGTTTCATGCCTACTTGAAATGTTATGATTAATGTTAGCTATTGAGCATGCAGTCCTGGGCATGCATTATACCTACTTGATTTAAACGATATGTTGAGCATGTATATCCTGTAGTTTACATTGACCGTTCTGTTTTTGTTATTTGATAAAATGTCCTATTAGACTTCACTTTCTTTGAGGACTTGCAGTTATTCTTATCTCTTACTTCACTTTTAGAGTAACATGTACATATTGACCAAGTAGGCCTATTTATGGTACCATAGTGATGTTCTCTTGATCTTACATTGTACCACATTGATATGTTGGCATAATATGCTACCACATTGATGCCTTATTGACCTTATATGGCACCACATTGATATGTTGTCATAATATGCTACCACATTGATGCCTTCTTGATCTTATATGGCACCACATTGATGCTGTCATAATATGATACAACATTAATGTTTTCTTGATCTTACATGGTACCACATTGATATGTTGTCATAAGAGGGTACCACATTGATGTTCTATTGATCTTATATCGCCCCTACTTGATCTGTAGATCTTATCTTGGGAACTATGGATGTAATCTAGATCTAATATGGAACTCCAGGAGGTGTGTTAACATGGCGCTCAAGTTCTACATCACTTGGTGCCACGGAGTGTCCAGTCCTCTGTCGAAGCATCCCTAGAGAGCCATCTGGCTTTTCTGGAATACTCTCATCAGCAACTGACATTGTTGCCTCTAGTTTTTTCTTTTCTTTATTTTTTCCTGTTTTTTTATCACCAGAAAGCTCGTTTATTCTGCCCAATAAAAACTGCTTGTCTTTTCCTTCCTGGAACCACAAATATTTGAAATTGAATTACACATTTTGTAACAGTTGTTAATTTCACTACTAAGTACAACTGTTAGAACATGTAGTTTTTGAAACATCTGAATTGCTTTTATTAAATTTAGATTAATCATACTGAATCAGTTTGAATATTCTCATTTGATTGTAGTGTATGGAAACAATCGGAGAAATTTTCTATTGTGTCCATAATATCTGTAGGTTATATCTGTGATTATTATTTTCTATAAACATATCCACTATACATATTCTACTACCCATTTCATTAATTATTGATAATTATTGCAGAGAAAATTACATCAACATTCACATCTGGATATGATATTGCCATCATCTTATGTGTTTGTATGACGTACATGTAGCTAAATAACATACAGTAAAACCTATTTTAGTGAACACCTCTCTGTACTGAACACCTGTGTTTAGTGAACACCACTTCAAGACACATTTTACAGTGACTCCTGTATTAAATTCGCTCTGTAGTGAATACCTATCTACAGTGAACACTTTTGTGCCCCCATAGGTGTTCACTATATACGGGTTTTACTGTACATGTACTTAGATGAGGAACTACATTCCAGTACAATAACATGGTTTCCATGCATTTAAAATAATATGACTACACATACTGACATACAGACCTATGTCTCTTAGAATCGAGAAAATCGAAATATTATTTAAATTGAAAATATTTGGCTAGATCAGGGGCGGATCTGGGAACCAACAAGGGGGGGGGGCCAAACTTCTGGTCTGAGAAAAAAACTATTGGGCCCCTAAAACCCAAAAGTGGGCCCAAATTTTGAAATATTGAGGCCCATTTTCTTCAAAATTTGACCTAAAATTAACAAATAAGGCCTTAGAAGGCCCATTTATGACCAAAAAGGCCTACTTTTTGGGGCCTATAGGCCTTTTTTGGCTCAAAATCTTTTTTGGGCACAAATTTTTTTTCTGGGCCCACCCAAGGGGGGGGGGCGGGCCCCTGGGCCCCCCCCAGATCCGCCAGTGTAGATGTAGCATTCTCATAACCAACCACCTTGTTTAACTTTGTAGAATTGTGATACAGTTTAGGGTATCATTCAAAACCATTATTTCAACCAATTATGAAAAAGTAGCTTATTTAACTTTTGGACCATGCAGACATTTACAGAATATTTTATTTACATGCTTATATTTTACTTGCATGCTTGCATTTCACTTGCATGTCATAACTTCACCAGATGGTTATTTTTTTCCAAAAAAGAATTAAAGATCAGGTTTATCAAAACAGATTCAAGTTTTTACATTTTTTAAAGACGTGCACGATGCCAATATTTTATAATTAACCTGGCAATCTTGGGAGGTAAAGAATCCTTATGTATGCTTTGAGTAGTTGTCTCTCATAAAACCCCTTAAAACATAGGAAAATTTGAAATTTACACATTTAACAGTGCATGCACCAACTATTTACCCATCTTGATAAAGTGTGTCAAATTTTTTGACGTAATCATTTATATACTGCTTGTCCACAATATTCTAAAAATAGATAATAATATTTTCACTCATTCGTCATTTTGAAAGAATTGTGAAAATCATTTTAATTAGCCATTTTATCACATGCAATTTCACCTCAATAATCTGTGATATTAGGAATAAATCAAAATCTATCACAAAAATAGGCTTACTCTGAGAGAAACACTGCATTTGATTAGTACAAATAAGTGCAAATGGTATATGTTATGTTACTTACCAGAATAAGTTGTTCTCTTAAAATAGCAACCATTTCTTTATTAGCCGATGACATTGTAGAGTAATAATATACAACCAGCCTTAAAACCAAAGAAAATATAGTTAGAGTTTGCTTTATATGTTATAGTGCTTTTGGAGTGGTTACTTTATAATGATCAAAGTGATTCAAGGTATTTTTCATATTTAACAATCGAACATCTGATTTGACGGAACATTAGCATAATCCTTGGAAGTCTTAAAGTCTTGGAATACATATTTATACATTATTCTGCAACAACCAAACTTACCCTAATACTATAAATAATGGTATAGCGAATCCTGCTGATGTGATGAAGTTAAATATGGACTGGAGGGCAGCAGGCCAGGTTGCTATGGTGATGCTCATGATCTCATGCATATAATAATATATGCGAAACGGTCCACATCCCTTAGATGGAGCTAATCTGCAATAGTTGAAACAACATGTCCTCATTGCTATAATTTGCATACATCCACATTTACAAATCAAATGTTTTCTAAATGGATTTATGAAATATTGCTAATGTACATCGGAATAGCCTGACAATGGTAAAGTCAGATACCGTTGTCACAAATGGTGCACATAACCGTCGCTTCAATTAGATTCTCATGAACTGTATGTTTAATAGAGCACCTAAATTAAATTTCTTTGAAACAGCAATCATCAAAATGTATTTATACTCATTGTACAGTTAATTATGTCTGTATGTTCTACCATCGAAATAAAGTCTTAAATTTAACCGATCAAAATGAGACATGGAACAACGGACACTGTATTACCATATACCTTTGTCTTTGTAAATTCTTATGATACATCATCACAAGAGCTTAATAGATGCCCAGAATTAGCGACGATAAAATCCCATGAAATGAGGACCAAGCGATTAAAGAGTTGAAGCGACGGTTGTCAGGCTTTGTCAGGCTATTCCAGTGTGTAATGATTGATATTTAAATTTTTTCCCATGATACTCTCACAGGGATCTTAAATGATGATAGTTATTCATATTGATGATAAAAGATGTCTTTACTCACTGAGCAATTGAGTAAGCAATCGGTATGCAGACAAGGAAAAAGGATGAGAGAAGGACAATCATAAAGAAACTGTTGGACTTTGATGCCCTGTATGGGCGACCACTTGGCTCATAGTTCACCAGCACAGTTAGCTGAAAAGAAGCAAACAATCTTTTGAGTACTGTCATCTTATTGAGTTGAATCAATTCATAATCCTATGAAAATCATTTTTGATAAAACCCTTTCATTAATCTTTAAATAAGATCAGATTCATTCTAGCAATCAGGATTTTGAAGCCATGTGATCGGAGGATGTTAACATGTTTAATCAAAATGGATTTTCTGGTGTTGAATTTAAAAATCATTTTAGAAAAGTTACCTTTTTAACATAAAATAAAATGAAGAACTTCAACACACACACAGCAGGAATCAATGGTGCATAGAAGGCCCCTAACCTAAAGAAGAAATCAAAGAATTGTTTAAGTCCTTTATAATTAAAAATGATCTTTAATTCAAAAATACTTTTAATTTATCAAACACTGTGAAAACCTCATTTTCATATACTGATAAACAATAGAAAGTGCTGATCCTACTAAAAAAAATTAAAAACAGTTTTTCAAGTTGTGTACAATTTTTAAGCTTCAAATATGAATTGTTTATTTAAAGTAGCCTATATAGTGAAATGGGTGTTTCAACTTACCAGCAGAGGGCCTGTGAGTATACGAGATCTAGGACATGTTTTGGTATCATAAACTTCTGTTGCCCAATCATTTTGCAAGCTTTACAGCTACATTTAGTAACAAATAATCTGAAAATATGGAGAAGTTCATATTCAATATTTATTTGTCATATTTGTTTTATGGATTGTTTGTGCAATATTATTTAAAGGGACACTGACCATACTTGTATATTTCTTTATTTGCATTTGAGAGGGGGGGGGGTAGTATACACTGTAATTTGTCAAAGCTTAACATTAAATGACTATGGGTGAGATTAAGGGGCTCTTAATGTTAAATAGCCTTCATTGTATAACTGAAAATGACTGCAAAATCTTGTCTTGAAACTAGGATGAACAAATTATCACTCCACTCTTTAGATGCTTTTCAGAGCCTGTTTAATAATCTTAATTATTGATCAATGAAGATTTAAAAAACATGATATTTCTTACTTCCTGGGGAACTCCACAAAAAATATGACACCTATTGTTATGATGAAGTCCATAATAACCAACTTGTAGAGCTGTTGGCCAACATATGTTTCCCAACACTAAAAATAAACATTCAATGGAATTTTATATATCATTCTAAAGCCAGCATATTCAGTACTGCTGTACAGGATACCTAATTGATAATATATTTTCTAGAAACTTTAAATTAGGTCGGTACATTGAGATAAGGGCAAAAGTAGATCTTTGCTTCATTAATGCTTTGATAGGCAATTTTCTGTTATGATTTATGAGCTTTCCTTTGGTATATAGAACATACCTGTAGAGGTGTACACGCATCAGTGTTAACACCACAGGAGTCTTTGGGCAGGCAGGTTATCTGAATGTATAGGGTGGCTATCAGAGTGGCAAGTGAAGCAAGTCGTAGGAACACAGTCCTGAAATAAAGAAAATTCATGTTTTAAACCAATAACAACATTGAAACCTGCAAAGTGGAACACCTCTAGAAGTGGAACATCTTTGTTAATGGGACGCTTCAGAGTCCAAAGATCAACAGACTTAATGTTGAATTAACCTTTATAAGTGGAACACTTCCTTAGTGGAACACTTTTTAAAGGGACCAAAGGTGTTGGACTTAGACAGGTTTTACTGTACAATTTCAAACATGTCAAATGAGGTTGAAGTATGTTCAGTTATACCATACCTGACCAAAGTCAACTTAATGTCTATCATGGGTGTGTAGTCCTCGGCACGGATGATCTTTTGGAAGATGGAGGGAACAATTATGTTGAGAAATGTGATTGTCAGGGAAGGCAGGAACTCCATTAGCAACTGTACCAACGTTGAATACTGTGAATATAGTGCACTCTTGGAGAACTGAAAATAAAAATGTTAAATTAGGTGCAATTCATTCGATCTTGGGACGGGAATAACGGGAAAATTATTTTATGCAACTTTAACCCAAGCTCAAAATATTTTTTAATGCTAATTTAGTAAAGAATTTTAAGCTATAATGCAATTGAATATATATTGTTCTGATAAGGCTCAAAATGAGCTAGACAATATCTTCCCATGTTTAGAGGTACATAACATTCCTCTCACATTCAATTTGCATTAAAGATATAGGATAGAGAGGTACTGATCTATATATTGAATATATATGATGTAACATTGATGAATACTACTAGTATATAAGAGAAAAATAAATATTCCCTTACTTCAAGTGAGACCTGTGTTGCATAGTAAATCAGATACCCTGATCCTCCTAGAATAGCCAGTACAATGATGTTGATAAATACTCTGAGGGTAAAGATGCCACAGGCCTTCCAGCCACGTCGTTGACGTCTTCTGGAGGCTTCCCGTTCTTCTTGAAGGTCACCCTGAAAGAGGCAGGATCAGCACTTTATATGATGTATAATGTCTTTCATATGATGTATAATGTCTTTCATATGGTGTATAACTTCGTCCATATGATGTTTAACTTCTTTCATATGATGTTTAACTTCGTTCATATGGTGTATAACTTCTTTCATGTGATGTTAAACCTCTTTCATATGATATATAACTTCAATAGGCCTAGTTACAGAAAAAAGGTTAATATCCAAGCCCGTTTATATTTTGAATTAAAATCTTTGAGATTTATTTAAGATGAGAATTACACCATTTTATAATCATGTGTGGCTTTCTTATGATATATCATATAAAACTAATTCGTTTAAATTTTCCAAAATGATATTTTTCCATTGATTACAAAAAATACCCTTTTGACATGTGCAGTAAACGGTATTTTTGCACCTTTCATTTGGTATATGAATAACTGGTTCACATTGTGTTTTTATCACTGTATATTTGTATAGCTATGACCATGTTTGGTTTATATAATTGAAAGTTATATATATTTGCATCGGGTACTTACAGTTATTTCATTGTAGAGACTCTTCTTTTTCAACCCAGCTGCATATGGATCTTCCATAGAAAAGTCCCAGCCACCAAACACCTGGATAAAAAATAACCCAATGATTATCTAGATAGAGAAATATCTTTCCATGGAGCTCCGCGAAATGCTTTTTTTCATGGAACTCTCTGTCCTCGTTTTGCATCTTTCACTACAATATTTCTCATAATTGTGAAATGTTTTCAATTTACAATTGATTAAATAATTTCATTGTGTTCTAAAATGTAAAGGAATTGTGTATTTGTATGATGTTTTGAGACAACAAGTATATAAGCGTTAATTTAGAAAATGTATTATAATGATATTAAAAAACAACACATACAGGGAACACCTCTAGAAGTGGAACATCTTTATCAATAGAACACTTTTCAGAGTCCCAACTGACTTAATGTTAAATCAACCTTTCGTGGAACACCTCCAAAGTGTAACACGTCACTTTTAAAGGTTCAAAGCCGTTCCACGTAGACAGGTTTTACTGTATATGGATCCGAATATATTGAATATACCTTGTTACTGTAGCTGTAGAATCTGTCTTCGTCAGTAACTAGACTGTCCTTCAAACTATTTCCTGTACTGGAAAAATAAGAATATAAAACTAAAAAATATACTCTCAAAATAAGAACACTCAGTTTTCAGGACATCTAGTATTGTTTACCATCCCCAACTCGACTTAGTATACTGAAATTCCTATCAAAGTAATCAATTAAATTGTAAGTTAATAAAAGTATTTTTTTAAAGTGATACCAGGTCATTGTAACAGAAGTCAGAAACTTTACAAATCTAAAATAACTGAATCTTTTAATGTTAATTAAATAATTTAACATCAATCTGATGCCAAGGATGATGTCAAACACATTCCATGTATCATTTAATGTTACGATATGTTTTGATATTTTCAGAGTTGGCCATTTGACCTCACAAATATTTGCCGTTTAAAAGCTATGTAATTTTACTTTGCATCTATTCCCCCCACTTTATATAAGTGACAAAGTATAGTCAAAGTTAAAGAAAAAACAAAAAGTATGTCAAAAAGTAAATAATGAGCTCTTCTTTGTGTCAGGAGTAAACAATAAACTGTCACTACAGTAAATTATGAACTCCTAAATGTCAGAACAGTAAACAAGGAGTTCATCTGAGTACAATGACCCCCTTTGTGACTACACTAAACAACGAGCTCTTATATGTGACTGAAGTAAACAATGTGCTCTTCTAATTGACTCAAGTAAACAATGAACTCTTATATGTGACTGTAGTAAACAGTGAGCTCTTATATGTGACTCAAGTAAACAATGAGCTCTTCTATGTGACTCAAGTAAACAGTGAGCTCTTCTATGTGACTGAAGTAAACAGTGAGCTCTTCTATGTGACTGTAGTAAACAATGAACTCTTATATGTGACTCAAGTAAACAATGAGCTCTTATATGTGACTGCAGTAAACAATGAGCTCTTCTATGTGGCTCAAGTAAACAATGAACTCCTACATGTGCAGAAAACAATGAGTTTCTCTTCATGGCTGCAGTAAACTATGAAATTCTATGCGTGACTAAAATAAGACAATGATGAGCTCTTCTACGAAGTGAAGGTGAATCTAAGATTACTTTGCATAGCCTTACAGGTTGGATTCCTTCATGTGATATGCAATCATATTCCTCTTGGCCCTTTTCGCTAAACTGTTTAAAAGCAAAGTAGTAAGTTCATCATATTTTCTTTCATAAGCATATTGTAAGCACGTCGTGATATAAGCTTCTATTTGTGTAAGCACTTTCTGATATAAGCATTTATTAAAAGCAAATGTGTCCACATCTAAAATCTGTTCATGCAATATTTGTTTCTATTAGTAGTTCTGTTGTGACATAAAACAAATGCCAAAATACCAATACCATGATAGCATTACCTGTCACCAATATCAGCATGAAAATCCCTAAAGGCTTCTGGTAAACTTTAAAATGATTTATTTCACGATTAAACATTTCATTATGCATTGTACATATATGTACCTGTCTTGGGACCCTTAATACATGTTATAAAATAAAATTATAGATATAGGTGTTGACTTTAAATGATTGATGATGAATTACGTATAACAATAAAGCAAGTGTCTAGATGTGTAAGGAGATGAATACGGACATGTGTTCCTTGGACTGGGTGCAATATACAAAACCATATCAGAACGAAGTGTGCCACATATATAATAAGTGTCACACATTTTAATGGTGCCACATAATAAAGTTGCCATGTCAGCATTCAATAAAATTGCCTGCTGAGACATAAAGTGAAAATAAATAAATTAAAAAATATCAAATAATGCGTGATTTGTGTGATATTTGATCATTCACGCTAAATTGATGCGTGGTTTCTATTTTTCCAGCAAATGCGTGACAATCATGCCTTCTGCGTGAGGGTTGACAGGGCTTAGATGAAATATAATACATGTAATACAGAGTAAAGAGACGTATGTCAAACATATTGATTAACAACTGCTTTGGTAAAGTACAAGACTTATCAAATGCAAATACCCACAGCACTAACTGTGTGACGACAATGTTTCAATTAATTGTAGAAAATGATTTAACAGAAAATTAACTTACTGTCTGACCATGAGTATGAGAGAGAGAACAAGGTATGTTATGGTGACACATAGGTAGGCCAGGGGCATGTTGTAGTTATAAGTCAAGCCTTCAAATGTTCCAATATTCAGCTCTGTATTGTCGTAAATCCCATAGAAAAGTACAGTCTTTTCCATCCACCCCTGAAATACAGAATTCAATAGATGCAGTGAAGAATATGAGTCATTTTAAGTGTTTGGGTCAGAAATTCAAAAAGCTTTGAGTTATTTTCACTATAACGGATACATATATGAAGATGTATATTGGGAGGTCATATACAGCATTTATAAAGTGGTTAAAGCCCATTGTTTCAATTCCTATAATAATGTTTACTTCATTCTTCATTTTGAAATATTTCTGTTCAATTCTAAAACAAAAATATAATATCAAGGACGATACGAGATAACTATCAATTGCAAAGCAATTTACAGTGACCACTTTTAGATGGTTCTACGACTAAAAAACATGAAGATAGGATTATAATATCCTCTTTGGCTTAAATTCTGCCTCACATATTCAAGATTGTCTCACCTATTCAATTTTACCTCACTTTTTGAAATTTGCCTCACTTACTAAAAATTGCCTCACCCATATTTTTTCTATCTATGCCCTTGATAATGATATAAAAGTAAATATATACTAACTGTGCCCTGTAGGAAGTCCAGAATCAGTTGTTGGTAATTCGTGGGATCAACAGTGACGTTATAGTTGGCTGAGCACACCATTGTAGCAGAGAGATTCACGGATGTACCATTACCCGTCACGTTTGAATTGTAATCAACTGAGGGGAACACAACCTGGGGAAGAACGATGAAAACACCGAACAGCAACATAATGTAGATGTTCAAAAAGAACAGCCATTTCAGGAATGTGAAATATGACACGACCCCTGCACCAAAATGTCCTTCTATTGTTTTGAAAGATCGGCGCCAAAGTTCCAATCGGCTCATTAAATCATTGTAGGCATTCTTTGTTCTTCTCCAGCTCTGGAATGAAACACCATCAATGTATGCATGTAGTGTATCATACAGTCAATTGTATATATGTAGTTATCATAATATCAATTTTATGAATGTAGCGTATCATACAGTCAATTGTGCCATACAGTCAAATATATATGTGCTTTTTATCATGCAGTCGATTGTATGCACGCAGTGTATCATACTGTCAATTGTAGGCGTGTAGTGTATCATATGCATGTAGTATCAAACAGTCAATTGTATGCGTATAGTGTATCATACAGTCAATTGTATGCGTGTAGTGTACCATATGCATGAAGTATCATAGTCAATTGTATGCGTATAGTGTATCATACAGTCAATTGTATGTGTGTAGTGTGTCACACAGTCAATTGTATGCGTGTAGTGCGTGGTATACATGAAGTTTATCAGATAGTTGAGTGTATGCATAGTACTGTCAATTGCATGTGTGACAACTAACTAAGCGATCATAGCAAAAAATGTACGTGCTTGCCTATTTGGTAAAATAGTTATTTGTAGTTGTTTCTAAACGATGTTAATTTCCCAAATTCTAGAATTATACATGGTATATTAAGGGTCAAACATTCCCACAATAACCAAAGCGGTTAGATAAGTCTTTTTGTGAATCAATAACCAATCAATTGCTATCATTATGGCCTATATTTCCTGCTTGAGACATGTTGTAAGTAGATATCAATTCAATATACACTCTTGTGGCATGCATGATACCTATGGATTTTCTATAAATTAAGTTGTATTGGTGGTATGTTTGATACAAATGCTACAGCATAATGCAAACTTTCGAGGAAAGAAAAAACAAGATACCAATCTAATTAAAGTGTAGTAAACTGCCAGTAATTTATACATCTTGTCTAGCAAGTCTTGGAGAAATATAAGGGAAGTAAGAGAAGCCATTTTGCTGGGAGGGTTAATATATAACGATTACTTTCAATCAATTAGCAGTGTGTATTTATTGCAGATGCACTTATTCTTAGAATCATCATGGGCTCATATCAGTGGTAGAGCCCATGGAATCAATTTCTAAATGGAAATCGTTTACTTATTCAGAAATTACAAAACATTTCATTTGTTTAGAGTTATTCATCTATTCAGTGAAAAGATAGCTTTCTGGGAAAATTACTCTTAGACTTTGTTTATTACTTAAACAGGCAATGCGCTTATTTTTGAAGGAAAAAGGACAAAATAATATTTGAGACATGTCACTCACACAGTCATGATAAAAACTTTAATTTGGGTCAATACTAAAGTGAAAAAAAATCACTCGCATAGAAAACAGCATTTGAAGTTCAGAGATCAAAAGAAGTGAATTACCACTTTTCACAAAGTGTATGTTTTTAAATAAATCTTGGAATAAAAGATGGCGTATGGTTGAAAATCATATCAAAAATGAATGGACAATTAATGCAAACAACAATGCCATCTTTCTATGGGATTGCTAAATCTCAACTCTGATGTGGTCTGTTTGAGTTTTTTTGGTGTCAAATAAAATATAAGGTACTTATTAATCCATTGGAAATACTGTAAAGATCAAAAGTGAGACTTCATTTACGCACTTTGTCCCTTTAATTATAACTGAATAAGTTGCCTTTACTTTAATTGAAGTTAGTATTTGACTTAAATTGAAATTAATAGTTTACTTCTTCTGAAGTAAAATGCTTTATACGCATTATTACAGTAGATACATCACACATATCAAAGTAAATATTTTACTTATATAAAGTAGATAAATTACTCATATTGAAGTAACTATGGCTATTATATGAAATAAATATTTCACTCATTTTAGAGTGAATATATCAAAGTAAATATTTTGCTTATATCAAACTAAACATATTAATTATATTGAAGTAAATATTTTAACTAATATTGAAGTTATGAATAAATTACTTACAGCTCTTTGTTGCACTCGCCATGCGGCACATCCAGTCAAGGGTACTGTGGGAACGGATAGCAGTTTGGCCCTGAAGAACAAGGAATACCAAAATTAACTAGTACTTCACATTATTTAATTGCTGATTTTCCGTCGTCTATATAGCTCTATAAATGTTCAATTCAGAAATGAATTCAGTAAATTGTGGAGGCATTTTATTTATTATATTTTTATATTCTTTATATGACTTCGTTATCCTTACAGAAAGAAGCCCCAAGTAGTATATTCATTGAACTATAAAATGGTAAAATTTTTATGTCTAGAATAGATTACATTCATGATTGTGTCCTTATTTATTAATGGACACATTGTACTCCGCTTTCTCATTCAATAATCACAAATTGTCAATTGCATCCCAACTCTAGTAATTATTTTCAACTCCGGGAAAAAGATTTGTTGCGAGTCTTGTCAACACCTTACCCCAAACTTCCCCATATTTTCCTATGAACTTTTGTTTCTATATCTTTTAGAAACTGCTCCTGTTTATTGAACAGTTTTATTCTGTCTCCATCACATACAAGTGCTATATCTTCCTCTTTGAAATCAATCACTGTACCATACTTTGCTGCCTTTTTATGAACATCTTTGATGAGTTGCTGCCTCTCCGATTCATCCATTTCAAAAATATATCTTAAATTTGATCAAGTAAGATCTAACTGGTTGTATTAATAGGCCAGTCAAAATCATAGATAATTTATGACTTGAATCGGAATACATGTGGCACAGATGAATTCTTTAAAAACCTTTGTAAAGATTTATGAAATCATATTTATTACAGCATCTACGTCATGTGTGCATATTGTGATATTTAGGGGTGTTGTCCAGGTGTCGAATGAAGTTGATTTGGTTATTTGCAGGATGCATGGGGTAAATATCGTTTTCCTTCGTGAAGAATGTTGCTTTTTGAATAATTCAAAAAGCAACCAACATTTCAAAATATCATGACGGGAGTGAGGGATGAAGGCATAATGAAATTAAACTTGTTTTCCACAACTGTGAACACTATCCCTTATTTCAATTCAAAAATTAATTACAATCGTGTTAGCATTTATGCAAAGAAAATTGATTATGGCATTATTTTAAGACAACAGACTTAACTTATCATCTTTTAAATTTTTTAATCAATAATCTTGAAACAGCTTTGCGCATACTTAATTTGATATTTAATCAAAAGGTAAGTTCCTTTTTAAGTTCCCCTCTGTATCATCATTGTAGATTTTCATATAAGGAAGGAATCTAGACCAGGGTAATTATATCAAATTACTTATCATTATTTTTAAACAAATTATGTACATTAATAAATGGTATATGTGTTAATGATCGATTGGGAATTAAAGTATAAAGTACACAATTACACACCCATAAAAACAACAAATGGTGACAGGTAGTTGTAAGAAAATTCAACAATCAAATCAATTTAAAATGTATTGCTAAATGATTCAACTATGGTATGGGAAATGTGAAAGGCCGTGTATGAATCGCTAGGTCTATTTAAAAAATGTGCAATGTCACCGTGCTGATGCTTTGTTGAAATCAAACAATCAGGGCTAATATGACCTGTGCTAAATAAATCATAGGCGACATTGCCAAAATAAAATAAATGTTGTTCGGACTTGTTCCTGTTTTCAATACATTACTAAATGTTACAAAGTTTAAAACATAATTGAATATATACATATATCGTTACTTTATGCCATATAATAGTTTCTGTGATATCATAGGATATTGCAATATAAAAACGGCATTTTTGTTGTCAGTGGAAAGGTATCATAAATTATATATAGGATATTCGGTAAATATGGATCAAATTGGATTGTGTATTTCTGTATTTACTTTGATATTTATGGGACGAAGTGGAAATTGAAAAACTTGAAAATTAAACAAAAATTAAACTTGAAACAGTTCAATTAGTTCAATTGATATTATTTAAACGTTTGAATCAACATTTACAATTGTGTTGTGGCAGCACGACCCTGTGTATTGGAGACTATTTGACTACAATAGCAAATACGTACAATAAACGCCTGTGCATTATGTGCCAATGGGGAATACATATTTCAAAAAATCAAATAAAGAGAGATTAATTAGCGAGGAAAGAAAAAACAAGATACCAATTTAATTAAAGTGTACAATTAAAGTGTATAGCAAGTCTTGGAGAAATTTAAGAGAAGTCACAGAAGCCACTTTTGCTGGGAGGGTTAATATATAACGATTTCAATCAATAGTTATGAATGTCCAAAGGAAAATTTGGCACTTATGGATAAAAATTAATTTCAGAAATATAGCTTAAGCTTAACTCTTTGTGCCATCCGTGATACTAAAGAAAATTACCAGTTGAGAACGTGATTGCTTCTTTGTTATATTGGGTTTGAGTTTACTGTTCTAGCTTTTCTAATTATTTTCTCTTCGCATCCATGTGTCCATTGCCCGAGCTCCATTATAAGTCATAAATTCAGGAGTTTTGTGAGATACTCGAATAGTTGGAGTTGAGTGTATAAGAAACTTCTCGTGACAGAGCTTGGTTACACTGAAGTGTTTCTCGAAAGAAAAACACATTCCATGCTTTAAATTTCAAAATTGAGTGTTAACATAAGAGATTAACAATGAACAGAATAAACTGGGATGTAGTGAACACTCTGTATCAATTATATGAAAATGCAAATATTCAAAAAATTCAATCAAGTTCAGAGAAAAGAGCACAAGGCAGACAGACAATTTGAGCAACAACAACACCACGCAACTAGGTTGTCATAGACCAAATTGAAATTGATTCATTCTTTATTGACCCCTACTGTATAGGCAACAGGAGTTTACTTTGCTCTATTCCTAATGGTTATTATATACATATTAAATGCAAATCAAACTTTATTCAGTGAACATGCGCAAATGCCTAACATGGCATATCGTGTCCGACCCTGCAAATGCCTTATATGGCATATTGTGTCCTGCAAATGCCTAATATGGCATACTGTGTCCTGTTTGATGATCACAGCCTCTTTCTGTATTCATTTGAGACTGCATTTCTATGAGATGCAGATGCAGCTTAACACCTTTTATTTCTGCGACCAATTGTTTATTATCAAATTTTCTGTTGATTTGATACATATTTAAATATTTTGTGGAGTCATTTTTGACTTAACATTTTCTTTTTTTTAATTTCTATTTCAATTACATTTTAGGATTTTTATAAATCGAACCCTCTGGTCCATGAACTACCTATCAGAAAAGGTTGTCGAAGGTCTGTACAGCTGCAATGTTCTATTGTAATACCTAAGTATCTCAGTTAATTCATTTACCTATTGGATTTTTTAAGAATCCCCATACATGCAACAGAAATTATTATTTTTACCCGGTAATTGCTTTGCTTTAGAAAAAGACACTCTTTCATAAGAGAAACAATCCCCATTCAATGTTCCCTGATTTATTATTTCAGTACCATTAATCCATCAATACCGCCTATTACATAATTCATGAAGCTCTATCGATGAATTAAAGCAATCGTGCCTATTAGTGTTCAGTATAACAGACAGATTAAAAATCTTGAACATATGTCATTTGAACATAGGGCCTTGCGTTGACTTGCATTTGGTTATTTATAGCCTTTGCATTCGTTCGACTTTGCTTCTAAAACCTGAAGCTCTTATTCTCAATTGATCTCAGTGAAAACCCTGTTGTTATGATCCATCGTTAATTCATCCCACTACATTTAATAGTTTAATACCAGATACAGTACCTTTACTTAATACTACCCTAAATTCCCATTAACTAATCACACTACACTCTGACTATCACGGTTGAATTTGCAGTTTTTATGCAGGTAAGATTTCAATGATCTCAAATTAAAATGTCATGCTTTTTGTGGCTGGACTAACATGATTTTCTGACTACATATTTAGTTGGGAATAACATACATTGTATATCAACTAATCTTCCATAATCTAAAGAGTGCAGACCAAGTCCAAATCATATCAAGGGTAGAGATATACCAGTATGTTAATAACCCAATGGTTTAAATAATTAATGCTTTTATAATTCTTGAAAAGGGAATTCAACGTGAGTTAATACCTGTAACTGATGCTGATTTCCGAGGATTCCTATATTCAGGCTAGTTTTGGAGATAAGACAAGATATTTTATACAAAGCACAAGAAAAAATACTATTACCACTAGCTTGACCCTTATTGTTTTGAAATAAAAGCATTATAATTAGTGAGAAAATTCTATCCCTTGTTTAATTAAGAAAGCAGTTCAACTTGAACTGTCATGCCATGCTTTTGTGTATATGGTGTATGGATTTTGTAACAGTATACTTTTATTGAAAATGAGCAACTATTTTTATCCTAAGGAACTTGCATAAGATGAAATCCATACATACAATATTGACTTGAGGAAAATTACAAATTGTTTTAGAGATGAATAAGTTAGGAACTGCGTAATATAAAAACTTGTTCAAATATTAACTAAATAGTTTGATAGTCTCTTAACAGAAATAAAAGTAATTAATAATTGTCAATGTGAATCATGAAGTTAGTTTTACTCAGTTAGAAACTGTTACTTGAACTCTCGTGGCTTGGTCTATTGAATATGTAGATTTGTGTGTAGATTTCTCGTTACAGATACACATGTATCTTATTTTAGATTCCCCTTGTATACTTTGTTTTCTTATTTCCCAGAACATTTCATTTCTGTCTTTGACTAATAGGGGGTTTGTATACATGGGGTTTGTGACAGAGAATACATTTTCTTAACAGCAAAGAAACCAAAATGCATTAGTATGCACCAGTTCCCTGTTTTATCGTTCTTACATCGGATGATAACATTGTAGATTGGAACTTCATCCAAGACTCAAATTCATGATTTTCTAATTATGGAATATTACCTTTGCTCATATCCCAAGATTCCCTGAGCCTCACATTCTTTCCCCCACTTCCTTCGAGACCCTGATTTTTTGTTTGAAGTCCTACTGTGTAGGTTAACACTTGGCAATTCTGCTACGACACTGGAGAACGTTGTTGGCTTTCTTTGACGCCACTTATCATTATGTTCATTCATTTCTATGTCTTTTTGAGAATCCCTAGGGGCAACTTGATTATATTGTGGTTGCTTAGCATTGTATGATTGTTGAGCAGCATTTTGCTGCTGTCGTTTAAGCCTTTGACCTCGCAAGTAACTGCTTTGTTGTTCATGGTCATTATAGACAGGTTGTCCTGGATGTGTTGGTTGGTCATGTTGGCCTTGGTTTGGTTGTGCTGGTTGTCCTCCTCTATGTTTAGGTGGTTTTGTGATGTTCACGGATTTCTTGGTCATTTTAAATCAAAGGAACTATCTAATCCGTTTATTTGCAATAGCTTACTATTTAATCCAAACCGGGAATCTAAACTCCCTCATTTGCAAGATATCTCTATGTCTACTAAAATACAATTTCTTAAAATGCCAGTATCCGTACTTCGATTATGGTCTTTAAGTAAGAGCTTTTAATATTCCATTCATATCATTGCCTGTAGCATAATATTTTGCTATACGTCGATCAATTTCTTTTGTTTTTCTTTGGCTGCTCATCCACCGTGCTTATTTCTGTTTTGATATCAGACCCTCCTAGCGGTAATTATCAGAGTCAGAGTTCTACTTTCATTGGATAGATAGTCTCTGCTTTAAACCATGAATTTTGTTCGTTGCTTCATTGAACAAGTCAACAGATTGATGTGTTTGAATCAGTCCAATCTCCGTCTTCTTTAGAATGCCAAATTAATCATATTACATGTTTCCATCTTGAAGATTACTGATCTATGTTGTACCATGTAAACTGAACACCTTGACACATCAAGCATATGTCAATATAAGATCAATATATAGCAAACCATTACCATCTATAAATTCTATTATTGCTATTTGATCTGTTCTTATACCCTATTGCTGGTCTAAAGACTAGCAACCCTTCAATTCCCTTCTTTAGAACACACTTCAAGATTCTTTATATGCACATGTACATAGTACTTTTTCAATGATTAACATGTTATTAGTAAAACTCTCTATAGGTTTCTTGGATACGTTTATTTGTTGTTTGGTCGATTTCAAACAATGGAACCCCTTAGGCGAATTACAGTTCCCTCTGACCTCTAGAGATAGTTCTACAGCATTGCGCTTGGGAATCTTAACAATTCTTAAATGCAAAATGAAGTTTAGTTTAATAAAGTAGTTGTGTTAGGTGTGTTTAACTGGAAGACTTTATTAGCGTATGACAAATGAATTTGTGAATAATAGTACTGCAGTAACACACTGGCGGATCTGGGGGGGGGGGGGTTGAAAAAAGAACTGGGCCCAAAAAATGTTTGGCCAAAAAAGGCCTCAAGTCCCCAAAAAGTGGGCCTTTTGGTCATTACTGGGCCTTGTAAGTCTTATTTTTAAATTCCAGGCCAAATTTTGAAGAAAATGGGCCTCAAAATATCAAAATTTGGGCCCACTTTGGGGTTTTAGGGCCCAAAATCTTTTTACGTGCAAGCGCGGAACCTTTTCTCTGACCTGAAATTTGGCCCCCCTTGTTGGTTCCCAGATCCGCCCCTGGTAACATGTCATGTTTTAGAGGCCTAAATTGAAAGCCCATGGGTACAGTGTCCGGGAAAATACGTCTCGTAATTATTCAAGCTTCTTATTCAAGCTTCAATTAAATTGCTTCATTACGAAGCTTTTTTGTCGAAGTACTTGTAATGATGCAATAAAATATGCTTTTCAACTCTAACCATTAATAATTTGTTTAAGCCTTTTTCCTATAAATTATTCAAGTAACTATTACTTAATGGATTAATAAATTACGTGTTTACTATTTACTGGTATTACATATCTATGATTGATTGACGTTAATGCAATGATTGATTTGATAAAACATAAACTGTCTGATTCATTCAATATTGGGATGACGGTTTGGACTACATGCACTTTATTTTGGTTACGTAAATGGGTAATATCACGCATGGGTATTTACCCCAAAGGAAATCAATGTTGAGCACATTATAATGTAAATATACCAATGGTCATTAATTAAGAACGTATTGATGTAACAGTATATCAATCCTAATCTATTAATTAGATTTAATTTGCATTCATTGTTCATCCTTTTCATAGATGGCAAACTTAGTGCCAATGTGCTAATGGCAGTTCATTTTGCGTTTATCGTCATTTGTTTGTAGGCCCTATAGGCATAGTTAACTAACTGTGAAAATAACATTTTAAAGAAAAATACATTTGACTTTTTTACAAAAATTGTGTCCCATAAAAGTATGATAGCCTCTTTAATGGCTTACGTTTTGCCTCACTTATGTATATTATTTGCCTTGCTTTTTGAATTTTGATAACCTGGCTTATAATTAATTACAACCATTCGGATTAAATACCAATTCAATTAAATGATTAGATTAATCAGTATACAGTAAAACCTGTGTATATTGAACATTTTTGTCAGAAAAAAAACGTTTAGAGTTGGTAGCTGGTACAGTAAAGGTAATTTATACCAGAAGTGTGTTCGGAGAAAGGGAGTTCACTAGAGACAGGTGTTCATGAGAGAGAGAGAGGTATTCACTTAGACATGTTTTTCTGTACTTTATAAATATTTGCATACCTGACTTGTCTTTTTACATATATGGAAGCGGGCATCTGTTTGATCATCAGAATCTTACTCTGCACAATTCGTTCAGTTTCTGTCTCGTCTTCCTCATAGATTACCTTGTCAAAATCATCCTCCTGAAAACTTTGAAGCTCCACATCCAAAGCAACTTGGTTTCTTTTGGTTAATCCTTTGGAACTATTCATGGATGAATTTAACCCGTCATTGCTTGTTCTTTTCTTATGGAGTTTTCTGTTCATTCGGTTTTTCTCTCTCGTAAGGGAGATTCCTTCATGGCCGATATGGGCCTGGTTACTGGGCATTGCACTGAGGACGACGTTTGCCATTTGAAGTTTGTCGCCCTTTTTGGTGTTTGCAAGTTCATGTTTCAGGGACTCTGGAAAAACAGATTTGTTTATGATAATTGTGAATAAATTCATTCGAATAAAAACCAGTCGAAATCTAATTTAGATAGTTCTTCACATTCACAAGAAGTTGAAAACAAAGAAGTTGGGTAATGTCATCTAGTAGCAATATTTTAGTTTTGATGTCTACCATAATTTTAAATCTCCATAAACGATTACATTTTCATTGGTAATTTCAATAATTAAACCTCCATTGAAATTTCATTAAAAATCTCAGTTGATTTAATATATCCAGAATGTTTTACCCATCATCCCATACAAACCTTTGTCTGAAGAGACATCCTCTTTTGGTTGATGGGAAACTGAGGAATCCTGGTCCATAGTCATTTGAATTATTTCAGTTAATTCACACAAGATTCCTAGATTGACACGGCATCAAATTGTTTTTATCCATCTTTTTATCAAAGTATGTTATTTCATACGTTATTTGAATATACCCATTTCATTCTAAGATTTACATTTTAAACATCCTTTGGTGCACTCCACGGCAAATATGTTATTCCAATCCCTGTCATTTAGAGAAGTTTATTAAAATAGAGGTATTTAAGAGGCTTTGAACTTGTATTCTTTCTGAATTAGCCTGTGTACTTATTCCTGGTAAATATGAAATATGAGGTAGGCTGAATGGTTTCTTTAGTGCGCCCCGAATGTGTATTTAGGCTCTTAAAGGCTCTTGCTCATATAAGTTTACATATGTTCCAAAAGCATTTATATTTTATATCAAACGATATTGAGGTTTTAAAATGTCTATTTTCGCGTCACTTTATCAGTTTCCTCAACCAATTGTCCTTAAATGCTAGTTATTGCTTAGAAATGTTTGTATTTATTTAAAACAAGAGGCTTTAAATGGGGATGTGTTCTTTTCGTGGACAGTAGGGAAATATCTATGGATAATATGTATGTACAATCTCTCGGAATCATAAATGACTGTGACGTCTAGAAAATGGAATAATCTAGCATTAAGTTATGAAATATTCTTTTATGAGCACACAGTATATAATATCATAAATTCCATTCATATATTCTCTTGTTACTGAAGAAATTTTGATTTCCAGATAAGTAAAATTGAATATCGGAGGTGTCAATATGACCGCTCCCCAGAGATTTGTAATTTTCTAAAACCTGTTTGTTTAATGGATTGTGTCTCAGAACTGCTTTGTTCGGAAATACTCCAAATGCCCTGAGTAAAGAAAAGGTCCTGGTTGCATTGCCTAACATGCCTGGTAACGTAGAGCGTTAGCATTTTGTTTTCAACTTATCTACATTCTCTATAAGTTTTAATTATTCCAGTTCAGACAAGCACTGTGAGGTGAAGGATGGATGCTTGAATTTGAACAAAGAATTATTTCTGCATTGTGTTAAAGTGAACATATACCAAGTTTTGAAGAAACACAAACAAAATTGAAACATGGTTAAAAGTTTGATCTGTTATTGTATACGATTATGATTTCAAATATTGAATTATAACTTACCAAAGGCCACGTCCCACTTGCTGCCTTGTTGGTACGCCATTATGATATTTTATGATGTTTTCCTGGGAAGTATCCGTTAATGATCAGATAATTACATGATTCACGTATTTTTGTGATTTTGCGAAGCTGTTACATGTTAAACTGCCTTGTACAATTTGGTCATTATTTGTAACATATTGACTGTTTCTAGATACCCTAATCTTTAATCCAAAACGGATTAGTAAAAATATAGGATTTAGTTTCATTGTGTTTAGGACGTATAAATTTTATCATACCTGCTGTATGGGTCAAACAATAAAGTTACCTTGCATGCAAAGGTCAAAATAAGTCATATATTTTTATATTTCTTAATCATGAATAACGTCCATTTAAATTCATTTTGTGATACAGATTTGTAAAACATGAATTTTTCAGGTATAGGGATAATTTGTTTGTTACTATACAGTTGACTCAATGGGAGGGGGGGGGGGTAATTAAATGTCACTTATATGTTCCTTAAACCTCGGAAAAGAACAATAATTAATGTGTGTAAACTATAAATTGTTTTCACAAACATGCTTAACATCATATGATCCGTGAACACCCGGCTTCCTAACGCTTTTTTCAAATTTGCTCTACGGTGGACGTACGGTGGCCATAGCTTCACAAGATCAAGATCGATATAGAAAATCTGCATCTTACTGCTTGACCCTGTATTTTATGCTGTGTATTTTTCTACGGCCGCCGTATGGTTGCCGTAGAGCAAATGTGACTGAGGCAATAATCAGATTCAAAGACGTGTTCGCCTAATTCCTCAGTCACATTTAATCTACGGCAACCGTACGGCGGCCGTAGCTTCCCAAAATCGAGAGAAGTATGCAGCATAATAGGGATGCTGTACGACCGATGCGGATTTTCTATATCGATTTTATAAAGCTATGGCCCCATTGCGGCCGCCGTAGAGCAGATGTGAATGAAGCGTTGGAAAACCGGGTGTTCACGGATCAATCATGTTAAGCATGTTTGTGAAAACAATTTATAGTTTACACACTTTCTTTGCAATTGTAATGACATTATATTTCTTATCCGTGCATTGGGGTTTACATGTGTTTAGCGATTGTGTGAGATCTTTCTTGCCTGTATAATATTCCGGGATAAAATTCCACCCTTTAAGAATTATCCTTCAAAAGAAAGTTGGTAAGAGGATTTAGAAACAGTTCGTTTTCTTTTCTGGTTTCTGTATAGAGTATTGAGAACGATGCAAATAAAGGGCTTAAAGTTTCCGAACAAAGACAATGTTTTCCAGTTGCCAATCACAAACTGACCGCCACACATTCAACAGTTCAGCAAGGTAGATCTATATTTCCTGATTTGACCAGTAATGATGAATAGGACTAGTTAATGTTTGTCAACTGATTCTTTTTTTCTAATGTTCCGTATTTTGACACGGACTTTTGGAACAAATGTCATTAACGTCCTTAAGATCATTATTTTGTCAACAATATCAGGAAGTGATCTGTAAACATGGCATTGTTCAGTTTCCTTAAATGTCTCCAAGAGTCATGTCTACATTGGTTTACTTTCTTGAATTTTAATCCTGGTTGATGAACATCGACATCACTACTAGTATAGTACAAACAAACACACAAACAAACTACCAAACAAAATGAAGCGAAGACCAATAATTAAAGCCAGTGTTCCTGGTCTGGTGCATTAAATTATAAATATCAAAAAAACGTTTTCAGAATGTAGTTAGCTTTCAATAATTTCATTCCAGGTCTTATTCATTCCAACTGCAGAAGTGTCAATTTAACATTTTGAACAAGTCTGTAGTTTTATCCATACATACAGTGACATCTATAGGTCACATTGACTGTTAAAAGGAGCAATCAACATCGTTCTAAAAGCTTACATTCTTTGCAAATATCTCTTTGTGTCTTGACTCTACCCACATTTACATGGGGGCAATGCCTTATTTTCAAAGCTGTTTGAGAGAACTCTATAACAGACAAGAAAATTATCAATTATATTTAATAAAATTGATCTGACTCGTATTAGTTGACGGAAAACTGAAACAGGTTTTCTCAACTTGAGCCAGCGGTGGGGGGGGGGGGGTCGATGGGTTCCTCCCTGGCCAAAAATTCTTTCAAATCATGCAGTTTTTCACCATTCTGAGCACCTTTTCAGTGATTTTGGCCATTTTTGGACCAAAATTGTCAAAAGTAACCCCCCCTGGATGAATTTTTCAACAAATGAACTCTCCCCTTGGCAAATCCTGGCTACAGGCCTGAATAATAATGACTTTATATTATTTTACAATAACTCACCTACACATCTGTTGTATTCCGTTAATGATTCATTGTGTACAAATATAGGATCAACTCTTGTGTTAACTTTCCTCATTTGAAACTTTTGAAGCATTGTATTAGTACTTTTTTGTTGTATGTTTTAATCGAAGTACTCTCCACAGATTTAGATATATTTTAATGTTTATTTTGCTGTATTGTGATATAAATGACCTCTAAGTAGAGATTCCAACACGCTTGATTGCGTCTTTTCTTTTTAAATCACAGTATTTGCTCATTTGAATCAAGTATAATTATCCAGTCTTTCAGCGTTGATAATGTTAATCCAGGTAATGATTTTCTAGTTGTTTTTTATACTAAAATCATTTATAATATTAAGGCCTGCAATGTATTTTTCTTATGTTTCATTTTACGAACTGTTGCATTGTTAAATTATGCACAGATATTATGAACAGCGTCAGAAAACTTGCATTTTGTGCCCATTACTTGCCCGCCATCGTGAGATATCACAGCCTTCTCTCAGTTTCCTTCTTGTGCATGGCAGAGATGGTCTGAGTATCAGAATGCTTGCCCCAATTTATTTCACATTCCAACCCATGATAGATACACATTTAAATTTTCTGTGACTGTCTGATACGGTGGCTTACTCAATGATGCAGATTTATCTCATTAGTATAAGTTTAACACTAGTGGCTGCACGTTTATTAATTAGTGCAACCATTGCATGTTGACTATTCTAACATTTGTCAATAATGGCAATAACCGAAATTATTTCAATAACAGTCATTGACCAGTCATCAATTATTTAAAAGCAGTGGATAATACTGGTAATGATGTAATCCTGATTTATAGATCTAGACTTTTAAGGTAGACCTCGTAGGAGACTGTAATATTAAATTGTACATGTAGTGTTAAAGGTCCAATATCAAGTTTAAATCACTTTGGCTTTGAAACTTTTCTTTTAGATTTCATAAAGTGCTTTTAGAAAGACTTTTTGTTCGAAAAATCGTGAATTTATTTAGTAATAAAGGAGTGGTATCGATATGGTGAACTTTTTGAACACGTGTTTCTCTTAGACCAGTCATCAAAATATTCTGATAATTTAACTCATCGTCGATTTAATGGTCATCTTTTGGATTGTAGTACTATAATTTGAATTATTTATATTTTCTTTTCTCTATATTGTTTTAGAAAACGCATCAGATACTTTTTTCGTTCTTGGTATCATATGTTCGGAATGAAATGAAAGATCTATTCGAACCTCATTGGAATAAAACGACATAAACACAACGTGTTTAGGTCTCTCAATATTATAATTCACGGGTGTTAAAACAAGAATATACCATGAGCACATGCTTTGAAGATCCGCGTTGTTTGAACCTACCGCCGAGCACACATTAAGACCCGTTACACAGTCATGATACCGCCGAGCAAGCTCATTGCATCATCGGGTCTGCTTTACCCCCGTGTAATTGTACAAAGGAAAGTTTGGTTGATTTAAACAAAAAGTATATTGTTAATGAATCAAAAGGCTTATCTTAATTTTTATTTATTTATGGGGGTTTTCTTTTAAGTTTTTGGATACTTTTTGTTAAATCAACCAACTTTTCCTTTGTATAACTATAATATTGAGAGGTCTAAGAAAATGTTGTATATGCTATTTTGTTCCAACCAGGTTCGGAAAGAAATTTTATTTCATTTTCAAAAAATGGTAGAACGGAACAGAAAACAATTGCACTAAAAAACAAAAAATGTTAACAAAAACAGTTATATAAAATATATATAAATAATTTTCGCATTAAATTATTGTCAATCAGTCAACATTACATAAAGAACCGTGTTTTTTACAGAATGTTTTCAAAGATTGATTTAAGAGAAAAACATTGTTGAATTAAGTTCACCATATTGATACCTGTCCTTTTAGAGTCACACATACCTTTTAATAGGCAATAATTCACCAATGCAGCATTTATCGTCTTTCGTAATAAAATAATTCGTAATTGATAAATGAACTATTTCGTGCATGAAAATGATTCAGAGACAAAAAGCATTTCAAAATTTTAGTCCACATAGAAACCAATGGTAAAATAATAATGAAAACATAACATACTGTATTTTCATTTTTCAACTTAGTCAGACAATCAACATGGGATTATTTTGATAGTTTAACATATTTAGAAAATTTCGACATAGAAAAAATATTAAATTTTTTTCAAATAATTTTTGTCACATTAGTTACTTAGGGTGCAACATTTCTTTGATATGCCAAACAGAACAGCGGCACATTCAATATAATATTTTGTTATTGAAATAGTATGACCTTTGTTCAGTCTTCGCAATCGCATGTTAAAACGATAATGTGTTTTGCACTGTACAGTGGAATATTATTCCATGATTAAAAAAGGCAAAAAAATTAATATTTGAAAAATAAAAAGGTGACAACTTATTCCCCGAAAACCTGTTTTTTAAATTCTCTAAAGCAACTTTTAAAGTCTTGAAAAAATGGTAAATGAATGATAAAAACAGTCTTGGCAATCGCATGTTAAAACGATAATGTGTTTTGCACTGTACAGTGGATCCATGATTAAAAAAGGCAAAAAATTTAATATTTGAAAAAAAAGCTGACAACTTATTCCCCGAAAAACATATTTTCAAACTTTGAATGGGAAACCAAGTAAAGGCTGTTATCTTGTATCGTACTTCTCAGTTAAGGAAGACCTAGAAGAGGCTTTCGATAGACGAGATGCAAGTAGAAATAATCTTGATTTTCACCATTAAGAATTAAAAATTTATTAAAAGCGATATCATGGAAAAGTACATCTAAAAATCTTGTTTAAAAAGTGTTTATCAAATTTGAAAATCTAATTTTCTTTGAAAATGTGACTTCGGGGAGATTCTCCATAGACCCCATGTTATAAAATAACAAAAAGTGAAATATCTTTTCTTATATTGGACGGATTATATTTTCTTTTATTGGTCATTTTAATTTGTATAGTTACCAGATACATAAGGGTAATATAAAAAAGTGATGAATATCCAAGTTTAAGGAAACTTTCTAATACCTAGCCTTGCCCAAGTCGGTATTTTTTACTTATCTGATCTTGAATTATTACATAGTAATCAAGATAAGTAAAAGAGACCGACTTGGGCAAGGCTATCTAATACCCTGCCATGTTATCTACCAAGAATAAGCCACCTGGTGGTGAAACTGGTAACTACTATGATTTTCACCTATATTATACAACTCATTTGCCTGTTACATATTTATAAAAAGGAAGGTTTGTTATACAATGTACCGGATCAGGCCAAACGTTGATTAGTTGAATAGTGTTATTACGTGAGCATCTGGTTGAAAACTAGGTATTGGTTACCCAAAGGCCAAAAAATTAATTGACAAGGTTACCAGTTTCACCAATGTATGACTTATTCTGATTAGATAGACATGGCAGACTGTGACAGAGGAAGAAGTTAAAAGAGGAAAGAAGGCTATTTTGCTTCTTTAGACTTTATAACATGGGCTCTATGGGGAATCTCCCTTACCTAGAACTCACATTTTTAAAGAAAACAAAAATTTCAAAGTTCATGAATGTTTTTTGAAGCCACATTTCTAGATGTAATTTTATGTGCACATTTCAAATATGACATCACTTATACAATGGCCAAAAATGCTTCTAAATGATAATTAATTTCCACATATGGAGATTTTGTCAGGAAAGGAGTAGGATCAGCGTTCAAAACTATGCGTCAATAATCAATATTGCATGTAATAAATAAATGTAAAAATATTAAAGAGGTTCCCATTTTCCCGTGTTATTTCAGGCTTTGAGCAATTTGATACTTTGTAACACTTCTCAAATTTGACTTATAATTTTAATTATTGGAAATTGACTTATATTAAATTACCATAATAACAGGCCCCGAGCCTTTTTTGTGATTATACATTGATACCCGTTGAAGAGTTTAAGTTCATCATCAAGGAGTCGACACAACTATGATTATTTGTTATAATAGCTGATAATGATCCATCAAAACTACAGCAAAAAACTAAAGTTAAAATGCGCGTGAAATTAAATCAATTAAATCAAGTATTCATCTTCCTAGTTGGCGTTTTTCTGGGATTGTTCATTAACATTTCTCAAACAAATGATGAATCAATGCGTACAAAATATTCATCTGGATTGGATGTTCAAGAATCATTGCAGCAATTAAAGTTTCACAGGGAAACCGAAACAACAAAGCTTTTTGAGGACGGCATTCAATACCATGGTAAGACATTAATTATAATTGTACCGATGTAATTGTAACAATGGAAAATAGTAGCATATTCCAGATGATAGTTATGTACGTGTATTTAGTAAGAGCTACAGTGTATGTACGTGTTTCAGATAATACAAGGTTGGCAGACAGTCTTTACAAAAGAGTACGTGTACTTTGCTGGATCTTGTCTTCCCCAGACAACCTTAAAAGAAAAGCTCAACATGTCCGTGCCACCTGGGCGAAGCGATGCAATATTGTTATATTCATCAGCTCCAAGACAAATACAAATTTCCCGGCAGTGGGTTTTAACACAACTGAAGGCGTATACCATGTAACTGCTAAGACAATGCATGCATTTAAATACTGTTGGGATTATTATAGGGATCAAGCTGACTGGTTCCTTAAAGCTGATGATGATTCATTCGTCATCCTAGAAAATCTGCGATATTTTTTATCAGCTTATAAACGAACAGATCCTTTATACTTTGGACATAAGTTTAAGACAAAGCTGAAACAGGACTATTTCCAGGGTGGAGCGGGTTATGTGTTATCTCATGAAGCACTGAGACGTTTTGGTGAGAAGGGATTTCAGGATCCCAAACACTGTCGCCCAAAAGGAGGCGCAGAAGACATCGAGATTGCAAAATGTATGGAACATCTAGGAGTTACCATGGGAGACTCGAGGGATGCTATGGGACGGAGTCGTTTTCATGTTTTTAATCCCCCAATACAACTCGAGGGAAGATTTCCTGCATGGTACTACAAGCATGATGCGCATGGAGCTCCATATGTAAGAGCATTTGAAGTTGTTAAAAGTATCCTATAGCTAATGTTACGCGGTAAATGGCATACATTCATGGTTGCGCGGTATTTGTGATACAGGTGAATATGCCATACTCACCTGCGGTATATGGCATATTCCGCAAGTGAGTATGCGATATTCCGCAGTGAATATGCGATACATTGATTTCAGTGAATACCCGATACTCACCTGCGGAATATGTCATACTCACTTGCGGAATATGCCATAGACCGCAGGTGAATATGACATATACCGCAGGTGAAAACGTGATACAGAAAGCGTTGGTTTGATTGGTTGCGAGAATCGACTCTAAATGTAAAACTATACGCTAGATTACCAATATATTTAGTGCGTCGAGTACTAATATATGAATCCTGGATTGATTAAGTTTATTACGCGAGATTGGTGACTGATACTTCTGCTAAGTTAATATATTCGATACACAGTACTCACGGTCTCCGATACTACCCAACGTAAATCGTTCCGGACTTGTTTTTCATAACCATTTGGACTTGATTTATGGAAAAAAGTAGAGGTAGGTTTGTAAATTTGGTTATGAACTTGCTCTCACTTGACTCTATATAAATTATAACACAATTATAAAACTTACCATACTATATACCCTATCTTCAGGCACACGCAAACGCCTTTTTTGTACGAACCGTTTGCTATAGTCTTGTTATTTCGGGATGTGAGCGATTCTGCAAGTGTTTTCACCTATTTTGCCTGATAATCACCAGCCTGCCTTTTATCCAATGAATACACCGATTTATAATGAAAGTAGCCATATTGTGAACGAAAATCATGATTTAAAATGGTTTAAATGAGTAGCAATTGTCGAAAGAATATTTTTTAGATTTAACCATTTGGACGTGACCTAAATATTTAAGTTAATGATGTTGACTTGTTATTGGAACGTTTCTGACTTGTGTTATTGGAACGTTTCTGACTTGTAGAACACAATGAACCATTTTTAAGTGTGGAACAGCTCCATAAACTTTATAGATTTCCAACAAAACAGTAGAAGAAGTTGTCTGAGTGATACTATCTAAATGATCATCATTAATTAAACGTATTAAGAGATACTTGTCAAGGTTGAATTAGGGAATCATTACAGATACATGTTCTTTACTTGATACTTTCAAGGGGCAAGAATTCATGTAGAGAGAAAAGTTGATTTTTTACTTTTTCTTGTGTTTTGCCTCTTTGCTTTTTTAAAGACTTCACTCGTCGCTATTTTCAATTTGTCTATGAAAAATGTGAGCATAAGTTTGCCTCGAATAAGACTTTAAAAGCATCTTATTGGCTTCAAACTGACTTCCATGCTTATATTAATGCTAAGCAAGAAGTTTAGTGAAAGTTGAGAAGAAATAATTAGTTTTAATCGTTATTTACTGTTAAAAATCTACTGGTTTGTCCCTAGATTATTAACAATTTGATTCATTATTATTTGTTATGATTTCATGATTTGCCTCACTGCATGCAGGTTTTTGCCTCGGATTCTTCTTTAGACTTTCCCCTTAACTTCCAATGCACTAAATACGTTAAAAAAGCCCAGCGTCGCCTCTTTTAAATGGCCTGGGTTTTGACTCTTTTTAATACGAGAGATGTGTCGCCTAAGACAGGATTTGCTGTAAACTTACAATAATAATATTAACCCCAAATGTATTTTGAAAAGAATATATAGAAACATCATCGATCGCCGAAATACGATCTATGCCCGCACATACATGGATTCCATCATCTTTTTTATTTGACACATGGCCTTGAATCGCATGCGCTTCTGAAGAGGACTGGGTTCAACGTATTCTTCCTCCTATATCGAGGTGCCATCATCAAATGACAGCTTTGAGCCTAATTTATCACACATCCGGAATCCATAATCCAGTGTTTTGTAACGACATATGCCTTTATCACGAAAAGGGACGTCAAGCCTGAATAAACCGGAGGGATGGTCCCTCTTGAAGTGTTCAAAGAATATATTTTTATCTGCACTTTTAAAAGTACATTCGTGACACTTGTTTCTGGGAACTGAAATTACAAAATCTGTGAATATTTAGTACAAAAACTCCTCTAAAACATAATCATACTAAATCCAATTATTCCAGAAGCATAGACAATTCATCAAACAATGGGAAGTATAAATACCATTACAAGACAATTCCTAATCGTCATTTTTTATCACGTTGTGCACAATTCGCAGTCGTTCACCTAGTGATTATAAGACAAGTCCGTGTCAGAATAAGGACCATTCGCCGTCGTTAACTCCACTTTTTACATTACGGTCATTTATGGAAATTTGAAGGTACAGATAGTTAAAATATCAACACGATCTTTAATGTAGTGAATATTGTTCCACGTTATAAAATGATTTTTTTGTTTAAACATAGTTAAATGACACTAATGCAGATTTAGAACATATTTCTGGCATTTTTGTTATTTAATGCCGATAAATATGAACTATGATGGCACGATCGCCAAATTAGATATGTGGGTATGAAAAAGAATGTTTTAGGTAGAAGTTAGCGTATGTATTTTTCTAAACGATTGAATTATATTACATTTTTGAGCCATTCTGGTGAATGTCTTATCTCATTCTCCTACGAAATGAGTCAAAATGGTTATGAAAAACAAGTCCGGAACGATTCACGTTGGGTAGTATCGGAGACCGTGGTACTGCTGATTCAATAATCATTATAATAATCTATAACGTTTTACTTGTTCGTTCAATCGATGCAATTGACAATTGCGTACTTCCGCATCACGTTCTCATTGGTTAATGTGTATGCCATATACCGCAGGTGAATCTGTCATACACCGCAAGTGAATATGCCATATTCGTTGCGGAATATGACATATTTTTGTATCGTGTTTACCGCATAACAGCTAATTTGTGCTTTTCTTAAAGAATGTATCGGGTGGGCATAAACAAATGGGCTTTACTTTCATGCTACATTGACCCATTATTCCTTATTCAAACCCTTTCAAACTTTAGACATGCAGCTGGTATGATAATTAATAAACATACCAATTTCCAAGGTCATACGGGTAACTTAAGTAATCTTTATGAAATTTTGTAAGAGGGATGAAGCGGTTTGACAGATTAGAAAATCTCGCTGCAGAAACGTTGATAATTTGTTTTGACGGAGAATGTGAAGAAAAATGGGTTCACATATGAAAAAGACTTTCTATTTGAGATGGCACGCAATAGACAGATGATGCGTTTATGGCACACGAAAGCGGGAAGAGACTCGAAGAGACTCATGATCAGGACTCAATCGACCAGTTCGTGGAAAAAATAGTTGTGCGCCATCCGAGAAGAATTAGATGGAAGACCAATTGATCTCCCTTTGAAATGAAATAAAGATGGGTATCATTTTGAAATGTCTGGCACATGCGTTTTTGACTCGCGTCCCATGAACGGAAACCTTAAAAGATTAAATTGAAATTTAGTCTGTATATTAGGGACATAATAAATTTTAATTGTGCACATTTTAAGAGGGTTTCGAAGATAATATAGGGAGTTTAAGCTTGCATATAACATCGAAACGCCAACCTATACGTATGACCAATTGTCCATACAAATACATTGCTTAAATATTTTCCGTTCACGTTTAGGTTGTAAAAAACATTGCGAGCTTAAACTCCCTATTAAGTGTCAAAGTACGGTCCCGCCCGATATATATTGGTTCAAATTTGGATTTCTTATTATGGTTAATTTGCGGATCAATATAGATATTGGATAAACATAATTTGTATCAAATACCTAGTTTTTTTCTGAAAACTCCATTTACCTTTAACCTCAGATACGTTTTTGATAATGATATTAAATTTTTGTAGGGTCCTGAAAGCATCAGCAAATACGCAGTATCATTCCATTCAGTCGAACCCCAAATGATGTACCATTTAGATTACTACATATATCATCTACGTCCTTATGGTATCGTCACTGGCAATATGGAACGCAATGCCAAACCTTAAGAGGTTTGCTGACGCTCACACATGAGGGTACCAAACAATGCATTTGATGATCGACTTGCATACCAAGCTTATGTTTTTGATAATGAACTTATTCTGATATTCCTTATTTGGGGGTTATTCCCCTTTAATGGAATACTTAATGGAGGCCGAAGAATTGGTCTTCAGAAACATTCATATTTTGGGCTACTAATTATTTTCATCATATATCTTTGCAATTTTTAAAAAATTACTGATATTTAGCTCATTTGTAAGCATTCGATTTCCTACCATCCTTCAATATTTCATAACCATCATACTGATAATCACAATGTTACAGCACTTTAAACACAGTGGCCTTTATTTCACTTTAAACAAACCTGCACGTGTCGTCCAAAATGTCCGTACCTGATTTCTACCTCTGGGGATACGCCAAAGATACTAGCGTGTACAAGAATGACCTTAGGACAAATGCAGACCTCAAAAGGGAGATCATCCGTGTCATTCAGGCCATATCTGCTGAGGAATGCTGTCGGGACTTTGACAACTTAATTGCGCAGCGCAAGTATGGCCACACCTGGAGCATGTTGTTGAAAGTGCTGTAACATTGTGACGAAATTTTGAATGATTCACAAATGTACGAAATATCAGCTGGGAGTAATAAGCCCCACCTGAAAATGACAAAGATATGAAAAAATGCAGGGTTACCTTTTTAACCACAAGCACCTTGTAAGTGTTCCCAAAAAAGTTAGCCACTTTTGAACAAGTATTTTCTCAGCAATGGATGGGCCGAATTTATGGAAATACATATTGAGTTACTTTAGGGTATTACCTTAAGCAGGCCCGTAAGACACTTTTCTCCAAGGGGGGTGCGGTTTTAGCTTACTAAAGAGAATATAAAATTGTCATTTTTTTTGCCGCGTAAATCAAATCGCGGAACACAGAGGGGGGGGGGGGGGGTCAGTTACTCCCTATATTGGTTTGGAATTAACAAATGCATGCAACTTCCAAACGTTCCAATTGTTTTGTGGTCCACTCCCCCTAGAAAATTTTACAGTTTTGAGATGCTATTTGGTGCTTTCTGGGCACTTTCAAAGTGTAAGTTTCTAAGTACGCCACCACCACGGGAATAAGATTTGAGTGAATAAAAAACCGAGCATTCAGGGGGGTCTGGGGGTTCTCCCCCAGGAAAATTTTGAAATTTGGTTGTATTTGGAGCGAATTTGCAACCATCTGGTACGCCTGTGCGGAAAATGTGAATTTTTTCAAATTCTTTTGGGGGTGTCAAAGAGGATGAGAGGGTGAAGTGGGGTGGGGTGCCAGTAGGGGAGCAAGGGGTTGTCCCCAAGAAACATTGACCATATCAAGGTGCTATTTGATGATGTCTGGGCACTTAAAAATGTCTGAGACAATACATGAAATTCAAAATATTTTCTTTTGTTTTGTGGGGGATGTGAGGGTTGGCTAACTCTCCTAGAAAATTTTACAATTTAAAGATGATATTTGGTGCTTCTGAGCACTTTTAAAGTGTATTAGTCAATAAAAACATTGAAAAACAATCACAATTTTTTTCAAATTTTGGGGGTGTCAAAGGGGGGGAGGGGTGCCAGAGGGGGAGGTGGGGCTGGGGTGCCAGAGGGGGAGCAATATTTGTCCCCCATTTCAAAATTTACAATATCAAGGTGCTATTCGATGAAGTTTGAGCACTTTAAAAGTGTCTGTGTCTAAAAGTGCCTATTTCCCAAGAAAAGTTTACAATTTTAAGATGCTATTTGGTGCTTTCTGGGCACTTTCCAAGGGTGTGAGTCAATAAAAAAATTTGAAAAATCTCAATTCTTTTTTTTTGGGGGGGGGGGGGTGTTAAGGGAGGGGGGCTGCCAGAGGGGGAGGGGGAGTGGGGATGCCAGAGGGCGAGTAAGTGTTAGTCTTCCAGAATCATTAACTTTATCAAGGAACTATTTGATGATGTCTGGGCAATTTAAAAGTGTCTGAGACAATACATAAAACAAATTCAGAATTTTTCCATTGTTTTGTTTGGGGTGTGAGGGGTGGCCCACTCCCCCTAGAAAATGTTACAATTTTACGACGCTATTTGGTGCTCTCTGGGCACTTTCAAAGTGTATGAGTCAATTAAAGAATTTGAGAAAATCACATTTTTTTTTTTTTGGGGGGGTGGGGGTCAAGGGGGGGGGGGGCGCCAGAGGGGGGGGGGGGGGGTTATGCAAGTGCAAGATGAAAGAGGGGGAGTAAGTCCCCCAGAAACACTAACTATATCAAGGAGCTATTTGATGATATCTGGGCACTTTAAAAGTGTCTGAGACAAAACTCTAAAATAAATTTAGAACTTTTCCATTGTTTTGTGGGGGGTGTGAGGGGTGGCCAATACCCCTAGAAAATTTTACAATTTTAAGATGCTATTTGGTGCTTTCTGGGTACTTTCAAAGTGTATGAGTCAATGAAAAAAAATTACAAAAAAAAAAATTTTCAAAAAAAAAATTTTTTCAAATTTTTTTTTTCAAATTTATTTTGGGGGGTGACAAAGGGGGGTGCGGTCGCACCCATCGCACCCCCCCATCTGACGATCCTGTTAAGTCTGCAAATTATATAGACGATCTGTCACAAATCATTTTAGAATTGTCTAATTTAAAAAAATAGGTCAAAGTATCCAATATCAATTAAAAAGTCATACTGGTTGAATGACAGGTCTGAAATATAAATCTCAATGGCTTTTTATTCTACCACTCTTTAATTTATTAAATTAATGGAATTACACCTACGATGTAAAAGCGCTTTTTAAAATCCTATCGGGTTTCGGACCCGCCTTTAGAGTCAGGTGTAATCACGATCGCGGATTTAGAAAAGCGCTTTTGTAATCCTCCCAGACCCCTAGTCATTAAAAACCGCTTTCACACCCAAAGGCGGTTTAACGTGTAGGTGTAATACCGATTGGTTTTCAAAGCGCTTTAACTCGATTTTACACTGAACGAAAACTATATTTGCGCATGAGCATCAAGCATGTTATTGATTTCCGGTGTGGAGGAAACTTTAAAAAACAAAATTCAAATATTGTGCAAAACTCAATCAAATCACCAAAATGTCGAAACAAAGTAGAATTTATTGGGAACACGTCAATACTGAGCGTATGCTTTCGATTTGGGCTGACAAAAAGATCCAGGCCATGATGAACGGCACGTTAAAAAATGCGATTGCGTATGACCTGATCTCGCAGTATCGGATCATTTTGAATCTCCAGAGATGGCGCTACGGTTGAAAGTGTATATCTAAATAGCAGATTTTGATGCTAATGCGATGGTTGATGGCAAATTTTTGTCTTAAATCAGTCTAAAAGCGCTTTAGAAAAATCAAGTGTAATCACGAAAAGTTGTCTTCAAGGCGCTTTTAAAATTCTGGTGTAATCAGGATTGCGGTTTTCTAGCCTACGTTACCCAAAACGCCTTGAAAACGCCTTCAGCCATGAAATAGGTGTAATTCCACTAATTATAATTTTTAAAAACTTTCAAATATCCCGCCAAAAAGTTGTCTTCACAAAGTGCCACGCCCACTCTCTCAATGTACATAGCCTCGTTTTGGACATACACAAATGGTCGTGATTCAGAAAAGTTCGTGACAAAATAAGTTGAACTAAAATTTAGTACTACCAATCGCTGATGCTCTGTAATCGTTTAGTTTAATAACCTCACACAAAGGCAACAGTATCATGGTGAGTTATACTTTGTTTAAAACAAATCGAACGCAAGGTTCCTTCACAAATGCTGAAGAAATTTTACAAAATATTTCATTTTCAGAATCAGATTTTCTCATTTTTCTTGCTCAGGACTTTAGCATTAGCATCAACTTATGGTATTATAGTAAGTATACATGCACAGACACGGGAACAAGAGTTCATCCCCCTCCCACTCACTATGTATTAGGTAGAAAGCTATACAGTGACTGGGGGGGATTTAAATCTTCCTTGGCCTGTGTATACATCACGGGATGTCATCGCCTGATTTGGTCAATGTTAGGGAGCAGGTCGTTTTTACAATAAATTTCAATATTTTCACACAAAATATTTTTTTACTGAAAAACTGCTCATTCGCAGAGAAAATGTACTAGCACATGCAATGACAATGTCAATCACGCTTCTGTACGAAATTCGGCGGAAGTCTTTTATAATCTAATACGAAGTTACTAAAAAAGGCGCGAACGCCCTACACTCAAAATGATCGTTTTTCCATTATAACTTTTTAACGTAATTTAATGAAGGCTTCTAATTATTATCCAATATAGTCTAAATACCGATTAAAATATTTCTTACTTCAAACAGATACGCCGTCTTTTATTCAATTTTTTAAAAAATAATAAAAAATAACTCTTGTCAATGTTAGGGAGCAGTCAATGTTAGGGAGCAAAATGATTTTATCAGAATATTAAAAATGTAGCAAATGGCCATTTAAAATATGTATGGCATTTATAAACTGAACAATTTTGTTTGTATGATTATTTGATACCCTTTGGGGAGGAAAGCGTTAAAATTGTAAGAAAATCATTGAAAAGGTTATTTTGCATTTTTTATTTTCAGCTAAATCCTGTTTACGTTCGTTTTAGAAATATTTAGATGCGAACCATTCCTTCTTTATTCGTTAACCTCTAACTGTAAATGAATGGATGTATCGTTATATACACTTTTTGATGATGTCATCAGTTCACAATCCTAAATTGTGGATGATAAATTATCTGAACTGATATATAGGCTTGAGAAATCTCCGACATCCTTCAGTTCTATGATTTGATATTTTCCTAGTATTAAAGTAAGAGAGTTAGTCTCGCACTTATCTTTACGACCGGGTATCACCTGATAGCTGGCACAAACGCTATGAAGGGCTCATTGCGCAGTTACATGTATGATAGTAGATTTTTACACGTATACTTCAATTTGTCAATACTCAGACAATGCAGTATACAGTATAACCGATCTCTGTTATATGTGTACCACTTGCTAATGATACTCTAAAGCCCGGTATACACCAATGGGACAAGTTGGGACCTCCATAGACTTAACATGGCGTGGGACCTAGTGGGACCTTTTGGGATTTTGCCCCATGAAGTCCGTGGGAATCAATGGGACTCCGTCGGATTTTGCCCCAACTTGCATATAATCTTGCCCCATCGAGTCCCATGAGGTCCCACGTTGGACTCGATGGGATTCGATGGGGCAGGATGGGGCAAAATCCCACGGAGTCCCATCTTGCCCCATCGAGAATGAACATGTTCATTCTTTCCATGGGGCATCGTGGGATTTCCGATCAGGTCACATGTTATGTGAAGCCCAACATACACCAATGGGGCAAGGTGGGATTTGATGGGACTCCATGGGGCTCGATGGGGCACGTTGGGACTTGATGGGGCAAAGTCATCAACCATGGGACTCCGTTGGACTATCGATTTTGTTAAATTTTGTTAAGGCAAGGGGTTTAAAATAATCATTCAAACAATATTGTTTAGTTTATAAATGCCATACATATTTTAAATGGCCATTTGCTACATTTTTAATATTCTGATAAAATCATTTTGCTCCCTAACATTGACTGCTCCCTAACATTGACAAGAGTTATTTTTTATTATTTTTTAAAAAATTGAATAAAAGACGGCGTATCTGTTTGAAGTAAGAAATATTTTAATCGGTATTTAGACTATCTTGGATAATAATTAGAAGCCTTCGTTAAATTACGTTAAAAAGTTATAATGGAAAAACGATCATTTTGAGTGTAGGGCGTTCGCGCCTTTTTTAGTAACTTCGTATTAGATTATAAAAGACTTCCGCCGAATTTCGTACAGAAGCGTGATTGACATTGTCATTGCATGTGCTAGTACATTTTCTCTGCGAATGAGCAGTTTTTCAGTAAAAAAATATTTTGTGTGAAAATATTGAAATTTATTGTAAAAACGACCTGCTCCCTAACATTGACCAAATCAGGCGATGACATCCCGTGTACATTGGGGGACAAAAATAAAACTCAATGTTCACAAGTTGTCAAAATGAGCTAATTTCCAAGTTTCGTGTCTCAAACTCTCCCAAGCAGTAGAAAAATAATTCCCGTTCACTAAAGTAGCACAATAAATGAATCCAAAGCTTCATACCTGCAAATAATGAATAAATCCCTACCAAATCGAATGAATGTTTTCATGAATCGCCATGTTTGTTATCCAAGGACAGTTGACTCCCAGAATGCAACATCAGTTACCGTATTTACTCATGACAGGTTTCTAAATGGCGGAACAGCATTTTGAAAGCTGGCACGTGTCATGTTGCATTCTGGGAGCCAATCCTTCGTTCCGGCGCAAGCGGGCGACAAAATCACCTCAACATTTGAAGAGTCGGCATAACATGTGAATATCCACTTCAACTTTTGAAGTTCTTATTTGTCATTAGGGACACAAATTCCACTATATTTGGACTTACTCAGACGGAGAAAATAGAGCACTGAATACACTGAGGTAAGAATTTATTACATGTGCAACAGCATGTAATTTTCATAGCTTTTGCAATTCTTTATGATCCCCACTGTACATGTCAGTGGCGTAGTGTGGATTTTGAGTGTAAGCGAACAAGCTTCGAGGTGGTGAGGTGTGTGGGGAATTTGTTATTGTGCGATCCCCTTTCCACAAATTATGTGAGCAATATTGCAAGAAGCTTAGTGTTACAAAAGTGAATAGCAATCAACAATGAAAGGTAAGTCTTGAGAGGTTTGATATGAAAATCTCTAAATATCTCACAAAAAATGAGAATTAGCAAGATTTTAAGGCGATATAGAAACTCCTTTATTGTCAACAGTATTCTCTTCACGCTTTTATTTAAGTTTCAGAGAAACCTTTGAAGTTGAAGCAAAAGTTGAAAGAACTTGTTTACCCTGGATTAACCAATATTAAAAATTATTGGATTGTGTTTCTTTCTCAGGGGGTAGAAACGCGTTCAGTATTTTCGTCTGGTACAAACCGAGATACTGGATGCAGACCTCCATTTTTGATCCAGAGAGAGGTAGGTGTGAGTTTACTCGGTAGCCTGTACAGAGTTTCCTTATCTAAAAACAGGGTCATCATATCCCCAGTACATTGAGGAACAAGCAATTCTTATAAAATGACAGTCATTCATCTAGATTTTTTGTAATGTGGGGTTAAGCACAGAAATACTTTGATTTTTTCCCAGGAAATACACAAATCGAGTCAGATTTCATTTCATTGACAAGATATGCAATTTTCTTGAGTATGGAAAAAGAATACAGCTTCCACCTTCCAGTCGGCTAATTTTAGCTTTGAAATGATGGAAAATAGAAAAATGATGAAAGGACGATTCTCGGTTTGGAGAAGTCTCATGGGCTAATAATTTTTTTCATGAAAAATATAGAAATATTACCCAAATTAAATTATGAATATTCAAAAGAGGACATTTAAATCTACAAGATGTATAAATAACAAATTGGTCTGAAGCAGGGATAACGCTCAATTAGACCGATTCAATAAAATACAAGTCTCGATTTGGGGAAAGAAGTTCATCAGTGTACTGCGCTAATATTTTTTTGTGAAAAATCTAGAAATATTACCCAAATTAAATTATGACTATTTAAAAGAGGACATTCAAATCTATATTATGTTAAAAAATCAAATTTGTCCGAAGCAGGGATAATGCTCATTTAGATTGATGAACTTCGTTCTCCAAACCGAGAATCGTCCTTTGCAGATTTGAGGCTGTATTGTTAGTAAACAGAAAATTGCATATCTTGTTAATGAAATGGTAAATAAAAAGAAATATAACTCGATTTGTGTATTTCATGAAAAAATGTATAATATTTCTTTGCTTAACCCCACATTACAGAAAAACTAGATGGATAGCTGTCACTTTATAAGAATAAAACTGATTAAAATTACACCTACCTCTCTCTTGATCAAAAATGGAGGTCTGCATCCAGTATTTCCAGTTGAGAAAATCTTATAATTGATTTATGACTCGGATTTTGACTGTCACCAATTGTGGGGGAGGGGCTGCTGAACTGTAAAATTGTCTTACCATCATCATCATTAGATTACATGATACCATATCAGAGGTTACTTTATAAAATGACCCCAGCAGTCAGGGAAATATGTCTTAGAGGTGACACAAATTTCCCAATTTTGTTTTTCAGGAGACGCATTAAAGACCCAAAAACACCCAGAAAATATTTGAGATTTTTTTAGTCAGAACTATATATCATGTATCGCCAGGATCAACAAAGCCGCAGCAACCACGGCTATGTGGAGAACATCCCTATGTCACATGGTATGTTGTTACAATAAAAAATTGTTCGAATAGTTTTGTTGCAATTTAACAAAAATTATCCGTCATTCGAACTGTGATTTCTGATTATGTGCTTATAGATGTAGTTGTACAAACACATTGACCAAACCCTGTGTCCAGATATTGACATACTGTATGTATACAGGATTACCATATAACGTGCATACCAGTATTTGTTTTCATGTCTGAATCAACAAAATAAACCTATACACTATATACAATGTTAAATGTCAAACTGAACTCAAGTCTAACTTATTTTCAGAATTTAAATCGATTATAAAAAGTTACCAGCATAATGGTTTCTTATCTATTGTACCAAAGGTTTTCACAACAGTATTCCAAAGTACTACAGTGTATTTACGTAAATATGTATATATGTTAAAAATTGTTTTATGATTTGCATGTTATGCTGAAAATTATTTTCAAGATATGAGAAAATCTTACAAACGATAAAACTATTAATTTGTATTTAAGTCGACCATAGGTACGTGGATGCCCATCAGGTTGATGTTAATATGTCAACAATGATGCCCACAAGGGACAATTCAGATTTGAGACTGCGTCGTCAACATTCCGATGCCCCTAGCTACCATTCCTCTGGAGATGATGCAGATTTTAGGCACAATCAGCCACATACTGGGGGTGGTCTGATAGATGAACTTCCAAGTCGTCAACTAAGTAAGTTCCACACTCAATAAATGTAGTTTATAAAATTCAATCAATGTAGTGTGCTATAGACTTTATGAAATAACTAGGAGCTATCATTCATTCATAAGCTCTTGATCATATTTGAAGATTGTGTTTGTTTCATTATTTAAGTCTGATTTTGTCATAGGAATTTTCAGGTTTAAAGGACGATTCTCGGTTTGGAGAACAGTCTCCTGGGCTAATAATTTTTTTCATGAAAAATATAGAAATATTACCCAAATTAAATTATGAATATTCAAAAGAAGACATTTAAATCTACAAGATGTAAAAATAACAACTTGGTCTGAAGCAGGGATAACGCTCAATTAGACCGATTCAATAAAATACAAGTCTCGATTTGAGGAAAGAAGTTCATCAGTGTGCTGCGCTAATATTTTTTTGCGAAAAATCTAGAAATATTACCCAAATTAAATTATGATTATTCAAAAGAAGACACTCAAATCTATGTTATGTAAAAAAATCAAATTTGTCCGAAGCAGGGATAATGCTCATTTAGATTGATGAACTTCGTTCTCCAAACCGAGAATCGTCCTTTAATTTGACATTGATATTTAAGTCGTACTCTACATTAATTTTCTAAGAAAGTCCATTGAAAATATACTTTAACAAACCAGGAAGTATGTATGTTGTTGTCAATTCAGATAATCTAAAGTGCTCTTCTCCGAAATCAACTTACAAAATTTAATCATACATTGTACACTTTTCAATCTTAGGAGATAAGAATTGTCAAGTGGATTTGGTTGTTCTATAATCTTGGTTTTGAAATACATGTGTATTTTAAAAATATCATAATTCTGATACTCAGTGTAATACTGAAGTTTTTTCAATTTTCTTTAAGCCATTTTGTTGCATGTTAGCAGGTGTCAGCCCGTCAATGGAGGGTTTGTTAATAGCTTTGAAATCTTGTTGAAGTCTCGTTTTAATGACATGGAGATCTGTATGTTAAACCATTAAAAGATACCATTTTCATGACAAATTTGAATTCTTTTTGTAGTATTTTATCAAAACAACTTTGAATTGCACATGGTATTTACCTTTACTCAATTTTCCAGGATTTTCAAGTTTTCTGCAAAAGGTCGGGCTAATCCCCATTGACAAATCCCAGAATGTCAAAAAATCTTCAAAATTTTGTTTACTCACAATTTTATTATACCATCTAACAAAGTTCGGAGGGATATAGGGAACGCCTCCAACCGTCCGTCCATCTGGGCAATAACTAAAATACCGTTGGCCCGATTTTGTTCATATTTTGTACATTTATACCCTATGAGGCTAGAAGTTCTGCTCAAAGGCTGATTTTCAAAATGGCCACTCATTTAAAAATGGTGGCCATTTTAGTGCCGATTTTACAGTAATTAGGTGCAATATATTAAACTGTAATAGCAATATGTTTTAAATGTAAAAAAATTATACAGGACATTAATAAAACTTGAAATGTAGATATTAAAGAAGCACATGGGAGCCATCTTGAAAAATGGCGGCCTTTACTCGTTACTTTACGATTTTTACTTTACTCAAAAAGTAGTGGAGCGATTTTGTTCATATTTGGTATGTGAATACTATATGTATGGCACACTGTCTAATGACACTTTTGGTAGAAGGCGGCCATTTTGAAAAATGGCCATCATTTTAACATATTTTACTATAACTCTAAAAGTAGTGGAGCGATTTTGTTCATATTTGGTATGTGAACTTTTGGTACAAGATGGCCATTTTTGCTGTATACTTTGTTTGTAAAAATGCCAGCCATGGCTGTTTGATGGGATTTGCTACGCGTTGGCGTTGCTGTTGTCTAGTTAATACTAAATCCAAATCTGCATGTCAACAAGATCATATAGTTACATGCCAATTGAGCTTTCAAACGCTTGATAAATCAAGAAATTAAATGGGTGGTAGGTGTTGGGCATATTTCATGGACATTGGAAAGACTATGCCTTCTTTTTTTCATGATATGTTTGTTTCAGTTAATGCAGTTAACCAAATAGAAGATTCCAAAACATGGAAGAAAAAATCCTCCAAAGCAAAAAAATATGCCACCTTGCATTTAAGACGAGGACAACAAGCAGTAAACTTTGAGGAGGCAATGATTGAAAACATTGGCAGTGATCCAGAGAATGAAGCTGATGCCGAAATGGTTGAGGCGCAGACCATAGAGGCACTGAGGGCAATGACAATACCAATTGCGAGAAAACGAGCAATGATGTAAGAGAAAATTTGAAATCGAGGAAAATATTTAGAGAATTGTTTGGTATCCATGAGGCAAAGTAGAGTTATAAAAAGAGTGGGATTTATTCTATTATTTTTGGGATAAAAATGTATCACACCACCCCCAAAATTGCTTAAATAATTTGAAATAATTTTTGAAATCTTTTCATCAAGAAAATTATATTCATCCATTAACAGTCGCAAGAGCCTTTACCAGTATCTGTTTAGGTTTTAGACATGTTCATCACAACTAGTATTTTTAATAGTCCAAACATAGTCTTGTTGTATGTTGAAAAGCAATTTGTATAAACTTTTTACATTATTATCTTGTTTCTAGAGATAAAAAGAGGGACTCAAACAAAACAAAACGATTCAAGAAAGTTGGATTCGTGAAAAGAACCAAATATTCTATGAGCATAGTAAGTACATAAAGTAATTATCCCACTGAACAAAGTTTGAGAGGGATATAGTGAACCCATCTGTCCATCCATTCGTCAATCTACAGGGCAATAACTCAAATATCAGTTGATGGATTTGATTCAAATTTTATAGGCTTATTTATGAGTGTAGGACCTCTGCTCAACAAGGAATTCTCAATATGGCCGCTCAATTCAAAATGGCCATCATTTTTCGTAAGAACTGTAATCTCTGATAACTCAAATACGAGTGGGTGGATTTGGTTTTTTATTGGCCAAAGCCTAGAGACACATGTGCTTTGCTGTAGAAGGAGTTTTCAAGATGGCAGCTTAATTTCAAATTGGGCACCATTTTTCGTAAAAAAACAACTTTGATGACTCAATAAGAATTGCTAATTTTGCTATAACTTTTGTTCTGTTTGCTTTTTCTTCATGAAACTTTCGCAACCTAAGGCACATATATCTGACTTTATTCTATGAAAGTTTCAAGACAATCAAATTAGTATTAACAAAGTTATGGTTACTAATAGAGGTGTAACTCCCGAGTCAGTAACTCGAGTACAGCTCGTCAGAGCTGCCTATACATTGGCTCGAGTTGTCCTCTAGAAACTCGCAATCTATTTCAACTCGCGAGCTAGCTATAACTCGAGTCAACTCGCGAGTTTCGCCTATCTTGCAAGCATGTAAAATGAATTCGGGTCACAGAGATCGTGCAACATTACTTCATTAGTGGAATAAATATACCAATGATCGCCATATTTAGCGCCCGTCACCTAAAAACACTCTCAAAGCTTCACAAAGTTCAACAAACATCGTGGAATGAAGAGTTACACCAAAAAATCAGAAAAAGATCGACTATCGAAGGAACTCAACGGGCGATAATAGAGTAGTCACTAAAATTGAATAAAAATGGTCCCCTTATTCTCACGTCGCTTACACGACTTTTACATAAAAAAGATGATCTATCATTAAATTAAGATCATAAGTCTTAACTTTAGATCGATAACCAGCAGTCTTTAGTATAAATAATGAAGATAATCCGGGAAAACCATTCATTAATTTGGGGGGCCCTTCTGGGTTTTCTAAAATATTGTTTGGTTAGATTCTAGCGATCTCTCGTCCTTACCGTATGTGGTGACGTCTATACCAGATCGTTTTTGATTGAAATATGAGATAACTGCAATGAATACCACACTTTCTTATGGCCCCAACGTGTTAAACACCTTTTAGATGAGACTAAACCAGAGAAACTTGCCGCTTGAAGTTACAGTAATTTTTTATACCCGGGTTTACAATATGTACTGGACGAAATGAATGGACTCGAGTTTTACTCGAGTTTTGGAAATATTTGGCAAGTTGAACTCGAATTGGATTTTTCTGGCGAGTTACACCTCTAGTTACTAAGGTAACTAGTATCATGGATATGCGGGGCAAATTTCTGACGTCACTTTGGACAACATTTTGAGTGTTAAAAGCAGTATCATTTAATGCCGTTTAACTCTTGGGGTATGCAGTGCAGTTACAAATGATCCATTCCAGATCAGAGTCACTTACATTCCAGCGTCAATGTACAGTTTCTGTCTGGCGACCCGCTCATGGTCCACATTTCTGAAGCCTGACCTTTAAAGTGTGTGACTAGGGAGGTGTTCACTGCAGACATCAGCTGATTGAGATTCTGGTCCTATATTCCTCTCAGATCCCTTTTCACTGGGGCGAATACAACAAAATCAAGTGGGGCCTTATCTGGGAAATATGCTGCGTGGGGCAATGCCTCCATGCCAAGCTCTGTTATTGTATTTAGGACTATAAAGGATCTGTGAGCAGGGGCGTTGTCCTGGTGGAACGTATAGGTCGATATTGCTCTTTAAGGATGTTGAAGTGTGTTCACTGCAGACATCCACTGATTTAAATTCTAGTGCGATATTCCTCTCAGATCTCTTTTCACCGCTGTTAGATAATACATATAATTCAAACTGACAACATTAAAATTTGACCATATCAACACTTGAGGTTGCCCTGCTTATCCATGACAGTGGTTACCATAGTAACCATAACTTTGTCAATACTAAGTCGGTAATCAGCAAATTTGAATCGAATAAGGTCAGATATGTGTCGCTTATGTTGTAAAAGTTTCATGAAGAAAAATGCAAGATAACGAAAGTTACAGTAAAATTAGCAATACTCATTGTACAAGTGGATGGATTTGGTTCAAATTTGATTTGCTGATACCCAGGGACAATGGGGCTCTGTTCAAGAAGGGATATTCAACATGGCCCCTATTTATCAAAACATGTTTTGTTTGGTGGGATTTTCTACTCAATGGAGTTCACTACATAGTTATATTTGTATTTTTATTTGAATTGAGTATGTGGAGTGCCAAAGGCTGCCTCTGCCTATGGGGTCCTTAGAAAAAGCACTCAGCTTAATAAATGCATTTTTGATATAAAATGTTCATATACGAGTCATAATAATTATGATTATGATTTCTCGTATAAAGAATCACTTATCTTATTGTTGAAGCATTACTCCAGCATTTTACATTTTTGTCATTTGTTTGCTTGTATGTATATTTTATTCAGATATCCCTACATTTCAGGGTTGGTCTCACTTTAAACAACAATTAGCAGAAGTACGATACACCATGGAACTCTGGTACAATCATCTGAAAAAGATTGAGGGTCACTTTGGGACAGGTGTTACGTCATATTTCCTGTTCCTTAAGTGGATGTTTTTGATGAACATGCCTGTGTTTCTATTGGTGTTTGGGTTTATCGTTATCCCACAGATCATTTGGCGATACCAGCAAAGTCCCATCTATACTGGAACCTTCACTGGAGTTGAACTAATGACTGGATGGGTAAGGAATTTTTTTTGATTTCAGTTTGGCTCTTTTCACCATGTGATCCCATCATATGGTGCCATTTCTCCCTTCATTTTGTGCTATAAACTAACATCCATGAATGTACATTATACAGCATATAAATTGATAAAAAAACACCCAAGTTGTCACTAAGCATGTACAGAATGGTATGATATTAATGGCAATCTTAAAATTGAATAAAGTTAGCTAAAGTCATAAATAAATTATATCTTTTATTTTAATTGGAAAATCATTTTATTATCTCGCCTGGGGTCAGTTTCTAAAATTAAAGTTGGAGTCCACAAATTCTATACAAAGCTATCACAAAAAAAGACAATCAGCTTACAAATCAGTCATTTTAAAATTATTTTGAGAGATGTATTTTAGTAAACCCTGCTTGTTTGATATTTGTTCAGGGGTTTCATTAGCAGCAGGCAACAGGTGATTTTCACTGGTTGTTTCCACAAAATCGCCTGTTGTTTTTAGGGACTTTTAGGAACTTTTTCCTGTTAAATTTATGATCCATTAATTTTACCTGCTGTTTTCAGTTATTTAGCCTGTTGTGAGAAATTCTAGTGAAACCGCTGTTGTTCATTTGATTCAGGGTTTCTTTGAAAATACAGAGATGTTTTATGGGTACTACGTGAATGATACAATCTCTGGTAGGGCCACTCCAGATCTGAAGTATGACATGAAATATGCATACCTGCTAACGATGGGTGCTTACTATCTCTTGATAATGATCATTCTCATGGGAAGGTAAGAAATACATAGAACCAAATGCCTCCTTGACTGTTTAGATTGGTTACATATAAAGGTGTATAACATGGGAGTCAAAGGGGAAAATATATAAAATATGTCCAAGAACATCCTCCGATCACAGGGCTTCAAAATCCAGAATATCTTCTTTCTTTTTACCCCCTGCGATAAGCAGTTAGCATTTCCCCGATTAAGAACTCGCAATTTGATTCGCTGTCGCAACACTGCAACAGCAATCGTGTATACGTCATCGGAGCATAATTAGATCACGTGATTCAGTTTAATCTGGTGCTTCCAAATTGGTTATAGCAGGGGGAAGATCGAGGTACGGATTCTGGATACCTGCTTAGGAGGATGGTCCAACAAGTGTTCTCATTGATCAGTGTTCAGATTTTATATAGTTGGAACTATACTCTGAATTGAAATTTGAAAGGAGAGTGATTGTTGAAATTAAGTTTAATATTCATAAAACAACTGGGATCCAATTGGATATGTTGAATTAAATATGTAATGTTAATGAGCATGTAATGTTATGTTATTTAATAATGTTGTAATATTAATGAAGATGGATGAATTGTTGATTTTAATTTCAATGCATAAATGAAATTGAAATTGATACAGTTACCACAGACTTACTCAATACAACTTATACTCACTGTAGTCGATGCAGTTACTTAATCATTTCCTCTTTATATTCTATAGCTTGACAAGATCCTACAGAAAGAATTACATCGATGGGGGTGGGGAATTCTCTCTCTATTTCTCTAGCAAGGTGTTCTGTGGGTGGGACTATGGTATGACAGCCAGGGATGCGGCAAAGTTGAAGCAGAAAAGTATATCCCAAGAGCTCAAGGTTAGTTTTAGGAATCATTATGCTCTCCCTATTTTCTTGTAGCTTTTAAATCTTGTTATTTTACATACTGTTCTTTCTTTCTTATCAAATGATGTAACAGTATATGTTAGTGTTATTCATCACCCTTGGTATACGCAGCTAACGAAAATTGACCGGTATGGGTCAAAAGCTGGACCGGTACGGGTTAACGGTTTTATTTGAATTTAAAACAGCCATAACTTGCTCAATATTGACTTCCTCGTGTCTAATTTGAAATATATGATGCCTCCCGATGCTTTTAAGTACCCCAATTTTTTACAGATTTTTAAACGGACCAAAACTCTCTAAATGCGCATTTATGCTCTTTTCTCTTGAGAACGACTGTCTCATTTTCACGATAACTTTTATTTAGTACTTCTAACATATAAGATCTATTTTTCCCCATCAAGGTATGATGTAAATGACATGCTATTTACATCTTGTGAGTTTCAATGACGCGCGTTTGATTTTATAAAAAATGCCAAACTTTGTGACAAAGAATTTCATCAGCTATTGCCCCGAACTGGTCCGTCTTCTCTCTGCAAGCAGATTGCCCCGAACCGGTCCGTCTTCTCGATGCAAGCAGGATGAAATTCTTTGTCACAAAGTTTGGCATTTTTTATAAAATCAAACGTGCGTCATTGAAACTTACAAGATGTAAATAGCATGTCATTTATATCATATAGTGGAATCAATTGGTGCAAGGCCCCCATAGGGACCTTGCGTTTTCATACTAAAGTTCGTTTTGGAGTTTTTTCTTATTGTTCTATGTATTTCAAGACATTTTAGAGACAGGGCCCTTTTTCTAAAGCCCTTTTTCAAAAAATAATTGAGATTACACAGAGGATACCCATTATTACTGCTTTTTAACACAATGTTAACAGAAAATTCAAATTTCAAACTCCTTATCTCACTATAATTCACCAATGGAGAATTGAAGTTGACCAACCAAACTTGGCACAAAGTTGGACCCTAAGATAAGCTCTAATCTGAGGGGTTTGATCTTTTGTGAAATCATATATTTGCCTAGCAACCACATAGCAACCATCTAAAATAACATATTTTACAATATAAATCCTATTAATATATGCTAGGATGCTATAAGACCATTACAAAAAGTCTTCTTTTCCTAAAATACAACAATTCAAAGATATTTACAGAAGTGACATCATCATGTTGCATAGCAACAACATGGCAACAGGTTACAATGCCCATTTTGACATTTGCACACCATATTCCTATTATATACTCACTTGTATGCTTTTGGATCCCTTCCACATTATTTCTTAACATACAGAAATTGTATTTAAGCATAAATGATGCAGTTATGCCTGACTATTTTCCCTAGCAATTTCTAGCAACGGCTTGAAATAATGGTTAAATTTGCCTAGCAATGACCTAGCAACAGCTTAAAATAGCAATGTTTCTCATAAAAATCTCACCAAATATCCACTATTATTTACTTGAAGAAAATTAATATGTATGTCTTTTAATTTATAAAGCTTTGTTTCTGCACACTTAAAAAAAATCTGTAGTCTCTTGTGTAAAGCATGATGGGACATTTCTTGTTTTATGTTTATCAAATTGCAAAAATCCTGCAATTCATGTTTCAGTTCTGAGATAAATTAAACACAAAATATTCATCGTATTTATCCTTGTTACATTTTCAGCATTGATACCCCTAAGATAATACTTTATTTGGGTTAATTGCTACAATTTCCTTTGCAGTTGCATAGTTTTGGTGCAGTAGAATGAACCATGGCATTTGCAGTTCCCTTTGCAGTCACATTTAGTGCATCCACATTTAATTATGACTTTACATGCCTCGGATGCTTGCGACAGTATTGTCCATCTGGGTACGCACAATCCTGATGCGCTCCTAAACCATCCCCATAGGTTTGGTGAAGGAAGAACTGGATCCACTATACCATTGCCCCCATACATGTGCTCCTTGGAGAGCTCGCATGACATGATATGAGTGCTGCATTGCATGTTGGAGGTACTCTATCGGGATCAATCTGTCATGAGTGAACATGTGCCTATGCATGGTATTGAGATTTGTCTCACTGTTTGTAGGCTGGTAAACCAGGATAATGAACCTTGTGCCCATAACTGTTACATTGATGGGCGATCTGCTAGAGTCAAAAGGACACATGTTAGATCATTACATAAGTTCCATTGCTTGAAAACTGTCACCTTGCTATGATGGTAAAGTCCAGATGTGGTATCAGTTCCAGTATGGGCGTGGAATATTGGCAGCACACATGCTCAATCTGTAGCTCAAAGGCACAGGCTAAGGCTATCACAAGAACATTACTGTCCACTGATCTTATCATAAATGTCCTGCAACCTTTTCCAACACCATGAGACACATGCAAAAACATATGTGTATCTGCCTCATGACATTGTTAATTTTCCACATTTGGATAGTAATATTCCACTGAACCCAGCATATGAGGTTTATGTATCCTAGCAGGGCGTGTTCAAAATACTAGTATATAGATTTTAAATCAAGACACCATATTTTACTGATTAAATCGTTAGGTCAAGGTTATGCTTGTTAAAAGCTTAAAATCCTATCTGGGCTTTGCTGAAACAAACAAGTCATTAATTTCAAAGTTTCAAGTTTTACCACTTGAGATGCTGAAGGATGTAGGAATTGTGCAAAGAGCTCTATCTTTCAAGAACGTCTTGCCAATTGCTTGGTAGTTTGATGTTAGGGTAGGATTTCTCAGAAACAATGACAACAATATAGAGTTCTTTGCACTACTAGCAACTGTAACAAGACATATCGTCCCTCCACTATTAAAAGGTTCTATGTCCACTTGTACCATATTTGAGAAAACAGAGAACAAACATTTAGGTTCATCTAGTTCAGCTAGTAATCTAAAACTTCCTCTGGAGTTGGTTCATGGAGTAAATTTTTACTATGCAAAAGAACAAGTCAGAATTTATGCAGACAAAAAAGTTATGCAACATTATGTGGGTGGGTAGCATTTTGTCTGTCTCACTCTGGATACACTCAGTCGTTGAAAGTAAAAAGGTTTTATCTCCAATGTGAATCATGACATTGAATGTTAAAAAGTTTTATCTCAAGAGATAGAACCATATAGCAGTAATTATCTTTTTCAAATGAAGGACATAGAACCTTATTGCATTAGAAATCTCCTATTTATGTTGTCTCAACCATTGAAGGAGAGTGCATTAGTAATCCTGCTATGCCATAATAGTCCCTGCTCCCAGGAAGAGGCAGATACACATATGTTTTTGAATGTGTCTCATGGTGTCGGAAAAGGTTGCAGAACATTTATGGTAAGATCGGTGGACAGTAATGTTGTGATAGCCTAAGCATTTTCAAAAGGTAAAACTAACACTACATTCCAATTTATGAATTTGCTTGAGCACTACGCTGCCAATGTTCCACGCCCTTACTGGAACTGATACCACATCTGGATTTTACCATCATAGCAAGGGGACAGTTTTCAAGCAATGGAACTTATGTAATGATCTTACATGTGTCCTTTTGACAAGAAGCACATGTATGGGGGCAGTGGTATATAGTGGATCCAGTTCTTCCTTCACCAAGCCTATGGGGATGGTTTAGGATCCCATCAGGATTGTGGGTGCCCAGATGGACAATATTGCCCAAGCATCCAAAGCATGTAAAGTCATAATTAAATGTGGATGCACCAAATGTGACTGCAAGGGGAACTGCAAATGCCATGGTGCATTCTACTGCATCGAACTATGTACCTGCAAAGGAAATTGAAGCATTTCACCAAAATAAAGTATTATCTTAGGGGTATCAATGCTGAAAATGTATCAAGTATCAATGTGATGAATATTTCGTGTTTACTTAGTCTCAGAACTGAAACACGTACGAATTGCAATTCGATATACATAAGACAAGAAATGTCCCATCATGCTTTACACAAGAGACTAACGATTTTTAAGTGAGCAATTATAAAGCTTTATAAATTACAAAAGACATATATATTGATTTTCTTCAAGTACATATAGTGGATATATAGTGAAATTCCTACAAGAAACATTGCTATTTTATTTAAGATATTGCTAGGTCGTTGCTAGGCAAATTTAACCTTTATTTCAAGCCGTTGTTAGGGGAAATGGTCAGACATAACTGCATCAATACATTTGCTATATGTTAAGAAATAATGTGGAAGAGATCCAAAAGCAGTGAACATATAATATTATATGGTCTGCAAATGTCAAAATGGGCATTGTAACCTGTTGCCATGTTGTTGCTATGTAAAATGGTGATGTCACTTCTGTAAATATGTTAAAATTGTTGTATTTTAGGATAAGAATACTTTTTTTTGTAATGGTCTCATAGCATCCTAGCATATATTACGTGGATTTATATTATAAAATATGTTATTTTAGGCGGTTGCTATGTGGTTGCTAGGCAAATATATGATATCACAAAAAATCAAAGCCCTAAGATTAGAGTTTATCCTAGGATCTAACTTTGTGCCAAGTTTGGTTGCTCAATTCCCATTCTCCACTGGTGAATTATAGTAAGATAAGGAGTTTGGAATTTGAATTTTCTAATAAAATTGTGTTAAAAAGCAGAAATAACAGGTATCCTGTGTAATCTCAATTATTTTTCTTAAAAGGGCTTTAGAAAAAGGGCCCTGTCTCTTAAATATCTTTAAATACATAAAGCTATAAGAAAAAACTCAAAAACAAACTTTAGTATGAAAACGCAAGATCATTCACCAATTGATTCCGCTAATACCTTGATGGGGAAAAATAGATCTTATATGTAAGAAGTACTAAATAAAAGTTATCGTGAAAATGAGACAGTCGTTCTCGAGAGAAAAGAGCATAAATGCGCATTTAGAGAGTTTTGGTCCGTTTAAAAATCTGTAAAAAATTGGGGTACTTAAAAGCATCGGGAGGCATCATATATTTCAAATTAGACACGAGGAAGTCAATATTGAGCAAGTTATGGCTGTTTTAAATTCAAATAAAACCGTTAACCCGTACCGGTCCATCTTTTGACCCGTACCGGTCAATTTTCGTTAGCTGCTTATACCAAGGGTGTTCATTGGCTAACATAGTAGGCTTATGGAATCACTCACTCCATCCATCTGTCTGTATCATTTAAAAGTATTACCAAATCAGATAATATATGTTGCAATTGTTATTGAAAAGTGTCAGTTTCAACTTTCCATGTTTTACAGCTTTCTCTAGGTACTTGAAGCGGCCATTTTGCAATGTTTTTCACACAATACCAGTATATTTTTTTATTTTCCATTTTACACTCTACTATACCTTGCATTTGGTGTTCATAAGCAACCCATTTGGCTTAATAGTAGTGATTATGTTATTTGTTTTTATTTTTCTGTTCCTTATTAATGGTTTATCGGATGACTGTTAGATGTTAATAAGGTACAGTACTTTCAAAAATATACATAACAATCCAATTAGACAAACAGGGTGTCTCATGCATTTCTAGGGGTTAGGTATAGTAGTGTGTATTAGTCTGTTGTTTTTTATGATGCTCACAATGATATGAGCTATTATTTATTTATATTTTTATATTTTATGTTTCTAGGAATTTTTAGCCAGTCGTAGGAAAAGGCAAGAACCAGAAACATGTGGTATCTTCTGCTCAAATTTCCTACTACGTCTAGTCACTAATGTGATTGTGTTGGGCCTCCTAGGTGGCTCTGGCTACCTGGTTTGGTTCCTTGCAACAACACAGTCACTCAAGGTACAGTTTTTATCTTACCCTGATCAAATTACCAACTTTTCGTTATCCATATTTTTTCGGATAATTTTTGGTGTTCGGCTTCTGTAACAATCGGTAGGTTGTTGACATTTTGCATGCTAATGCCTTGTTTAATGTTGATTTTCATTTTAACTCTTAGTATTTTGTACTTCTTGATTTGAACACGCTACTAATTATCAATCGATAATGTGTTTTCATTTGATACAATCCCCGCTAGACTCTAAATGTGCCCATTCAACAAGACTTCATATTCTTAAGTTCTCTGAGTTAGTGGATGGTGATGAAAAGTTTTACATTAAAAATCACAAATAAAATAAATAAAAAATACTTAACCTTCGTATGTTCACAAAAGGTGTATGTGAAATTTGATACAAGAAATCATCCGTATTATCACATTTCATATACATAGTACTATTATCCATTTTCCAGACTGATCTTGCATGGATATCAGACATGGCTATGCCCTTGGTGATATCAGTCATCAACTGGTTTCTACCATTTGCATTCTCAATCATTGCGACATTTGAACGCTACAAAAAGCCAAAATCAGAGCTCTATATTACCATGTTGAGGTAAGGGTACAAAAGTGTTGAGATCAACTTTGTCTGTTTTGTTTTAATTTCTTTGTCTTCAGCAGGAGTTTTTGGCCTATTTAGAGCGTTCGTGACCTGAAAGAGTCAGATAAATCAAAACTTTCTCAAATCTGGCTAAAATGATACAAGAATTTTAGAATTTCCTGAAAGGTGAGATAAAAGTTGGGAATTTTAATTGAATGAAATTTTGAAAATTTGACCACAAAGTGAAGAAATGTGATCATGTAATAATTTGCTTCCTTTACAATGCATTTTGTCAGGGAATCTCATAGTAATGAAGGCAAGGTCAGTGAATTCTGATTTGAAAATATTGTGACACCCCTCTTAAATGACCCTTTGCCCTTTGTGCATGTACATAGTAATATACACATAAAAACATATTGTTACATATAATGTGTATCATATACAGTAGAACCTGCAAAGTGGAACACCTCTGTAAGTGGAACACCTCCAAAGTGGAACACTTTTTCAAAGTCCTGTTTAAAAACCCCATTGACTTAATGTTAATTGAACCTCTGTAAGTGTAACACCTCCAAACTGGAACAGTGAACACCCCATATTGAAAAATTAACCTGCTAAGTGGAACAGTCAATTTTCCATAAATTTCAATATTGATACAGAATTAACCTCCTACAGTGATATCTGGGTATGAAAACAGGTAATAATGTGATAATTGGCAAATTGGTATTTTAATGGATTACCATATAACAAATTAGATTAACCTCCTGTAGAGATCAACATGTGATGCTGCCACTAATTAATTTGATAATAAGCAAATTAGGATTTCATCAGATTATCATTCATCAAAATTGGATGAACCTCCTGTTGAGATGGGCATGTGATGCTACCTCTTATTAATACCCCCGCTGTTTGTTTCAAACTTGATAAGTAAGATTAAGAATGTCAGTTAAAAACAAATGAATTATTAGCAGAAGGAACAAATCTTTGTGCCTGAGACTGGCAGAATGAGGAGGATTGAGAATGTCAGAAACATTTTTGGCAGAATGAGGAGGATTAAGAATGTCGGATACCTTTTTGAGTAAAACAAATGGATTATTAATGGTATATAGCTGCCCTGCAATGAACAGAGAATCATATTTCCAGTGATACATATAAACCGTACATTTGATCTTGTATGTTCTTAAAATCCCCGCGAACCCAAAACCTCCATAAGTGGAACACCTAAGTGGAACACTTTTTGGCAGAACGGAAGGCGTTCCACTTACACAGGTTCTACTGTACTTGTAAAATATATTATATTTATGTTCAGTATATTGTATACATGTACAGTTTATTATAGCCATGCAGTTTTATTTGTATTGCAGAACTATGATGCTTAACCTGGTGACCATAGGAGTGCTGGTCTACTACTGGTTCAATAATGTAAGCTGTGCAAGGCAGGCGGCAGAGGACCAAACCGAATATAACGAATGTTATCCAGTAAGTTAGCAGTAAAAGGTTGATATGCATAATTGATTTTTTCAGTAATTTTATAATTACCAATAATTGATGAAATATGAAATAGTAATCACTAATATCTTTCACATTTTTATGTTGATATTTACAAAATATTCAAAGTCTGAAATAAAATTCAATTGTTTATGAATCAAGGAAATTCAGATTAATTTTACTTGCTAAATATCTTGCTACCAATACTCCATGATTTCTACTACCATGTTGTTATTTATTTTCAGTGTTGGGAATCGTTTATGGGTCAGCAATTATATCGCTTGGTGCTAGTTGACTTTGTCTTCATGCTGTTGCTTACGTTCTTTTCAGAGTTTGTTCGCAGGTAAGTGATTCTCTTAATACGGGTCTATGTTAATAATAATTCCATGGCAAATTATATTGAAACAAACAATCTAGAAAAATAACAAATCACTATAAACTAAGAGTGGGCCATATCCTGCTATTCTTTTGACACTTTGAATTGTTCATATTTTTCAGCCTGATGTCAAAATATTGCTGCAAGAGACTAGGATCACCAGAGTTCAACATAGCCAGGAATACATTGAACCTGATTTATTCTCAGATTCTTATATGGTAGGTACCCTTCACAGGAGCTCCATTACTCTTAAATTAGAGATTATTCAGTTTCCATTTAGAGTATATGCATAGTCAGGAAATCATAATCCTATACTTTATCTTTCATGGTGTACAATTACATTTATTTTACATTAACAGCTCACTCGTAGAAAAGGATTCTCCCATAAAAGGCCATGAAAGATATGTTTAAGGTCACTTTGATTTTATCTGCATAATTTTCAGAGGGTTGTCTTGGATTCAGTGTGAGTTCACAACATCTCCAAATTAATTTGGGCAATAAAGTTACGTACACCTATAGGAAGGGGTCTAAGTGTCAAACCATAAACTTATTTCGTTATGGCACCTCATACTTTGCGAGCGATAACTATATCCCTAAAAAATGTTTTATGTTTTCAGGTTGGGGACCTACTACAGTCCTCTGCTACCTTTCACCATTACTATATCACTAAAAAATGTTTTATGTTTTCAGGTTGGGGACCTACTACAGTCCTCTGCTACCTTTCACCATTACTATATCACTAAAAAATGTTTTATGTTTTCAGGTTGGGGACCTACTACAGCCCTCTGCTACCTTTCACCATTACTATATCCCTAAAAAATGTTTTATGTTTTCAGGTTAGGGACCTACTACAGTCTTCTGCTACCTTCCACCATTACTATATCACAAAAAAATGTTTTATGTTTTCAGGTAGGGGACCTACTACAGCCCACTGCTACCTTTCACCATTACTATATCACAAAAAAATGTTTTATGTTTTCAGGTTGGGGACCTACTACAGCCCTCTGCTACCTTTCATCCAGATCCTCAAGTTATTCATTGTATTTTATGTCAAACGGGTGAGTTATACAGTTTAGAATTTAGCTATATCTTAAAATTCTGGACCAAAAAATATTGTTTGATTTTTCTGCATTGGATTGCACTGTTGGCCTGGTCTGTTGACCTCTTTGAAGTTCATTGAGTGAAGTGTACATAATCAAGAAATACTTGTTATAAGACCTTTTTTTTATTGGTCATGCATTAAGTTTATCTCCCCACTTCCTTGTACAGTATTGTTCAATATTTCCAAAATTAATATCAATTAGATGACTTGAAATATTTACCTTGCAGGTATCTGTAATGATGAATTGTGTACCTTCCATAAAGCCTTGGAGGGCATCAAAGGCCCATACAATATTCCTGGCCATCCAGTTTATGGCATTCATTCTTGTTGCTGTGGCGATAGGCTTCAGTGTTGGCTTGTGAGTGACATCTTTGTATTCAGTTTTTCAGATGGTCATAAGAAACCAAACAATATTTACACATTGATGTTATGCCAAACGATATAGTGTTTGCACAATGGTGATTTGTGCAAACATTATTTTGATCTTGAAATGAGAACAGAACATTTTATTTTTAGTGATAATACGGTAAAAATGTCTTTTAAAATTTTGTCAGAATTTTTAAACCCTCGTTCATTAGGAACAGTAGTAATATTATAAGTGTATAACATATAAAATGGTATGTGTTATCAAATTGCCAAATAACACTACATTGTGTGTCTCATTGTAGCATTGCCCCTTCTTCAACGTGCGGGCCATATAGAGGGTATGCAACAACTTATGATGTCATAGTGGATCTGATTAACACGTGGCAGGGACAATATGAGATTCTCCGCACCATTCTTAACTTGATAACAACTCCAGGATTCATTGCTTTTGTAGTTGTTGGTCTTTGGTAAGTTTATTCATCGCGACACTTGCTCTAAATCAGACATTGTAATTAGCATGTCGTGACAGAATGTCATTCCAATGTTTATACGTGTATACTTTATGGAGAGAGGAAATATATGAAGAATTGAAGATTAATCGATCCTTAAAACAGATCTAGCTTCTAGCTCTAATCTTGTAAGTTACTTTTGAGTATGTATACTTTAAGATGTTCATGTACTCAAAAGTGGTGGCATATTGATATGGTCTCCATTTTTTGTGACGGCGGTTGGCAACTGGTGTTCATCACCTTAACAAATGGCAGGAAGTGACATTTTGCATGTTAATGCCTTGTTTTTGTAACAAGTTCATTCTAACTGTTATTTTCTTACTTGTAGTCTGGCTGTCTATTACATGAGGATAGTATCAGTAGGACACAATGAAATGGTCCAACTGTTGAAACATCAGCTAGCACTGGTAAGGTATTACTCTGAATCTAAATCCGCTTGCTAGACCAACCTCTGACTAATATTAATGTTTTAACAGCTCTGATGTTCATGAGATCTTAAAAATCAGCTTTTTGTGAGACTGTTAAATGAATGCCAGTTACATGAAGACATAACATGTAAGTTGTGATTTTCCAGATGAGGTATAATCAGTTATTTCTAATTTAAGAGTGAAAACAAGGTTTAGGTCTTGAGAAGGGTTGTTTGTTATGATTCCATCTCATGTTTCCAATATGTTGCTTCTATGAAATGATTGTAAAGACCGTCTTTATTTTCAGTGATTTGCTCGATTTGTCTTTAGCCCAAGAAAATTAAAGAATAACAAAATTATATTAGTTAAGTTTCATATGTATGACACAAAATATATTTTACATCACAGGAAGGGAGAGACAAAATCTTTCTGTTGAGGATGTTACAAGAAGCAAGTGGTAGAGGTGACGACCCAAGCTCCAGACCTGACCTTTCTAAACAACCACAGATCACATCTCCAGGTACGAATTCCTTCCTGTCTCTATCATATTATGATATAAAAACACTTTTCCAAACTTAAACTCATACATTTATTAATAAGCTTTCCTATCTCTGATGATAAGTATTTTATGTCTTATAATAAAGTTTCTTGTTTCTTCATATTGTTTGGAAGTCTAATTTGGGTTAAGTGCCAGAGACATGCCATTTTGTAGTTTCAGATTGTGCAAAAATCTCTTTAAAACATCATGCTCATGCACGTAACTAGAATTAGACTTGTAAAAATTACATTTTTGATAATGACAAGAACTTTTTCTGTTTTTCAAAATGAACACTTCTGTGTCTGAAAATGAACTCCTCTATGTCTGATAATTAATTTTTCTATTCCTATAAATTACTTTTTTTCTTTGTTTGATAATTAACCTATTAAATATTGTTTCTAAACTAGCTGTTTATTAAAATCATCTAGAACTTTATATTGTATATACTGTAAGTGGAAGCAGAATTTGTTTTTACTTTGATAATATTGAACTCATCTACCAGGTGCAGATAGTGATGATATAAGCACTACAATAACAAGTAGTGTAGACAGTAAGCACTATAATAATACCACTATATACTGTAGTTATAAATGCTTTAAGTTCAAGCTGGAGAGGGTTTTCATAAACCTCCAATCTTGAAATTATTGGTTTGAATAAGAAATCTCTTCCTGCTTCAAATGTGACCAAATGTGATTGGAATTATGATAATGTTTTAATCACTGGGAAAAATGTCTTATAAAGAATTAAAGAATTAGGAGGATTTAGGGGAATGATGATTCTTTGATTCTGACTGTTACTGATCATTTGTTTAGCTTTAGCGGATAGTCTAGCAGATATAGCTTATGGGACAGTTCTACCCCAGATCTATGTACAAGACGTTGATATATTAGACGCCACCTAGTGGTGGATTTATAGCACCACCTATCTGGTAAAAAGGTCAACATGATTATGCATGCCTTGACATTATTCCTAGCCCCATGCTAGCTTTATTACAGGATATGGCTGTAACAATATGCTTAACTAGAACTCTAGAAAATGGGTAAATCAAACACATGATATTTGTCATAATGTGTTGGATTTACCTGAGGTAAAGGTGTTAATTTAAAAACAGAATATGGCTTGTTTATAAAATTGACAATTTTCATTCAAAGGCTGTGTCAAGTTTGGAAAGCATCAGCATCGGGGCAACATCTTATGTTTTGAATTTGATTGAATTGACATTTTGAATTACATACTTTCATATTCTATTAAACCTTGATGCCATTTATTTCCTAGCTAAGCCCGTTGGTGTAGCTAACTTTGAATCAGGTGACGCACATGCAACACAAAAAATTGACAAACATTTTGACTTTTTTACCAAAACCATGAAATACATTGCCCCATTGAAGTACGCTATCTTATTTGGCTTAAGTTTTGTCGCAACGTTTTCAAACCTTATACTTTTGGATCTTGGCTAAGCTCCAGTAATCTTATAATTATATGTTGTTTTTTAATATATTTAATATGCATGAACCCTGCATTAATGAGGCATGAGTTATAATCGCTTCTGAAAATACAACAAACGATTTCTAGCTTTCTTGAGGGCATGTCATCAAGTAATAATAGAATTTTAGAATACCCAATAATTGCATGATATATAACAAGGAAATGTAACTTGTATGCATGTAGAATATAGGACATATTATGCCTATGGAATTTCTCTTTTTATAACATTGAAAGAAAACAATTAGCATAATGTAGGCCTAATTAGAATGAAGTAACATTTTCCTATTTTGTTTTCAAACTGTTTTATTTAGGTGCAGTAGACCATGACTTATATTGACACTTTTCATTTGGTAATTTATGTCTAAATTCAGTCTTTATGTCTATTGATGTGACCACACGAGTGCTCATTTGTGATTTGATCAGAGATCCAATGGTACACTGCACCATGATACAAATACCACTTCTTGTTGCTTTGTAATAACTAATTATAAATAATACCAAACCTGGGAGGGCAAATACTGAAAACTCTACAAATGGGAGTACATGTACCATTGGAGTAGATGTACCATTGGAGTAGATGTACCATTGGAGTACACGTACCATTAGAGTTCATGCACCATTGGAGTACATGCATCATTGGAGTATGTGTACCATTGGAGTTCATGCACCATGGGAGTACATGCACCATTGGAGTTCATGCACCATTGGAGTACATGCACCATTGGGGTACATGTACCATTGGAGTACATGCATCATTGGAGTACATGTACCATTGGAGTACATGCATCATTGGAGTACATGTACCATTGGAGTACATGTACCATTGGAGTACATGTACCATTGTAGTACATGCACCATTGGAGTACATGTACCATTGGAGTACATGCACCATTGGAGTACATGCACCATTGGAGTACATGTACCATTGGAGTACATGTACCATTGGAGTACATGCATCATTGGAGTACATGTACCATTGGAGTACATGCATCATTGGAGTACATGTACCATTGGAGTACATGTACCATTGGAGTACATGTACCATTGGAGTACATGTACCATTGGAGTACATCTATCATTGGAGTACATGTACCATTGGAGCTTTGGTTTTTCAACAGTTTTTAATGTGAATGTATGTGATACTATTGAATGTGACATAAATGTAATGTTATAAAAATAAAAAAGATCCCAAAAAGAAAAAAACAACAAAGCTCATAAAAGGAACAATATAAATCATAATTACATTTTGGTTGAATTTCACTCACTTTTCATGATTGAGAGGTCATATTGACCTTTGCTAAATATCTTACTAACATTTTTACAGCCATTGTGTTTGCACAGTATGGTTCTTGTAATGGTATATTGTCATATAATACAAGTTCCTGGTTCAATAAGGGCTTTAGCACAATAAACCTATAACTGTTTGATACATTCTAATAAACCATTTCCCCCTTAATAAATGCATACATTTTTGATTTCATTGATTCTCAATGGATTGTTCCTGGACTAAATTCAAGTTAAATGTTATTGCATGTGCTTTGCATTAACTTTGTGTTTGTGTATTTTGCATGTTTGTGATGTGAATATGAGCACGTACTGGTATGAGTGATAACTATTATACATAAGTATATGTTCTAAATATTATCTGAATTATGAAATCTTATTTGAAAGTCTTGGGTTTAATTCAGTTAATTCATTAAGCCACCACCTTATCATTTGGTTTAATTGGCAAAACTTACAATAACATGTTTATATTTCAATAATGAAAATGAAATACTTGTTTATGGTGATTTTCGGTGAAATTAATCCACTGTCGTAGAGCTGACAAAGATTGTATTGCTAAATATATGTCTATGAATATCTCTATTATATATGTGTATTATTTCTGTGTTACATATTTCAGGAGGAAAGAAGTTCGCAAAAATGCAAGAAAAACATCACAACTCTCCTTTGACACGTCGTAAGGAGAATAACAATGGAGGCATTCCAACAAACATTGGACCAAGTGGAGATGATCCAAACACTACTGATTATCATCTGAAAGAGGCTGGCAATTATGGAGGTAATGAAGGAGAAAGGCACATCCCCAGGGATTTATATGTGGACACAGGGGCTGCAGGTTCAGCCCTATTTACACCCCCTCGGGATGCACCTGGGGGTGTCAGTCATGGTACATTAAACCTTGGGTACGATGACATCTCACCCAATAGTAAACCAAATCTTCCATACCCTGCAATGCATCCTGGGTATAATGCTGATCCTCAAATGTACGCAAGGCCACCCATGGATAGAGGGCAGCACCAGTCAGAAAGGAAAGATGGCAAGAAAGAAAAACGAAAGAAGAAAAAGTAGAACATTAACAATTTGTTAATAAAACACGAAGTATAATTGTATAGATGATATTTTTATATATTCTAATGTGTTGTACATTTATGTAACCCACATACATGTAATCCATGCACATGTTCATTTTGTCAAATTTGTTATAATCTATGCTTCACTGTGAACTTACATTTGTAACATTTCAGTAAATGTTGTTTTAATACATTATTCAATATTGCTAACCGATTTTCTAATTATCAGATTATGCAATGATGATAAATGCCATGTTTGCAGATATTAACAATAGCCTTTTGAAATGTTTTTCTAACATTATGAGGAGCTCTGTAAATCGAGGTTATTATAAAACCTGAGAGCCTAGCATGTTATCAACTGATTACTATTTTTATGTCACCACTTCTCTATAGTCTTCTACTTTTTTGTGACTGGTGTTCTGCGGTAGCGTCTGTAACCGTGTTTGGTGTCTGTTACAAATGGCAGGTGGTGACTATCACCTGCTTTTTCTCTAATCGATTTGAAAGGAACTGGCTCTTTTTGCCATTTTTATACACTTTAAAATTGTTGACTAAAAATGTTTCTATTATTTATTAGGGTTTCAAATTGATTGAAACAATGTTATTTTTGGAATACTTTTTGTAAAGGTTGTGCCCATTTAAGGGAAAATTATTATCAGCACTTTTGAATTATCCAAGTGTTTATTACAAAGATGCATGACCAATGATATGCTTTACTGCTTAAAATTAATCCATATTGTGTCTTTTTCAACCTTATATTGTATTACATTTTTCTATTAATGAAACTGCAGGTGGAAATAAGTATCCAGATTAATTAAAGATTATTGATGCATATCACTTCTTTCAAAGCATTCAGTTGATAGGACTATTAAGTGTTAAACAGTGGATCTACTTACACGAGAGAAAAAGTTGTTGTATTAACAGTGCATAGCCAGGATTTGACAGGACGAATATTTTCTGCAAAATCTTTTTTTGGAGCCACCTAACAGAGAATTTGGTGAAAACTTTTTCAAATTTGTTTAATATCTGACTAATTTGATTAGATTTTGCCAGATTTGCTTAAGTTTTGCCAAATTTGCTTAATTTTTGGTTAATTTTATTAATTTTTGCTAGTTTGCTGGAACTAGAAGTTTTACCTTTGCCAAACATTTGCAAGAGAAAAATTATAGGACAAGTGAAATATCCCAATTTTTGACAATTTCATTCATTTGGAACATTTGAGTGCAAAAACTTAATGAAAGAAAACAATTTTGAAAGTGTCTCTTGACCAAAAATAGCTCGCGTTCAGAATGTTGGTGCACCACGTGTATTGCATCACTGAACTTTCACATTCAAGATTCTCTGATTTATATATATTAGAGACCATTTTGACGTTATATCTCAATTAGACAGTTTATACTGGTAAATATGATTTATTTGTACATTTGAATGCCTTGTGATGGTATTAGAACAGTATTTCAGGCCTAAAATCGCCCATTTCAAAGTAGACATCTCACTTATTTCCATCTTTGCATATACCATGTATACCTCGACAGTCTAAGGAAATCAAAAAACGTCAAATTACTGAAATACTGCAAAAAATTAACTCAAAATTTAAGGTTGGTTCGAATTTTTTTAGTCAAGATTTAGGGGGGGGGTCCTAATATATTGATGGATCGATCTAAGCTTAAATCTTTAAACCATATAATAAGATACATGTGCAGTCATTATATCATCTCTGAGAAGTACATATTGTTATATTATATGTATTCATCATTACGTGACTGGCATCTGAAGGAGTCTCTGTCGACAATCAACATCTGTTACAATTATTACATTCATGTTACCGTTGTTAATGTCTTGTTTCAGTATAATCTTTGGAAATGAATGCTTGCTCAATTTTCAAAAATATATTTGTTATGAATGTTACTGTATGTACAGTACAATAAGTCCTATGTTATAAATAACACATTTTGCACATATTGTCGTACCTGTATACATTTTGTAACTCTACATTTATGATTATTTTATCATAAACTCAACAGCTTATTACATGAACTAAGCAGCTGTGCATTTTGATATACAGTCCTGTTATTGATAATATATATTTTATCCTCAAATTGAATCTTCTGTTTTTGTTTAGTTGATCTATTTGTGTACTGAAATAGTCAAAATTAACAAATATGCCATTAAAGCCAATTCAAAGTTAATTTTTAAGTTTAATGTTGCGTTGAAGGGCCTAATCTTGAATTTAGGAGGTAAAAAATAAAAAACGTTCATCTAGGGCTATTGTATTTTTGATTTTGTACCACATATAGAGACTGATAAAGTGACACACCAATAGCCATTTTCAAGCAGTTTCACTTGATATAGGGAACAATTATTTGAGCTATCCTGTATCCAATCAAACATCTGTATCCAGACAATCATGCTTCCAAATTTTCTGTTCTTTTGTAGCTAACTTTTTTTTCACATTCTAAATGTGAAAGGTTCATTTGAGATCAATAATATACTATAGTATCTCTTGCTAATGGGGATTCCGGATAAGATTTCAGCCAGATAAGGGTTTATATGTTTAGAACATACTTTCAAGGTTAGATATCTGAATTTTATGAAGACTAAAACCATGTGTGTGTGGGGTAGATAGGGGGTAGATAGATACCATAGGGATACTCTGTTATAGATCAGTAATACTAGTATAGATATATAGAGATACTAACTTATATATCAATGTGTTTGTTGCTGATCATTACGTAGATATTATTAAATATACTCATGTTTCAGTTGATAAAAGGAGAATTCGAATGTGCAGCTTCAGAGAACTCATGGAAGAAGAAATTCGTTGACTCAGTAAGGAATGATTGTTATTATTAATATTATCATTCATTGCTTTTAGTAAATTGGTTTTCATAGACTAGCGCTATCATCAATTTACATCAAATTAAGGTTTAGCATTATAAGTATATTATCAAGGGTGTCTTATTGTATGACGTACTCCGATCATATCCTCATTAACAAGCTCTTCTCAATGAGTTGAAGTAATGAAGGCATCACATAAATGACTAATATCTAATCTAGCAATGGATTCTCCTATAAAGAATTAATGAACTAAGGTAATGTCACTTGTGCTTTTTCCCTGATACAGTCTTTTTGTTACTCCTTTCTTGTTCATCTCACCCATGATAGCTTTTATCGGCGGTTACCTCTTCCTGGTACATTAAGTACTAGACTCCCCTGCTACAGGTACATGTACGCACAGTGTGTCAAATAAATATGTTCTCCCCTTAATTTCAAGAGTACCAATTAACGTTTATGCATAAAAGTGACTCTAGTTGAGCTAGTCATCTGAAACTTCTTGTAGAGTTGCTCCATGAAGTCTAGTTTTAATGTGCTAAAGAACAATTCAGATTTCTCGCAGACAAAACAGTTATGCAACATTATGTGGATGTTAAAGTTACAGGGGGACAACATGTTTATTTGACACCCTGTACATTCCTTTTGTGCGCTCCCCTGATACACTTTCCCTTGTACAATGTTCCTGGTAGACTTCAGGACTTCCCCTGGAACATTTCCCCTACTACTATTAGTTTTCCCTGGTAAACATCCCCTACTGCAATTATACTCCAGTATAGTTCCCCTACCACATTCTCTTGTACACTCCCCTGCTGCGTTTCCCTGGTACACTTACCATGTTTCTATGGACCATTTCCGGTCGATGTAACAAATCCCTCGGTCACTTCCCCTGCTATAGTTCCCTAGCAATTCCCTAAAACACTCCCCTTGCGTCATTTCACTGGAACACTCCCCCTGCTACGCTTCCTTGGAACACTCCCCCTTTGTCGTTTCCCTAGAATAATCCCCCTGCTACATTTCCCTGGCACACTCCCCCCTCCGCTACATTTCCCTGGCAAACACCCCCTGCTAAATTCCCCTGGCACACCCCCCCCCCCCTCTCACTGCTACGTTTCATGGTAAACTTCCCATGCTACTTTTCCCAGGAACACTTCCCCTGCTACGTTTCCATAGAAACTCCCGCTTTGTCGTTTCCCTGGAACACTCGCCTTTGTCGTTTCCCTGGAACACTCCCATTCCTACGTTTTCCTGGCACACTCCCCCTGCTACGTTTCCCTGGAACACTTCCCCTGCTACGTTTGCCTGGTACACTTCCCCTGCTACGTTTCCCTTGAACACTCCCCTGCTACGTTTCCCTGAAACACTCCCTGCGTCATTTCCCTGGAACACTTCCCCTCTCTGGTACACTTTCCCTGCTACTTTTCACTGGAACACTCCCCCTGCTACATACGTTTCCCTGGAACACTTCCCCTTTTCCCTTGCCACAACATGCTTTATCTCTTAGGCTTGAAATGTGCATTTTTAATTAGTAAACAATAGGCTATATTCTCAGGATTTGTTTTTTATTAAAAGTAACATGAGAAAAACTGTATTCTATACTTAAAGGATATGAAACTAAATAGGCAACGTATGCCTAATGTATCAAGGCAAAGGTGTGACTGTGCTAGCTCTCTATGTCCCTCTCTCATTCTACATGTTCCACGAATTTTGGCTTCAAAAGTGTGCCTGTACGGCTACAGATGCTCATGTAAAATCGTTGACCTACTCCGAAAACATTTAATATTGAATAATAATAATAGGATTTTATTAGTACTGATGCCCTTTTAGGGCCAAACGTACATCCAATATACAATTTTCAATAACAGTAAATATAGGCAATAAAGTAAAGAAAATAGGATTGCATTCTTCAAATGACATATAAAATGTTACTTTGATATAAGAATCCTGTCTCTACCCATCATTAGATACTTTATCATGTCAGCAGATTCTTTTAATATGATCCCCTCACTCGTCAATAGAAAAATTGTCTTTTGGTGGTCATTCATGTTTTTAAAATTACGACACAGGTTTTCAGGTTTTTCAATATGGGATTTTCTGATAAACTCCAATTTTTTACATTTGAATAAAAAGTGTGTTTCATCTTCTATAACCGAGTCCTTGCATATTTTACAAAATCGACTATTAAGATCAGTAATTGGTTTTGTATATCGGCCTCTCTCTATCTCTAGATTGTGGGCGCTTATACGTAATCTAGTTAAATGTTTAGCATTTGAAAGTGTCGTTTCTGAAAGGTAGTGTTCAAATCCAAAGTGCGATTTTAGTTGTTTAAATAATCTAAGTTTCCCCCCATTCCCACTTATCAGATTCTTCCAATATACTTGATATCTCTCTATTAATTTCTTTTTGACTTTAATAGCAAGCCTATTTGTGCTCATCTCTATGTTTACCCTATCTTCAAGATTCAATTCATCAGACATTTTTATTTTAATATGGCACAGTATATTTTTGAGTTGTTTGTGCCATGTAAATGTGTTATTTGTTAAATCAAATGTTTTACTCATAATTAAAGAATCGTTTAGTAAACTCCCATTTGAACTCAACTCTAAATGACCGAGGTATTTGATTTGTCTTTTTATAATATCAACTACCAAAGGTATTCTTCCCAATTCTCCTCTTACTGCCATGTTTGTGGCTTTTCTATGAACCCCGAGAACATATTTTTGGAACCGAATATGATTGTTTTCAATTAAAGCACTTTCGTATTTCTGTTCAATATCTCGATTAGTTTGGCAGTCACGCTTGGTATATATATCATTACACCATATTTCCGAACCGTATAAAGCGACGGGTTTGATAAGTTGATCATACAATTTCATTTTCAGTGAAGACTTCATCTCTGTGCCGCTTGTCAATTGATAAAGTTTAAACATGGCTTTATTTGCTTTTTCTTTTATGTTTTGTTGGGCCGGTTTAAAAGATCCCGAAGCACTTAAGACAATTCCCAAATATGTATACCTTTGAACATTTTGTATATTCTTACCATTTATTTGAAATCGTTCTTGACAAACTTTGCCACATTTCCAGAATTTCATAATTTTTGTTTTGTCAATGTTAATTTCAAGTTTCCAGTCATCACAGAAGGATTCAAGAGTGTTCAGTTTTAGCTGCATTCCTTCTTTACTAGTATCAAATATGACTAGATCGTCTGCAAATAGCAAACTGCTAACATGTTGAGTTTCAAGGAACGGAGATTCCCCAACATTATCAAACTTTTTTATAATATCATTTATATATATGTTAAATAATAATGGACTGATCGAGTCTCCTTGTTTGAATATATATATTGAATTGACACATTTTTCATGTGTGTCCCCATTATAATATGGGATTACCACATCACATTTCAAAGCGAAATTCTTCGTGGTATAAAAGGCGTTTGATTCTAGGTAGGTTTATGCTCAGTATGATGGCGAGTCACTCGACGAGAAGGGTAGATTGTTTTAACAAAATTCATTTACCCGAGCATTTTTGTAGTATATGTTTTCTGATCAGTCCAGGGGATCAGTCCCGTCATAAAATTAGAAAGATAGAGGTTTACACCAGTAGAACACAACACAAATATCAAAATGGAGGATTTTTAAAACCTCATTACTTGCATAGTCTCTGATCATGTATAAATTCCATCAAATACGGGACACTCGTACACCATCGTGTAATAATAATCCAAATGAAGTCCCTGATTCACATTACATTCAACTCCAAGATATAATCAAATATATGTGAATATACGACATATATAAGACATTGGCGCATGATTATGTTCCTTTGTTCCGAACTTTGCATAGGTTAGCTCTTCGCACTACGGTACCGTGTCGTGATTTTCAGCGACTCGCCACCATGCATATCATTGGGGTTTATGCCCTGGCCATAATAATCGATATCACTTACAATGGTTGAGTAATGTTTGTTTTTTCTACGTTCCTTTGATCTCGATCCCTTTGCTTTAGACTCATTCGATTTCGGGCTGTCTGATGATTCTTCGTTACTTGTGCCTTGGTGAACCATCTCAACCTCATTGTTATTTGTTTTGGCCATTTTTGAGCTCAATGGATCATTTATATCCACGCTACTTATGACATGGCCTTTTTTCGGGGAAGAGCATGTTTCGTTAGCGATTTGAATATCGACTTCATCATTGTCATTTGGCATAGTTTCCTTCGTTATAGAGCCTTCGCTTTCTTCGGTATCATGATCAATATATGGTATCTTGGCCATTCCGTCCATATTGTCTGTATCATCCGAGTGTTTGCTTTCTTTATAACCTTTACTTACTTTAACTAATTCTTGACTCATTTCATCCAAATCCTTTTCCATTGTTTTAATCTTTCCACGGAGTTCTTGATGAGCTCCGCTGGCGGATACGTTTGGATTACTTCGTTCATCAGACGGTTCCTTAACCTGACTGGTTCCTTCTTCATCGTGTTTCCCAGCGTCTTTGAATTGCTTCTTTGGATTCTTAGATTTTTGATTTGATTGCTTTGTATGGTTCGCAGTCGATGCTCTGGTACCCATTTCTTTCTAGAAATTGTTTGCTGTATCATATATCACTCACACGCCTCGATTGGCTGTTCATTACACTCTGAGCTGTTCAACGTACACGCGTTCAAGTTATATCACACTACAGAGTCAGCTGTGTTGTCAGACCTGAAACATTAAGATAATTAATTAAATATTCCCAATAAACAATGATCAACCAGAACGAATGTTATTCGCCTAATGCTTATTGTCACTTGTATTCATTAATAAGAGTAATAAGGACTATATGCGTTCAAATATCATACGAGGGTCATTCCAAGACTACAGCAATGGCTGTATTTGGTATTCAACATACACGTTGAACAGCAATGGCGGTTTATGTACGTTGACATAGCCAGTGCATGGGCTTAGCAATTTTTCAAATGTACATACAATGTAAAAAATGTTTGAAAAGTTCTATTTATCATATTTCAAGAGCACACTGATATACAAGGTGTTCCCTAAGAGGGTGGAATCATCTTAATGGCCCTTATATGGGGAGCAATGGAGCAAGCAGGAACTCATTAAGTTTTAAACAGGCTTTCACATTCAGCTGATCCATCTTTTATCATTATTTGAAGTGGCATCTTACCATGCGAGAAAGACAAGGCGGATTCAATGTAGGTCACTAAAATTAATTTGTCAGTCGACTGTGTGTCATATTCAAATATCACCATGAATATCGATGATCCAGAGAACTGAGATGTGCTTTATGTTTTGGAATAACTGGAACTTAATCAGATTTAAACGTTAAATGTTTCAGTCTAATTTATACTGCTCGAATAGTGTGCTTGAAGTTTAGTTTAGTTTTAGTGTTATGAACGTTTATATGGTTGCATTTTGGGTCATCTTATATATTGATTAATTGCAAATAGACCATTATTCCACTACCATATCTTTTTGAATGCCACTCGTCAGTGAAATGTCTACCATAGACAGAAGAGATAACAAGTAATGGATTGTTCATAGGTGACCGGTTCGACATTTCTGTGAATATCATATCCAGAATTTGCATTTTTATGAACGATGACATTTAGAATGTGTTCTAGACAAAAGCGGCTGGGAATAATATTAACTCTTTCAAGTGATTCGTTATAATACCCTGTCTAATACACACATTACTGATATTAATTCTCATCGATGTGCCAATGTCGATCAGTCCAAACACTATTTTCTACACTCCCCTCCACAAGTTTGATAACCGGAAGTGCCCATTTTGATTACTTATCAAAGTCCGTTTATGTTTTGCGATTTTGATTAATTCGTCAAATTCGTCAGATATTTCCGAACTATTGTAATTTATGAAAAAATTAAACTCCAAACACTGACAGACTTTGTTGTGATATGCTATCCAATGCATGAAAACTGTCATGTTGCAAAAGTTATGGAGGGGAGTGTACCTTTGGCTGTAAGTTCTAGCTGTCCATTTTATATAGTATAAGATATCAGCAGCCCTCCTATCTTTTGTTTCATTGCAAGGCATTCTACCATTTACAGGTGACATCCAGGTTAAAATGAATATTGTACTTTATTGTTTATTTATATAAGGGGACATCTAATGCTTACAGCGCTTTGCCCCTTGTAATTGTATCTTAATGACTTGTGCTTACAATAAATGAAAGATGATAAAAAAATATAGTATAAGAAGAAAGAATGGGCTTAGACTACGGAGACTTACACACGTGTGGAAGAATGTATACGAGAGGGACAAAATTTCACAAGCAATCTAAAAACTTAGCGTACAAGAGTTTTAGCCAATTCATTATTTCCAAACCAAATGTGTGTTAACCAAATGTGTCATCAAAATATTATATTTTGCTGCGAAGTGAAAATTCAGTAAAATTCTTAGGATCCGTGCTTAATGAAGTCAATTTATATGATAATAATAAAAAGTCACTTTTTGGTTTTCAATGAAAAATCAAAACACGGGCACCATTTAATATGTAGTTCAATGATGAGGAAAAAGATTCCAGACTTTTGGAGGGGAGTATATATTACATACATATACAGGCGTGTACATACGTATTACCTACGTAAACGGTCCCTGATTTGATTCACACTACTAAACCCCGGGGGATTGACTCAAAGCCCTGACTTTTGTTTCCGCTTGTCACCGTTTGTTTTTAGCAATGCTACGAGCAAACGTTACGTACCACATTCCAATTAATTCTAGATTATTATCACCGTTTAATGACGTAGATATTCTACGAAATTAATCTCATCTTCAATAGGCTTTGTTAACAACAGGTTTTTCTATAAAATCATAACTGATTCCCATGGCTCGTGCTGAAGTATCAAAATCGGAATTGGAATTGGTAGAGAGAATTGCAATATGAGTTTACATCACGAAATACTGAATCCTATCCAATAAAAATAATATATCTATAGCTCCTCGCACCAGATGACTTCAGATTAAAGAACTATCACGGTTGAAATATAAGAGCACATTGCTATTGAAGCAAAACAAAATGATGTGGTACCCTTTCCAATTGTCCCAATTTGGTTCTTAAAAAGAAACCTTCGTCTGCGGGTCTGAGATTCGGAGCCTAGTATACATTTGATTTGTTCATCCTTGATTAGATGTATTCCCGGGAATGTATTGTTGACGAGCAAAATATGATCAGAATGTGTGATCTAATGAATAATATTGAGAGAGTATTTCCTCACCTTGGTTGACAAAGACCTTGCTTTTGTCTGCCGTCCAGTTATCACCTAGTGACTGTTGACGTGTGTAAGAATGCAATCTGAAGACGCAAACAGCTTCGGGTTCACGACAGTCTCATCTCAAATGCACGACTATCTCCAATTTACCCCCTCGGTATAATGCTATCATCACAATTATTACAAACTCTACGAGATTAATCCATATTAGAGTTCGCCTATTATCAATTACAAACAATAGCTTGTATTTTGTTCTTCGTTTCTTTGGGAACAATTACTTTGTTGTATTCTCGGAATAAATATTTGATTTACAATTTGCATAATCAAATATTTAATGTTCGATTTTTATTGATAAAGCGTATTATAGTGCTTGCACTGGGCGTCGGAGACTAATGCTCTGAACGTCGTTATAGTACAATTAGTGTTGGTTGAGATCGAATAACGCATTAGTAGTGCCATGACACGAGTCATAATCGATCGGCAATGCTTCAATACACGTGTTCCTTTTAACTTGTTCTTTAATATTGCCGTTTGCAGTTACAGTCATTGCGCATATCATGTCAAATCTAGAATAAAAAGTATTGTTATTACACGTTTCACTCTTCGCTTATCAATGTTTTTGTCTAACAACGATTTTTTAATTATTCTCAAAATAGTGTATGAAAACATTGAAATTATGAAATTAGAAAACGAATGAATCGAAATGGTACAGTAGTAAACGTTTCAAATACAAATAAAATATCATGTGTATTATGATAGCTTGATTATAACTTTTAATTTCACATTTTCCCAGTTAGACAGTTATTTCCAAGTATAATATAAAAGATACGATTGAATCTCTACACACTGAAGGAAATACAGGAAATCTCATTTCCACTTTGATTTTGCGTATTGTTATCGACATATTATAATAGGTAATTTATACTGTATACAGGATGGGTTCAAACCGAGTCGATCCATACTTTAGTGCCGATAACTTTTTTAGTAATCCTCGTATATAAATCGTAAAGTTTTTAATGAAGATGGTCGGGACTCAGGAGAACCTGTCAGTGTGACATAATTATCACTGTAAAATTATAATATCAAATATTAGGCCTATCATTGAAATCCCATACATTAAATAAGTGATGACCAAAACATTGAGTTTTTAGCCCACCCTGTTCATTATCAAGAAAGGCTACCCTGCCTTTCTGTAATAGATGACTATTGATCATGTTACGATGGTAACGCAACTCACTTAAATCGTGAAATGAAAAACAAACAAATAAAATTTATTATATACTCGTATAACAATCCAACGAACGCGTAAATAAACATATTTATTTTATAGCGTTGGCCTTAGATTTTTCTTTCAGACGATAAGCTAGATTCTGACACAATAAGACTTACCAATTCCTTCCTGCAAAAATATGAATGAGAAAATCAATGTTCCACAATTAAGGTGGATTGAGACTTATAGACTACCCAGTATTGAATTACCTGCCGTCGCCATTTACGCCTATCATTCACTCTCGGATAGAAGTTCTACCTTTAGTTTTCTAAACAGCAGAAGCGTAATTAAGAGTAAATCATACAGATCTGATGAAGTTATTAAATGCCACCCTTTGTATTCTTCTAATTATCAAAGAAAATCAATCCGCAGATTATCGATACTAATGGAGTTTGTCATGAATATTCATCAACAAAAAATCGGTATCCATAACAAAGGAGATATCTAACAGAGTTCAATCTTCGTGTGGAATTTGGTCTCTTTACTTCATCCTACATGTAGGTCTTACAAAGTGACGGTAAACAAACGTGCGTGTTCTCCTTCATCTTATTCTCTGAAGTTATATATTAGGATTATTCAATGTAATGGGAATTTTTGTTACGATTATATGCCGGATTATAGTGCACGTTACATCACTAAATGAAAATTGGTCTCACATTTAGTCCATGATGTACGTGTAAAATTATTACTGAAACTATATATAATTCTATCAACGATTTATCTATTCCTATCATATTTCTTAAAGCTCTGTATGGATTCAAAAGTATCATTCATTTTTTGCCAGTGATAAGCATGCCGTTCATTTATTGTGAAATTCCTCCGGGGTAAATTCCACACAAAGCTAGTCGAGCTGTGTTCAATTTCAGCTATTCAGAACACGGTATTCCATAGTGCAAATACATTCATTATACAAGGGCCGATCCAGAAGTCCTGATAAAAATGCTCGAACTAAGTTTATCATTCATTTTGCACAATATTTTCAGATTAGTAACTACTTGTAGGTCATTCACTTCCTCATAAGTTATAAAAAATTTAGATGTTGGTTACAAATATTTCTGAAGTTATGGTTGCTATGGTAACCTCAATAACGATATATAGCGGGACATGGGCATATTTGCGAAGTTTAAAATTAGTTTAATTTTCTCTTGAATAAATGATCAAATCCCATTATATGGTTGCCTAACTCTACCAATGGCTGTTTTAATAGTAACTGCTGTTAGTTTTTCAGATTTTTCAATTTAAGTTATGACGTATGTGGTCAAGCCTGGACTTAGTGCCTCTACCATGGGGTAGTAAAACTGTGATTATAGAATTTTCTGTTGATCAATCATTCTGAAAAGTCCATGCTGTATAGGCATATAAATTATGTAATTTGTATAAAAATTCCAGGTGCTTTCCTTTACCAAGCCCATGCCTTTACTTAAGAAAAAGCATTTTTATCAGAACTTCTGGATCCGCCTTTGTACTACTCTTAGTAGTGGGATTGGTAATTTTTAGATTCTCACTGGAACTAATGGAACTCAGGAGACATTTCATTGTAGTGCCGTCAAAATATGTATTTTCGACCTAAACCAAAATATATGCTCTATTTAGTTTATGGATGACTAAGTTCTGTTAACCAAATCACCAAAGTTCCCCCACAAAAGGAACCTGTATCAACTGACATCTATTGGTGACCAAACCTGGAAGAATAGAGCTTGGTCCAGCTACTACTATATTCTCCCAGGTTCGCCCACCAATAGTTGTCAGGTGTGATACAGGTTCCTTTGAGTTTCACAACCCATGTATCATTGCCAAATTGATAAGTTGTATTGCACGTGATACGTCTAAAATAGTTTATGGAATTGCATAAGGAAACCAACAAGAGTTAAAATTAGACGTCTCTTATTTCGTGACTCTTCGAACGCAAGCGTTATCAAACAGATGATTGGACTTCCGGGTTTTCGTTTTTGTTAAAAATATTCAATATAATGCACTTATGCACTAGTATAGCGGATAGAAGAACAGGATGATGTCATAAAAATGAGTATATGAGTACTTCATTTCATTATGCCAAATAACGAACTTCAGATAGCTCGTCAGAGGTAATGCTAAATCAATTTATCCAGATTTTTGTCAAGTGCAAATTTAATTTTGAAATGGAATTTAGATCTACCAATTCCTCCCCAGTTCTTTAGCATTTCAACCTAACTGAATTGTTTTCCTGGATTTTTGGTAAATTCTACCTTGCTTCAGTCCTGATATTATCATTTCTATCATTTTAATCCTCACTTACTAAGACCACAGGTGCTCCCTGGGTGTGAGGCCCCTGGAAAGAAAACAGAGGGAGCTTCTCTTATTACCCAGGGAGCACCTGAAGTCGCATATCCAATGCCAAGGTCAGTACTGTGGGTAGGTTATATAAAGACCCGAGGTGCCTGCGTAGATGATAGGTCACTCTATATCTAACATTATATGCCATAGCCAGGAGCGGGTGCGATTGTGCGATCGCAACCTCACCCCCCCCCCCTCCATAACCAATAATAAAAAAAGAAAAGAGACTTAAAATGCTTTTTATTTGAAGCTTCTATCTCAATTTTGACGGATGTTACATCAATTTTTGTAAAATTCAAAACAAATCTTCATATTTTTTTGGGTTGCTTATGCCACGATCACAGCCGCTGACTGAAAACCTAAAACATTTTGACGATCGCACCCTCTCTCTCTTTCTGTTCAAATGCAGTTAATTTTCTAACATTGATCTTTTGAAATGCTCCCTTGCCTATTTATATTGAATTCATTCAAAAATACAGTCTAAGGTAAAAAAAATTGTTTTGTTTTTTTATCGTTCATGTATACTTGTTCATGTTCAATCTCAATTTAGAAGGTTTAGACAGTAAAACATCTCATCTTAATACTTTTTTTTTTTTTTTTTATAAAATCAAACTTTATTAATAAACATATTTTACATTACATGCATACAATTAGATAAAAAAATACAATTATAGAAATTTCAAGTTACATTACATCTTTCTGATCATAATCTCAGTATCAAAAATGGCTTTTACATTACAAGCTGTATTGACCTTTTTTTTAAAATCATGTATAGCTTTTTTAATTACCAATGTTTTAAGTAAATCTTCTTTTTTAACAATTGCATTTCCAATTTTTTGATTATTTGTAACATTTACATCATTCCAAATTGATTTAATACAGTCACAATTGATAAAGAAGTGGTCAATGTCATCTTTTACATGTGCGTTACAAAAGTTACAGATGTCAGAGTTTTCTATGTTACATTTCTTCAAATAAATATTTTGAGGGTAAATACCATGTAAAATTTTCCATTGAATTACCAAAAGGGTAGTATCGGTTGTACATTCAAAAAACTGAGACCAGATTTTATCGTTTAGAATCTCACCATTAAATTTTATGTCACACTTTCTTTCTAAAACAATTTTTGTTCTCACAATTCTTGTGTTTAAAAGATGGCTCTCAATGCCTTTAAAAAATAATTTTGTACAAGGTGTTTTCATTTCATATTTGATAAGGAGATCTTGTTTTAAACATGCTTTAAGCGCATTATATTGAAGAATTGTTTGGCCATTTCTCCCTATTTTCTGGACAATGTTATCATATGCTAACATTTCCCCATCCTGGACAACATCTGAAATATATGTAATGCCCTTTTCAATCCAGTTTTCAAAAAATAATGGAGAATTATTGAGAGTTACATTTTCATTGTTCCAAATAATGCCCTCATTTTTAAAATCATTGTGTTTTAACCATACATGTAATACATTTTTATAAAAATTACTCAAGTTATGCAAACCTTTAATTCTATCAAAATCTATGTTTGAATTAAAAATACTGAGTCCATTACCCATTTTTCCATACATGTACATGGGTAAGCCTCTCCAGTGACCATTGCCTCTTTCTTGCAACTTTTTAACCCATTGTGTTGTATAAGCTATTTGTAAATCTTTAGCATTTATCATTTTTAACCCTCCATATTTATATTCTTGCACCATTACATCCCTTTTCACTTTGTCAGGAATCTTTTTCAATTCATCCTCTTTAAATCTGCCTTTTGCCCAAATAAATTTAAACATCATTGTATTAATTCTATTCAAAAGTTTGTCAGGTAGAATGAAGGCTTGCATGAGATAGGAGAATTGTGATAAAAGTAAAGATTTCACTATAACAACCTTTCCCATAATTGTTAAGTACCTTCCAGACCACGATTTCATAATGTTTTCACATTTTACAAATTTTGACTCAAAATTCAAGTCATTATCAATAACATTAGTTGAGGTACTAAACGTTACACCTAACAGCTTTATACAGTTATGAGGCATTATTTTCCATTGCACATCTCCATGTTTTTCTCTCCTATTTTTCCATTTTCCTAACCACATTGCCTCTGTTTTCTTTGTGTTGATTTTAAGGCTTGATAAACCATAAAATGTGTTAAAAAATTCAAGTACATTATTAAAAGACTTAATGTCATGCACAAAAACAGTTGTGTCATCTGCATATTGTAAAACTTTGGTTTCATCATGATTTCCAGGGGCTTTGATACCTTTAACCTCACTGGATTGTCTTATTTTACAAGATAAAAGCTCACATGCTATTAGGTAAATCATCGGAGATAAGGGGCAGCCCTGCCGAATGCCACGCCCTAATTTGATGTCACCTATAAGCCAGCCATTGTTAAAAATATGATTATGTCCATTTGTATTAATGACCTCAATCCATTTTATAAATTGGGGACCAAATCCAAAATATTCTAAAGAGTATAACATGAACTCCTTTGAGATTGAATCAAAACATTTTTCGTAATCAATTGCAAGCATAATGCCCTGTAAGTTATTTGAATCTATATATACCATTAAGTCATCAATACCTCTTAAAATAGTAGCTGCACTACGTTTCTTTATAAATCCTGACTGGTCTTCATGTACTATTTCAGATATAACCAATCTCAATCTGTTAGCTAACACTTTGGCCAGTATTTTGTAGTCTACATTTGTTAATGTTAAAGGGCGCCAGTTTTTAAGGTCATCCCTAGGTAAATCTTTTTTTGGAATTAAAACCATCAATCCAGTTTTTTGAGAACATGATAATTCACCTTTTAAAAAACCCTCATTCAGTGAATCTACGACTAAATTGCCAATCTTATTAAAAAATACCTTATAGAAAGCAGCTGTAATACCATCCAGTCCAGGGCTGGCTTCATTTTTCATATTTTTTAATGCTGCTTTACATTCCTGGTGTGTTACAAGACCTTCACAAATTAATCTATTATCATCATTAAGTTTCGGAATATTTACATCATGTAAAAAATCATCAAGATTTGCTTTCCTAAATACAATTTTCTTTTCATATAATGCATTATAAAACCTGTTTATTTCTTCTACAATCTGGTTCTGGTTACTTACATTTTGACCATTAATTTTCAATGAATTTATGTTCTTTTTGTTTCCCCTAGCTTTCTCTAATTGCAAGAAGTATTTGGTACTTTTTTCTCCTTGTTCATACCACTGTACCTTGGACCTTATCTGAGCCCCTTTAGCTTCAACTGTTGACAAAATTTCAAATAACAATTTGCATTCATTAACTCTCTGATTCAAAATATTATCATTAGGATTTTTACTTAAATCCTTACATGCTCGATCTAACTTCTGTTTTGCAGTTTTGATTTTACACTTGTTTACATGGGCTAGATGTTTACTGTAACCAATAGAGAAATCTTTAATCTGTGTTTTACAATAATCCCAGAGTATTTGTTTATCTAGATTGTTAACATTAATTAATACCCTGTCAACAATTTGGTTTATTTTTATCTCATCTTAATACTTGATACTTTCAGAGTGAATGTAAGATGGTACCATCATCCGATAGACTTTGCCAATGTCCTCAAGGCATTCATTGGCTCAAACTACCTTGGCCTACCATTTGCCTTTTTCAACAGTGGACTTGGGGTAATACATATTTAAACTTTATTAGACAGATATGTATTGTGGTATTCATGCATACATATTGTTGATTTTTACTTCACTTCATCAATATTTTTGAATTTTATGCACTTATATTTTGTTTATTAAAATGCCATGATATTGAACAAATATTTCACTCTATTGAGGTGAATACCTGTACATCTTTCACAAGTGATATTCCACGAAGCCCGAAGGGCAAGTGGAATATCACCTTGTGAAAGTGCTACAGGTATTCACCGAAAATAGAGTGAAATATTTGTTTTATTATATCACTGTCTAGCTAAACATCCCTAATATTATTAAGTCATTAAGTCTTCAGATATTTTTACGAATCTACTCGGTTCGTCTGCCATTTTGACTTACACTGAACTAAATTATTTACACTGAACGAAAACAAATTCTTTGAAAATTCCCGGGAGCGTGGGATATCGCTAGATATCTTACGGTTATCTTATCTGATTAGCATTGCCATTGAATATCGCCAGATATCCCACGACATGTGACACAGTTTTGACCAATCATACTGTCGCTAGCTAGATAGTGATATAATAATGTTAATTATCCAATGATTTTACCATTATTATGGCAATAATCAGTATTAGTATAATTCATTTCAGGATATTATTTGAATTTTATTGGTAATTCTATGCATATGAGTGTTGTCATTTGATTTCCTTTCACACATAACACCTGCATGTCAGATTTGGAAATAATCATGGTACGAAGATATAATATGCTTTTCAATACCACATTATCATCTCATTGCAATCTATATATATTAGTATTACATACCCAGCGAAGCATTTGTATTGAAGTCAATGGAGCTGAAGGTCGGCTATATATTCCTGTATAGCCGTCAAACGTTTTACCATGACAATCTTATGACGTCATCGGGACGTCATGTTTCATTTCTTCCTAATTTCACTCGCACACAGACATGTGGCGTCATTGATATAATGTAGCCATGATATAAAAGTATGTAATACAACAGTTATGTCCGTATCATTGAATATATGCCTTCGGTCTGTCGTATATTGGTGACAGACCTCAGGCATATATTCAATGATAGGGACATAACTGCTAAATATTGATTTATACTCTTTAAAGAAAGTATTTTCTTTCAAAAGGAATGTTCACATAGCTCTCTTCTCCCCATAAGTCATAAGATTAAGTGTATAACCGATGCGTACATTCTGAACTTGTCAATATGGCAGACCTAAGAATACTCAGATATAACTTTTGTAACATTGAGTATGCAAAAATTGTCAGGTCTTTATGCATGCATCATAAAATGTTAATGCAGTGCTTTACTTGTGTTTTCTTATTTTCAGTTGGGGATAATTGGTCTCGTTATCATAGCCTCTCTGACAGACCATTGTTGTCAGCTTATAGTGAAATGCAAGAAACGCGTCATAATAAATATAATGCAAAAATACCAGGATACGCATTGTGATGCCGACTTTAACACCCTTGTCCGTCTTCAGATACGCTTAGAAAAACATTTGGATTATGCAGATATAGGAAACATTGTATTAGGTAAATGGGGACCCATCCTCGTTAATTCATTCCTATTGTTGACACAGTTTGGATTTTGTGTTGCATATTTTATATTTATCGGGAATACAGTACAGCTGTTATTCCCCCAAAAATTGGTCAATGAAACTATCCCACAGTTCCAATCATCAATAACAACAGTGCATGATGGGAGTAGCATATCTAGAAATGTTATGTTTAACGTAACTAACTCTACCACTACAGGATTTACTCAAACAACTACGGGGTATACTCAAACAACTACAGGGTATACTCAAACAACTCCAGGATATACTCAAACAACTGCTTATCCTCAAACAACCTATACAGCTGATAATGGGACTACTGCAGACTTTATAGAACAGTTTGTGTCTACAGCCCCAAATTTGGAATATCTTGTTTTAATTCCATTACCTCTATTTATATTGTTTGCCTATCTTCGCAGTATTAGGAACATGGGCATTGTCAGTGCAGTAGCCAATCTTTCAACCTTCGTGGCATACTTCTCAGTTCTCTACTATCTTATAGAAGGTAGGTTAACATACATATTGTTGTAGTGTAGTGTAGTTGGTAAAAGTTTTTATTGTAGTGGGAAAATGCAAAGGGAACTATAGAAGTACAATAAATCACAAATAGGAATAGATCATTACTTTAAAACATTTCAAAAACGAGGCCATAATTATTTGGAGCGTTTTTAAGTGTAAAGGAATCCAAGTTGTTTGGGAGTTCTCCAAAGGAATTTAAAAAAATGTTTAAATATGGTCAGTTTCATTTCAGTATACATCATAGCTTTTGCTTTGATTTCTTTATTTTCATGATTTCAGGCTTCAGCATCCATCCTACTGTGCAGTGGTGGAAATGGAGCACTTTTCCAATCTTCTTTGGTCAGGTTACCACAAACTATGAGGGTATTGGAACAGTAAGTACTGATATATTGATATAGGCTGTAGAATACATTATTGTCCCCAAGATTATTTTTTCCTTTTAAATGGCCCATACTGGTTCTCATTGAGTACAAAAAGTAAAAAATGAAAAAGTTGCGCAGTTTTTAGCCACTTTATCAAATAAATGGAGAATTGAGTCATGACTGGAACCAAACAAGGCATTAACATGCAAAATGTCACCACATGTCATTTGTTACAGACATCGAATACACAAGGTCCAACATCTTTGATCATACATTTCCTACAGTATTTATAGATGTCGTACCTAGCTTAGGATGCTGTATAAATGTTAATTTACAATTTATTTTGATAAGCTTGTCAAATTAATAAAAGAAACGTATGAAATGCAGGAGAATTAGCAAGAGATTTAAATGTTCATAATGAGATGAAATATCTTACACTGGTAATAATACTAATGATTAAAGAAAACAAAGCATTATAATTAGGCCTAATACTTTTACACTGGGCAATTTAATTAAGAAATATAGACCGAAAAGCAGGGGTTATATCGTCGAATACAACCCGCAGGGCTAGGCACAAACGTTTTCTGTACCACGAACGACCGAAGGGAGTGAGGGGTTCGAAAGCTTTTGTGCCTAGCCCCAAGGGGTGTATTCGACGATATTACCCCTGATATTACCCCTGATCTGAGGTCTATATTACGATTCGAACATGAAAACTCACCAAATTGTTTCGAATATTCATCATGGTCCGCCATTACTACGACCCATCGTTATGACGTCACACATTACACGTATTAACTGGGTTATTGATCTCGAATATAACCCAGCTGAAGCATTGACTTTGTTTACAGTTTATAGAAGGCGTGAATACAGTCATGTTCGAATGTAATTTAAACACCTGTATTAAGCTCTGTTATGACCACAAAATCTTGCATAAATGTTATAATTGTATATTTATTTCATAATTGAAATTGTTTTTCAGATCATTCCTATTGAAGCCAGTATGGATGGCAACAGACATAACTATCCTAGATTCCTACATGGCTCTATCCTTATACTAGGGGTCATGTTTGCCTCCTTTGGCATACTGGGCTATGGCAAATATGGAGACGGTGTTGGTCAAATAATCACAGCCAATCTTCCTCAGGGTACAGTTGTCATGGTAGCAGTCCAGATATTCTTGATGATTGGAGTAATCTGTACATTCCCACTTCAGTTCTTTCCCATTGCGGAGATATTGGAGGGGTACATTTTTGCTGAAGGTATGCGCATAATATCATGAAAGGCAGATCTAGGAACCCCTCCTTGAAGGAGCCCTGTGTTTTTTTATGTGCACTCATACATAGTCATACAAGTACACACCACCAACTTTTGTATGAGTTGTGGACCACTCAGTCAAACACCCTGTAGTTCTTTATGCAAACAAGCAAATTGAGTCTTGCCTTAAGTCTGAGCTAGGAATCGAATCCGGGACCTGTTGCGTAATTGCTACATGTACTCCTGCTGAGGTATGTGGGTTGATTTAATGAGGCTCCTTAAAGTCCCCCCCCCATATGTTCTCAACATATGCTTTTGAAAATCCTAAGCTTAAGATATGTAGTGGTTAATGTAGATATTTACAATATGTCTAGCTCCGCTGAAACAATAGAGCCTCTCTGAAAATTAGAACTACCTCCTGTCCTGTTAAATGTTCAATATTGGCTTTGCCACAATATCATGAGCACCTAATTGTTTCAGGAAAGTGCTGTGGTCCAAGAAGAAATGCAAACATACGAGCTGTCAAAGAGGAAGAAAGGGTTTCACTTCTTGAGGCATCTGACGAGTCTTTGGATGAGCTTGTACCTGTAGCTATAGCCATACCAGAATCTGTAAGTAATGGGTCTAAAGTGTTTCAATTACTCAAAAGATATATGCAACGCATATGCAAACGAATAATATACCTATATATTTTGCTGAATCATCCTTTGATATAAAAATAGAAATCATGGATACCTAAATTAGAGATCAAAACACAAAAGTGAATGTTTGCTATGCATAAACATTTTGATGACACTCATTGTTGTAAAACTGAATTATTATAGGTGTCTTGGTGTAAGAGGTATACATTCAGAACATTTGTTGTCTTAGCAGCTGCAGGATGTGCAGTTCTACTGAGAAACTTCTTCTCATATGTTCTTTCATTTGTTGGTAAGTTTGCTTACTTATTCACCTTAAAGCCTCACTCTGCATATTTTCAACATTTTTTGGCAAAATAAAGACTTGCTTTTGATCTTCATAGTATTTCCAATGGATCGACAAGTGCTTTATATTTCATTAGACATCAAAAACAGTCCAAACGGACCACATCAAAGCTTACAATAAATTATTAAAAATATTTTTGATCTGTCAAGTTTTTATGTATCAAATTTTTACCAGTATCAATGAAAGATGGCGAAGTTGTTTGTTGTACATGATTCATTCATGTTTATAGAAGTGTCGCCATCTTTTAAATCAAGAGTTATTTAAAACACGCAACATTTAAATTACCTTAACAAAACTTAAGCATGGTAATTTGTCCTTTAATTTCATGAATTGAGTGTATTTTGTTTAATTTTGTTTTATCAATACGTAACTTCACTTTGCAAAAACATACTGGTAGTTTCTTGAAAATATTACACAAACATTTTCTATATTTTTACAGAATTACCGTGTATTTGTTGTTTCTAGGTGCCGCTGGAAGTGCTGCACTGGCATACATTCTACCTTGCTTCTTCCACATAAGACTTGGCAAAGGCACAATATCATGGCCTATATTTATCAAAGACGTCCTTATCATCGCATTTGGAGTCCTTGGAGGAGTTGTTGGGATCGTTGTGACGATACAAAAAATTATTGAAGAAGTCATCGAAGAACAATAATTCAGAATAATTACTGTGAACAGCAATGCCGACAATCACTTTGTTTGATGATTTAAAGAACGGAAGGAGTTTACATAGCCTTGTTAATAATCAAAGATTCAAGAAAATAAATGTGGATGAATTTCTGAACGAACAGGAAAATTCAGCCACAGCCAAGAAAAACTGAAAGAATATTTGCAGATGAAATTTTCTGAACTCAGAACAGTGTGAACAATAATGAGTGTAAGGGATAAAAAGATCATCCTTTAGTCGATTTAGGATATTGGAATTATCCCTTGGTCATTATAATTAATCCATCCCAAGGGTAGTAGGTCCCAATATCCTGAATCTCATGTTAGATAATCTATATTTATGACACATTTTGTCCAGGAAGGGTTCACCTATGGGCCTGATATACAGGTACCTATATTTCATGCATAACTTTTATTTCCAACTGAAATGCATGTTCACTTGCACAGCTGAACTATTGCTCAGGTAAATAATACTTGCCAGCGTACCATACATTTTCTACAATATATAACCAGGATTAACAAACTAAGTATAGTATATTAATCCCATCTTACATGTGTATGGTAATGCAATAGAACTTTTTATTTTGACTACATGCAGTATATGCACAATGTATATTTTGTTTATTTAACGCTTCTACTATACTTTACAAAAAGTATTTTAATTATTTGCCTGTATATTATTTATTTATTCAAACATAACTTATATGCATCCAGGATGTCTCATATATAATGACTGCCCCTACCCTCCACCACCAGGAAAATATACTCCTCATATTTGTTGTATGAAAGCTTATTTCATTTTGCTGTCTATATATCTCTACAAAAGGTTCCCAATAGACCTTTCATACTGCAACCCTTTATCAAAAATTCTCCAAAGTTTAATTCTTCTCAAATAATCAGTAATGGCGCACATATGGTGTAGGTTTGGTTGTGCATGAGGGAAAGTCATTATGAAACACCCTGTATATTACGTTTATGATTACAATGCACTTAAAGTTTTCCCAGTTATCACATTTACAGGATCTATATTTATTTATAGTATTTATTTATATCATGTAATTATCAAGTTCTTTGTTCTTTAGTACCATGCACAGATTAATGGATACAAGTAACTGATAATGCATTTATTGTTTGCTCAGTGTCTTGGCAAACATTTTAGTAGATTATATTAATCCAGTTATTATTTAACAAAATTTTATTCTTTTATTCACAGCGAGAAACAACAAATGTACAAGGTGCATCAAAAAAACAAACAATCGTCACATAATAATTGGAAGAATGTTGAGTGTATTAATTGATTCTCCACTCTAATATTGCATTAAAGCTCTGTTACATCAAAAATATAAGAAGAATTTTCACAAGAAATATTATAGCCTACATGTATGTTTTGTGTTCATGTAGGTAAAATCAGATCGCAAAATTGAATGAAGTCATATGATAAAAGTGAATCATACTAGTACTATTGAGAGTATTATGTTGATGGAAAAGTTTTATGTATTTATAATGATAAATGCACCTGTATTTTTTATCTTGTATAGATAGATATACGCTTGTTATATGTCATTTTATGTTATACAAATGTTGCACACATTCTTTGATATTGCACATTTATTTTAAATCGTAAACTGGTAGATAGGTGCAATAAAAATGTATTATTATTGTAATATATACTGTAGCTTGTTTGACGCCCGTGTAGTACATGACATGTGTCTTGGATATATCCAAATCGTTCATTCAGTTCATCAACTTAATGCGATGTCCTTTCACAGTAGTACCCCACATATGCAGTAATTTTGCTGTTAACAGATTGAGTCCAGTGCCAACGACTCTTGTATCTAATTAAAATCTCATAACTACATTGCTTATACATGTTATATACAGGTTCGCTAGTAAAAATGAAATAATCTTTGGCGTTAATCTGTAGTACATGGTTCTTTGGTTACTTCGATCTATTTCTTGCCACTAAATGGAGTACCAAACATAAGTGATGATCCGATTTGTCCCAGAAATCTAGTTATTGCATCACGACCACATACCGCAATTGTACGTAGTAGATGCTTTTTGCTCCTGGAATCGTCATTAAAAGAGTAAAACAGACTGCACACAGGATTGTTTATGCTGCCAATCATTAATACAGGTTAAAAGTACATATTTGATATAGAGCAATATAGAATATGTTTCTCATGTTGCATTTTGTGTTACTTTGTCATCTGATTCCGTCAGTACATTTGGAGTTTTCTATACAATATGGGCATACTCAAAGGTTTGACTACAATTAAAAGATGGCGGTGCTAATACTAACCCGAGTTTGTAAATGTCCATCAATGCTTCTCTGTTTGGCCATAGTATTGCACAGAATCCCTTGTTTATAGCACAGTCTCTGTGAGTATCCTCCGCATGATGCTTTATTGCATGGCAATCATATTGGCTCGCCCTGTATTTTGTCAGCAGAGCTCTCATAGAACATTTCTTGGTCTCGTTTACCCATCGCTTGCCCTTGAATGCAAAAACGGATGTCACCATTATCAAGTACATTCCCTACTCCTTTGATATAGAAAGGAAAGGATTGTCTTATTTTATTTTTTTTATTTTTCGATATTTTTTTCGATATGTTATCTCAACAGAACCTAAACAGGGACAACGAACGTACTAGAACTGAACTATTTAGTGCAAAGCTAACTCTCACCCTAGTGTTGAAACGGTTGATCTCTCGAACAAAGCCATGGCAGTAGCCCCAGCCATATTTCTGTATATAAGCACCGTGACCACAAGGGTGTCTTTCCTCAAAGCATTGGTAGAATCTGCAATCTCCCGTCTCTGCGTACCTGATACACTCGTCACTGACCTCTGAAATGTTACAGGAATCATCATTTTATTCATGGTGTGTTTTATTGCAATTACCCAAATGCGAGTAGGTAGTTACCAGTTTCACCACCAGGTGGCTGATTCGGGTCAATTAACATGGCAGGTATATGAGAAAGTTCCCTTAAACTTGAATATTATCAATTTAAGTGGCTCAATTTTCATATAACCCTTACGCGTCTGATACTTATCCTAATGAAAATATGTCCAGTAAAGCAAAATATTATCTGTCCACTAAAAGAAAAGATATTTCATTTTTTGTGATTTTATAGCATGGGGTCTATGGGGAATCTCCCCGAGCTAGAAGTCACATTTTCAAAGAAAATGAATTTTTCAAAGTTGATAAACACTTTTTAAAACCACATTTCTAGATGTAATTTTACATGTAGATTTCAAATATGATATTAGTTTGACTGAATTTTGAATTTTTAATGACGTAAATCAAGATTATTTCTACTCGCATCTGGGTTATTGGCATCGTGGTCAAATCCCGGGGTCAAATAGATTTCACTCTTCTCTTTTATTATCTTGATTCACAATGCTCCAACTTCATTCAACTTGGAAGTCGGAGATGCTTTATCTTAGAAATGGTATTTTTATGCTTTTCCCCTCGACTACTGTGAGACCTTAATACAAAATTTTCAAAATTGACCGAAAAGCCCCATATATAGTGTCTTTCCTTATGTAGGCAAGATGAAATCCGTCTCACTTGACTAGTCATTGTGCTGCTTCGTCGGAAGTAATATGTCTCGGCCCTACCTGCTAATGCTGGTTGTACTGGGTGCTCTCTGGCGAATGGAAGTTTCTCCCGCAACCAACTTGGCAGAAACGACCAATCTATCCCATGTCCTCTGGTGTGTTGGATAACAAGGAGTAAAACCAATGTTTTATACAGCATCTTTTGCATGTTATATCTCCTCTTTAATTTCTTCCTCAGTGGTATCAACTTCTTCGGAGCTCTTCGGGTAAGTTGAACTACTATTTTATTTTGTTTCCCAAATGTACTTCCTGATATGCTAGTTATTGCGTATATAAGAAAAGTGGTGATAGAACACAGCGAGGTGTGATGTTATGAAGTATTGAATATCAGGACACAACTAGCACCATCCGACATATGATACCACAAGTCATAATATTTTGAATTTATTCAGTGAAGCCATAATTTGGCATGTAAACACAAGAAACTTCAGGTTTGGATGATTGGTCCTAAACATTGACGTATTACATGTATTAGCATTCTCAAAGAACATAGTTTATGGTTTCTTTGCAAAATAATCATTTAAAGTTTGTATAAATTTTACTTTATATACTACAGACCGTATGAATATATAAAGTGAAAATAATATTAATAACTAATAAGATATTCATATACAAACTATAAATATAACATACATTGTTTTATTTACAAAATATTAATATACATTAATTTTCTTGTTTTGCACTTATCAGGAAATAAATACGTGGGCTTGTTTCAATTTGATAAACAAGGTACGAATGTTATAAGGTTTGTCAGTGTAAACTACTGGACACGACACAGTATCGCCTGTGTACCCTTCGAGGAGTATTGTACATTGATTTCATCATATTCCAGCCCTGTGGCGGATCTGGGGGTAGAAGAAAAATTGGGTCCAACTGAAATAATTTTTAGGGCCCAAAAATTTTTAGGGGCCAATAAGTGGGCCTTTTGGGCATTACTGGGCCTTTTAAGGCCTTATTTTTTAATTTTAGGCCAAAATATTTCAAGAAATAATAGTTTCAAAATTTGGGCCTATTCTTTGGTTATAAAGGCCCAATTTTTTTGAAAACTTGAAATATGCCCCCCCCCCCCCCCCTTCCCTTGTTGGTTCCCAGATCCGCACCTACAGCCTCAAATAAATTATTTTGTATTGCCCAGTGGAACATCGTCGGTTCCCACGCTCAATCACTACGTTCTATGTTCTGAGGATAGGTCCGAAGCTTGATGAAGCAAGATGCAGTGGAAAGCGAAGATGACAAAATTAATGTGATAAATTAATACTGATTTGTTTTGACGCAGTTGGGTTCACTTTTGTTTACTTTTGGTTAATATTTGATTTAAAAATATCAGAGCGACCTGTATTGAACCTACATCTGTACTGCCTGCACAGTATATTGTAACTTCACTCATTTACTGCTATGCTATTACTATTTAAAGCGAGGTTACACATACATCACCTTGTTTATCGAGCTTATTTCAGATTTCAGGTATGGCTGGAATTGTGTCGTTATCAAGAGAAGATTTGCTGTCCATTCTCTCGGATCACAAGGATGTTGAACATATCAAGGTGAGTAGTTGTGATACAATCGGAGGCTTTTGATATGCAGGCACACTTAACTTTTTGCAAGCAGTATCATGTCTTGTAACGTGTAAGTAACGTCTACAATCTCAAATTGCCATATTCACGAAGATGAGTCGTGAAGTCCTGTATTCAACATATTAAAATCTGATGAGGAAGCTTTATCGCCTGCTTTATCGCATTGAGACTTTAAATAAGTATTTCGCTGTGTTTGGCTCCGCATCATGTTATTATCTTTGGTACGGTCCACACCCTGGGTATAGTCTGTCACGTGACTTCATGGATGACGTGTGCGCGAGTGATTCGCATTTTCTTTCGCTTGAGGTTTGTAATCACACTTTTTACATGTTTTAAGATTTTGTATCTCTGTGAAACTTGTCCCGTACCATCAATGTCTGAAGACGATCTAATTCACCAAATATCTCATCCAAGCGTGTCCCGGTTAAAGAGAAATTCGCACTTTTGTGTCTCGCAAAATGACGTGTGCGCGAGTAAATCGAATTTTACGAAGGATGGGTGCGCGAGTCTAAAATATTTTTATTCACTTGAGACAATTCTGCAAGCTAAGGCAGAATACAACTCACGTGACATTTGTTTTTGTCATCTTAAAGTAGTATGTTAAAGAATAGTTTGCTATTTTGTAGATGTTTCATGTATGGCACATACATGTCTACGTTTAATGACAATAAATGTTTTGAAATAGCTTGTAGGGCTGTCCGGCATTGCAGGTGAATTAAAATTTGAACCAAAAATTGAATTAAATTTTTGGCGGTCTCATAAAACCGGCAGCATATTCATTTATTGACATCACATACAAGGGGGGGGGGGTCAGAGTTGTTATGTGGTTACTCGGCATCCGCCACGATCAGAACCATGTAAGGAATAGTAAGGGGAAGCCCATGATACCAAGTAATATCAAATAATAGGATAGTTTCTAAATAGCAGAAAAATCAATGAAATCTCGTGCTGCCATCTTTTATTCAGCTTTTAACTCGGGCTAGAGCTCCATTCATTTACATGCTAAAATCTTGGAAAAGTGGCTTAATTTCATGATTTATCAAAGTGTGTTTGTTGAATCTGTATAAAACTTGAATGATATACCACATGATGACCCTGTTTATGTACATGATGTGATTAAACATGCAAATGTTGATTGACATACAAATAATCCACGGATTTAAAGAATTTTAGCATTGCATCTATGGACATTTGGCCCAAGTTTTTTTAAATTGTTATAGAAAATTATTCAAATTACATAACTGTGTAAATCAAAGCTATTAAAGGAGAAAACATTTCACTGAATTCAAATATGCCATTTAAAAGAAGGTAATGTAAGTCATTAGAGGTCTAATATGCAAGTCTCTTAAAATCTCACGAAAAACGAGATTTAGCGAGACTTCAAAAGCTATATGGAAACTATACTATCATAGGAGCTTCTAACTTCTTCCGCATCCCCACCCTTGGTATACGCAGCTGACAAAATGGATCGGTACGGGTCAAAAGCTGGACCGGTACGGGTTAACGGTTTTATTTGAATTTAAAACAGCTATAACTTGCTCAATATTGACTTCTTCGTATCTAAGTTGAAATATATGATCCCTCCGAATGATTTTAAGTACCCCCAAAGTTCACCCGTACAGGTCCAGCTTTTGACCCATACCGGTCCATTTCGTCAGCTGCGTATACCAAGGGTGATCCCACATACTTTGTTTTTACAGACTCAGAAATCAATGTTCGCTATAAATGTAGCAATATAATATGAGCTTTCGTGTACTCAGATCCTCCATTTGTAAAAAACAATTGAAGAACAGCATAATAGAAAGTCAAATACAAAATTGATTTGCGCCCAAAATAGTTTGGGTAATGATTCCCGTCACTACCATGCATTTGTCCCCAAAGCAAGGTATTCTGATGGGTAAAATCTTGATACCTCCCCCTCCCCTACTAAAAATGATTTGAATTTGGTTTAAAAATATATACCCCAAGAACACTTTAAGGTATCATAAATTATTGAGGTAGTTATTAGTTACACCGTGCCCTTATAGTATTTATTACAATTCTAGAACAATTTCATGAAACGACTCCTAAGGAAATTGTTTTTGTAACTGTTTATATGTTTATGTTTCTTTATTTCATTTCACTTGTTATTATTAGTTTCAGGTATTTAATATGGATAGCCCAAGCACGAGTGGTTTAGAAACTACTGTCAGAAGTCTAGATGGCTCATTTTTCGATGACTCATTTAATGTGAGCCATGAAGTTGTTCTTACATCGACGCCAATTAAGAAACCACAAGACAGAACTCCTCAAGAATACTTATGTGATATATGTGGTGAATATTGTGTCTAGCTTGCAGAATTGTTTAAAATGAATATAAATATGTTAGACTCGCGCACCCATCCTTCGTAAAATTCGATTTACTCGCGCACACGTCATTTTGCGAGACACAAAAGTGCGAATTTCTCTTTAACCGGGACACGCTTGGATGAGATATTTGGTGAATTAGATCGTCTTCAGACATTGATGGTACGGGACAAGTTTCACAGAGATACAAAATCTTAAAACATGTAAAAAGTGTGATTACAAACCTCAAGCGGAAGAAAATGCGAATCACTCGCGCACACGTCATCCTTGAAGTCACGTGACAGACTATACCCAGGGTGGTCCAAGGGTCAATGCTTTCTATAGCTGCTATTAGCAACGAAGGCCGATCTTGAAGGATGGTTTTAGTTCACTGATGGATCCAGAAGCTTACTAGGGGGGGGGGGGATCCGCCAGTGTAGACCATTATAATTATGCCTATGTCGCTTTATGAAGTAGCAGTCTTGCCACTCTGATACTGATAGCATCTTTCTGTTTCACCTGAAGCTCAGGGCTGAGAAGAAATGAGATGTCATGGTTTATCATAATCTGTAGTCTTGCTAAAGATGCAGCATTTTCAAAGAAATGGTATCGAATTGATAGATCCATGCCAAATCAGGAACATTAAACTAAAAATGAAAGCTATCTCTATTTCAGTTTTTAGCCGATAGCGATAAATTGGAAATCAAAGAAATCGGTGATGGTAACTTGAATGAAATCCATCGAGTGCAGCATAAAGATGGTCAAAGTTTAATCGTTAAATTTGCCCCACCCTATGTCAAGGTGAGTTAGATATGATAAAAATGTATATATTTTTATAGACTATGATGCAGTCTCTATTATCTTATTTGCTAACCACTTGGTCCACCACATCCGAATGTCATAAATAACATTAGGAGTCCGTGCGGTCCATTCCTTTTTGCAAATTCTGTTCTAAAATTATTTCAGTGACTGTTTTTACACATTTCGATCTTTATAATGTAAGCTTGGGCTCAGGAAGAAGATACAGAATGTATATGAATGAATTACTTTACTACGTAATACTCTAGACATGATTAAAGTTGAAAACGTGGACGAATTATTAATGCCATAACATGCAGATTGGGAATGTATTACAACTCAGACAATTTTTTGTGTCAGTGTATCGGACCAGAGTTCCCCTTAGCTACGAATAGACTAGACATCGAACACAGAGCACTTGTGAAGTACAACCAGCTATGTCCAGGGCACAGTCCCATACCGTACTTCAACGACCAGGGAAAGCATTTGTGTAAGTTGTAAAACCACTTAAACTGAGTAGAAGGGAGGCGAATTACATCATACTCATCTCTTTATCATTCTTTTCATTTATCGAGGTTTGAGGTTTCACTTTCAAGGTTTAACTTTTACAATAGTATGAAAGAATAATCTTTCTTATAGACCATCAACTTTGACATAAAAATGAGATACATATATGAAACAAACATATCTATTCAACGTTCTGAACATGAATGTTGTACTGCATTATTGTCCTTGATACATTATATGATATCCCCTTAGTTGCAATGGAGGACCTAAAGGAGCACGAAGTACTGCGTTCACAGTTGATGAGGGGGGAACTGAATATGCAAGCAGTCACTAAGCTAGCCTATTTCACCGCATGTCTCCATCGAGAGACCCACGTGGCCAAGCTTGGAGAGGATGAAATAAAAGTGATGGATCAGCAGTTTAAGTGAGTTGCAAATTGGGTACTAGTAATTGCAATGGGAAATTGCCAAAAGGGTCGTAATGTTATGTATGTGCACGCAGTCATCGGCACATAGAAATAATGGTTCTCAAGTAAAGGGTCCTATATGTCCCATAAACATATGGACTGATTGGGTATAATTTGGTTACTTCACAAATCGGTGGACAGACTAAGCTTAGTGACCAGTCCCTTATATAAAGTCAACGTAAAATGAATCTTATAGTTTATTTTGTATTTTGTAGAAATGAACCAATGGTAGAACTCACTAACAATTTTATATTCACATATCCTTTCATCAAGGATCAACCTACAAATAAAATTGCAGATCAAGTGCTTCGTAAAGCAAATGCAGTAAGTACAGCTGTAACCACCATAATATGCTTTTTTGAAAACCAACTAGCCTGAATGCATCCGTCCATCCATTGATAATAGTCCATGGTCCATCATGCATAGTTTCAAATGCAAAGATAGAAGATTCTTTGCATGCATTTTATTTATTGATAACATTGTGATAACTTGTAACTTATTTTCAAGAAATGTGTAAAATGAACTTGAAAAATTGAAGAAACTTTATTTATGGCCAAGATCTGATCCGACACTACACTGTCTATCATTTTAGATAGTTTATGATAGCCCAAGATTATTAGAAAATGCCGCAAAGATGAAGCAGATATTCTTAACGAAGAAGGAGGCGTTGGTACATGGTGATCTACATTCCGGTTCGGTAATGGTCAAGGAGGACTCTATTAAGGTAGGAATTATCGTTATGTGCATATACAGGGTGACACAAAAATATGCTTCATGAATTTTCATATGTTGATAGAATGTTTCTTTGAAACATAGAATCAAATCATACGCTACGGCTGATGTGAAATATATTATTATATACTAACATAGTACACGTTCTTCCTGGTCCAAACGTCATCTCTAGATAGATCTGAAATTGCATGATTACGTATTTAGAACACTACATATAGAAACCGTAAACATATGATTATGTGTGACTGATTTTATTGTTTGTTATTTTGTTCAGGTAATAGACGCAGAATTTGCCTTCGTCGGCCCATGTGCGTTTGATCTTGCTCTGATTCTAAGTCATTATATTATCTCCCACTACCAACACATGTTGACACGCAAAGACAATCAGCTCCACAGACAGTTTGCTTACAAATGTATCGATGCTTGCCACAAAACAGGTGCTTTTATATATTAATATTGTAAAGTCTTTGGGTGTTTTTCCAGTTCAAGCAGCTTAGGGTGTACTAAGATTGAGATATTTATTGATTAACGAGGAGAGATCACTTCGTTTCAATTTCATAAGCAAATGTCCTTAGGAATGCGCACTGGACGAAATTATGGGAAAATATAAATCTGTATGACATACAATTGGCATTTAATTTTTTCAGTTGAGACGTATCTCACACATATGACTAGTTACCATGGAAACAAAGATGAATATATATCTAATCTTATGTCTGAAACAGCCGGGTTTACTGGATGTGAACTAATACGAAGGTAAATATACCTGTTTTATACAGGCTGGGCCAATAACAAACGATTTGTACATGTACTAGTAGATTCACCATACTACTTTATTGCATAACATTGGAAAAAGAACTTAGTTTCCTAAACTTCAGTACGGTTGGATGTATGTCGACAAAGCTTAACTTCTTTCATTATCAATATCATTGCATATACTTTTGATGAAAAAATTATATACAATTATACACAAAACATACAAATAAATTAAAAGTTCATCGTAAAAATGACTAAATGACTATGTCTATTATATATTAGCTAATGCAATAATCATTTCGTTTCGTTTGTCCAGGGTCCTTGGAACAGCTCATGTGGAGGACATTAAAGACAGTCCAAGTGCAGAGGAGTGTGTCCTAGATGCTGGGGGTAGACTACTAAATGCTTATGAACGTATACACTCTATAGACAGAATAATGTTCATTGGATTAGCGATGTGTTAGATCAGATCAGGGACAGACTTGAAGATTGTCAAAGATTGGAGCTAATAAAAATAATGTGTAAATGGAATGGTCGCTTTTTAAAAGTTTGGACCATATTTCTGAAAGTTTTGGCACATTTTATGTTGACAGCGAAACTGCAAACGCTTCTTTTAGCTCTCCATTCCGATGCATATATGCCCCAAAATTGAAAATTACTTGAGACGACCACGGCCGTAGTAGTCGCCATGGAATCAAAGCAAAACCTTAGAAATTACACGGTCGACGCATGATCCTCCTGCGGTTGCTTTGTATCATGGTACAACCTATATTTGTCAAAAAGGTTGCCGTGATGACGCAGGACTTGCGGCTGCCGTAACCTACTACTAACGCGACTGATATAATATGTGACGGTAGGAATTAATTCTGCTGCAGCCTATGCATAAAATTATCGCCAACTGAGTTGGTTTCTTCTTTCTTTAGTCAAACTCATCTGCAATGAGTTCCTCTTCAGTAAAAATCAAGTGCAATGAGTTAGTTTCTCTTCCGTCAAACTCATCTTCAATAAGTCGTTTATAGTCAAACTGATCTACAATGAATCGATTTTTATTTCTTCAGTCAAACTCATCTGCAATGAATCATGATCAGTTTCTTCTTCAGTAAAACGCTTCTGCAATGAGTCAGTTTCCTTTTTTGTCAAACTCATCTCCAATGAGTCGATTTTTATTTCTTCAGTCAAACTCATCTGCAATGAATCATGATCAGTTTCCTCTTCAGTAAAACGTTTCTGCAATGAGTCGGTGTCCACTTGGGTAAACGCTTCTGCAATGAGTCAGTTTCCTTTTTAGTCAAACTCATCTAGAATGAGTCAATTTTTTCTTCAGTCAACTCATCTGCAATGAATCACTTTCTTCTTCAGTAAAACGCTTCTGCAATGAGTCGGTGTCTTCTTTAGTCAAACTCTTTTTCAATGAGTTGGTGTCCTCAAATTCAAATGCATTTGCGTTGGTTTCCTTTCTTGTCAAACTCATCTGCAATGAGTCAACTTCCTCTTTAGTCAAACACACCTGCAACGAGTCGGTTTCCTCTTGAGTTAAACTCACCTGCAACGAATCGGTTTTCTCTTTAGTCAAACTCATCTGCAACGAATCGGTTTCCTCTTTAGTCAAACTCACCTGTAACGAATCGGTTTCCTCTTTAGTCAAACTCACCTGCAACGAATCGGTTTCCTCTTTAGTCAAACTCACCTGCAACGAATCGGTTTCCTCTTTAGTCAAACTCACCTGCAACGAATCGGTTTCCTCTTTAGTCAAACTCACCTGCAACAAGTCTGTTTCACCTGGTGGTAAAACTGGTAACTACCTACTCGCATCTACGTTATTGATATACATGTATAGTATACAGCGGCCCATTTCACTTTTTCTCAAAATATTGACTTTTGCAACTTACTGCCCAGCCCTACCCAAACTCATCAACTTGTTTTTATTATAACATCAACATAGTATTATCAATCGAAATGAAACTTTGTAGAATAATCAAAATATCTTCATAGATGATTGATAAAGTTAGATTTTTCAGTTCAGTTCAGTGCATTACCTCTGGGACACCCCACGTCGCATATGTGTGTATAAGTAAAAGTATACATAAAAAGAAGAAAGAACGAATACATTAACATCATATTGAGAGCACAATCAATCTTACTAGTCATAATAGGAAAAGAAACCCTCAATATCACACATAGAAATAATGTTATAGGCTGAGGCAATAATTTGACACATTTTTTTCTCTGAATGTACTCTAAGGGGGCATTATCCCGTATATGTCTCGCAAAAAGACAAAATTGATTTATTTCTCTTTGCAATAGTGATCCCAAATCCCCTATGATAGATTAGACGATTTATTCTTATTGACTTCATTTCTCTTCGAAAGTCGTTTATAGTACTTGTACTATTACTCATGATGCTCTCTCGCCCTATATAGAAATCAGATACCCCCATTCATGTCTGCACATGGTCCCCGTCAGAGCTCTTTAACTATAACATGCCAATAACAGTAAGCATTGGGTATATTCCATTTCATATTTTCCTAATACATTTACGTCATAATTACGATTAAGCGGACATAAAATGCTTAAAGGCAATTTGCCGCGTACTTGTATACAAGCTGTCTATGAACGTTTGCTGATGAAATATACAACGAATAGTACTATTTTGTTTAGAAAACAGAAACATATAATTAATAAAAAATATACCTCAGTGAAGTTCACATTATATATATTCGCGTATTTAATGACTTGAATCTCAAAAAAGTTTTAATTCATAGTTATCCCACCGAACAAAGTTCGAGGGGGATATAGAGAAGCCGTCCGTCCGTTCGTTCGTCCGTGTGTACGGGCAATAACTCAAATCTGGTTGACGGATTTGATTCAAATTTTATAGGTTAATGCCTTATGGCAGTATGACCTCTGCTCGAGAAAGAATTTTCAATATGGCCGCTCAATTCAAAATGGTCGCAATTTTTCGCGAAACATTTAATATTTGATAACTCATGTACTAGTTAACAGATTTGATTCAAATATTTTATGCTGACACCTCGGGACTAAGGAGCTTTGCTCAAGAAGAGGTTTTCAAGATGGCCGCTGAATTTCAGAAAAGCCGCCATTTTTGTAAAAAATTAATTTTGATAACTTAAATACCAGTAAACGGATTTCGGTCAAATCTTATATGCTGATGCCGAAGGATATAGTAGCTCTGTTCAAGAAAGAACTTTCAAGATGGCGGCTCTTGTCTAAAATTGCTGCCATTTTTGTAAAAAAAAAAGTGTTATCTTTGATAATTCTAGTACCAGTGAAGGAATTTGGCTCAGATGCAAATGTCTGTTTGAGAAATATTTTTAAGATGGCGACTGAATTTCAAAATGTCTGCCATTTTCCTTAAAAAATCCGTAGTCTTTGATAAAAGAATGGATTTGGTTCAAATTGTATATGTTGATGCCTAGGGACACAGTCGCTTTGTCGACGAAATAATTTTCAAGATAGTGGCTGAATTTCTAAATGGCTGCCATTTTTCATAAAATAACGTAATCTCTCATAACTCAAATGCAAATTGATAGATTAAGTTCACATTGTGTATGCAGATGCCAAGGGACAATGAGCTCTACTTAAGAAAACATTTTTAAGGTGGCCACTGAATTTCAAAATGGCCGCCATTTAAAAAAAAGTTTTATGACTCAAATATTAGTGGACGAATACGCTTCAAATTGTCTATGTTAATGCTTGAACAAACAAGCTCTCCTCACAAAGGAATTTTTAAGATGGCGGTTAAATTTCAAAATGGCTGCCATTTTCGTTAAAAACTTAAACTTTAAAAACTCAAATATCAGTTGACTGATTAGGCACAAAATTAGTATTAGTTTATACTCAATCGGGAATTTATAGAAGGTGACCATAATTCCCGTAGATTTTATCCATCGAATTTAGAAGGACTAGCAAGCTTAGGTTGCAGAAAATCCAATGCACTTGGTTCGCGTGGGAAGACCTCTCTATAAGGTCAGGTGTGATTTGGTCCTTCTCCAACGTGCTACTAAGAACCATTTAAATTAGTTATACTCCTCGAGGGTGATATTTTATCAGATTATAGCTCTTTCAACAGCTTGATGTATTGTATAAGAAGTGGAGCTAATACAATTTGTTGAGTAAAGCAAGTCATTGTACTGAAATTTTAGAAGAAAGGGAATCTTGTATTTTTGTTTCAGCCTATTCCCTCGCCACTAAATGAAACATAACGTCATTAAAAGTTTTCCTGGATATGTAGAAATTGTTCAAGTTATTCTGAGAGGAATCATAAAATCCACATTCTAAATTGTATTTATGTAGATATTCCTCGAAATGAAACTTATTCGAATTTTAGAAAAGTGCGTTTTAAATACGCGTGTACGGGGTGTGACTTTCTGCAGGGGTGGCAAACAGTTCCTAAAAGGTGTTAGGAGTCCAATTTTACAACAGTCTTAAGTAAATTATTATGAGAGAAAATATGCACTTCATTATTTGTATTTGCTACCAAATTGTTTAACCCTTTAAGCCCTTAAAGTGACAATGTATTTTATGAACCCAATGGATTTCACAGACATTTGATATTCAATTTCGGGGTAGCGATTCAGTTAAAACAACATTTAGATAACGCTCGCCATTATCATATTGTAAAATACAGGTTGATCAATAAAAAAACGTAACGTAATTACTATAATAAGGCGTTTGTCATTTAATCAAATTATGAGCCAAGCCTTGGGATTAATAAAAGGCATATTTTGAATTAATCTTAAAAATTAAAATTCCAAGTGTATTAATCAAACTGTAACTGCTTTTATGCGCACTTGTTGATAGTCATTGCAATGCAGAAAGTGCTACTATCCATTGTTCAACATGAAATATCCTATCGTCTTAGCTTGTGGTTTTGGGTTTTAATGATAAAGGTTTTGATTGGGATGAGGGGATGTTAGTTAGTCACTGTTTCTTTGTACATTAGATCATTGTTCAGGATGCTGTAGGATTGTTTCCGCATGTCCGGCTGTAATCTTAAATGTTGTTTTATCGGCGTTTTTAATTGCATACATGTTCGTTTTCGCTTAGAATCCTTTATGTTCAAGGTATATTTTAAAGTGAATTGAGTAGTGAAAGCCAAAAATGTCATCAATTTTACTAAGTACATTAACTTTAAACCATTATGATCGTTAAGCAGTGTCCTTCTTGACTTAATCAACGGAAAGTCTTTGTGTGCCACAATTATTCAAAAAGCTGTTTGTGATCATGAGAATCAGTACATGAGCTTACGGAGACGATTCCCGTTTAGAAATTAGTAGACATCTTCGCTACGCTCACCGCGTTTGAGGAACTGTATTTCAGTTTGCACTAACCACGACCTACGTACGACTGACTTGCTCTCTCTCACTGTTACTGATTAAAGTACATGAGTTAGACTCAGACTGACAATCGGGAATAGCTGTCATAATGCGTATAATGCCCCTCGGGCCAAATTTTCAGACTTTTCTCATACTGCATGCGGAATAAGCTGTATTAAGCCAGACTCAGGAAACTAAGGGTTAAACCACAACAAATGCCCGTGGCAAGATATAGAGAAAATTCTTTAAAATAATCTTCAGAGTTTTAATTTCTTGATGTGCCGAACTAGTCAGATTTTGATTGGTTATTAAGGTTTCATAGACGGTTCATGCGACAGAATGTGTAATCATCGTTCAAAATATTTTTGGAGCGAGCTTATACTGGGCTTCGAAGGGGGTTGTGTTATTTTAATGGTAACACCATTTAAATTTGATGTCAATCGGTAAAAACGTATATGGATTAAGATGTAATCATTTATTTCATTGCATTGCCGTATAGGACATATTCTACATCGCGAATGGCTACGGTGAAAGATACCAGTGAGGATTTATATCAATTGTTCTAATGAAAGATGAAATATGGATAGACATCAACTGAACGCTGCTTATTGCATAAAATGCATTTGGATTATTATATCATTATTTTCATACTTGGTGGACTCCTGGTAAGTAACGTTTCTTTATATTTAAATATTATTTTAAAAATCGATTTGGTTGTGAAATTATAAAAATTATATAAAACACAATTCTTACCTTAAATGAATCCATACATCATTTTTTGATTTTTAAAATTATGTTATTTAAAATGTGTTACATTTCTTGCATTCGTTGTTACCGTTTGTATTTAATGGTACTATTTTGTAATTATTATTTTTTGTAATAAAATGATTAATTGTATTTTCAGGTCCTTCCACATGTACCACAATTTTATGTTGACAGGTCCAAAGGTATGTTAATAATCTGTCAGTCTTTCTAATCTGTCTATTTCCAAATTGTTTGAGCTTTTGTTGAATTGCAAAACTATGACACGTATTATATATACTTGCTTGTGTGGGTGAAATCTGATTTACTACAATTGCACATTCTCCGATTGTTAAAAATAAAAATGAATTGTTGGTCAATGACGTGGGTAGGCCTAGATTATTGATATTTCTTTCCAATTTTAATCAACTTATTTTTAAAAAAGTTGTTAAGATTAATTCTCTAGTCGACCTTGAGTGTCTTGTAAAAATTACATGAATCAAACTATTGGAAGAAAGGTCCTTATGCTGGTAAGAGTGACTTATGTCAAAGGAATGAGGTAAAGCGATTGATTATCAAATTTATGTATTTGATTACGGCCCATTGATTTAATGCCAGTGATTTGTGACGAGTGTACATTTATCGAAAGCTTGACGTACAGATAGAATTACAACATAATTATATATCAATTACGTATTGGAAAAAACTATGTCATTTTGTCATTAGACAAAGTAGTACTTTGGAAATATATTCGAAAAAGGCATACATTTGAGGCTGAAAAATTGTGATTCATTAGCCAATGCTCAGCCTCGCATGTAAAACATCAAATATATCTCTAAGTGAAGATCTGAGGTATCAACTTAGGTAGCTCTTCGAGATAAAGCTGTAAAATGTCAAAATTCTTCAAAATAATTCACCTGGTATTGGAAGTATCATATTGTTGGTTAATAAAACCTGAAGTCACAAAATCACTCTCTTGCCAAAATTCTTTGATTTAGCAACCACATTTTACGGCGTAAAGGCAAGAAATAACCATAAAAAGTTAAAATAATTCTGTTTTGCCTTTATTGTGACTACTTCAATTCGGAATAATGAAATAGCTGGTGAGCTAAAACCATTGACGCTATTATTCGGCATTAACGTGAAAACATCGCCACCCTCGGGTTGAATTTTAATTGAATGACTGAAATCGCATTATTTTAAAAACTCGTTATTGATTTCCTTGGTTTGATGTTTCACATCACAGGACTGATGGGACATACAACAAAGATGAGTACAGAAGGAAAATCAAAAACAATAAGCACATGAAAATTCGTTGTTATATATAAAATAACAAAGTCATCGCAGTTGGTGTTCATTTTTTGGAACGTAAACATATTTTTCTTTTCAATTGATTTGGACAAGAGTGTTGAAAGGTACTAGACAAAGTGCACATCTAAAGTAGGGTTCTGAAGTATACACACTTTGAATTATAAACCACCATACATATCAGACGCAAACTTTTCACACCACGTTTCTCAACGTGAACGTCTTTATGCCCGATAAATGAGTCACATTCGTCTCGCTTTTATTTCGTTTCTATCTTCAAAACTCGAATTGAATATCTGAAAAGGTTGCAATTCCATATAATCAAGTGTGTTTACTACATTATGTTGTCTTCATTAACTACCGATTATATTCGATTCAGTATATTTAGTACATTAAAGTATAAAAGTCTTGTCATTTTACTGTTTGGGCGTCAAATAGATAAGTGGGCCCTTGTTAGTAATTTGTAATAACAACTCATTAGCAACACGAAAAAATGTCATCGTTATTGAAAAATGTTTGAAAAACGAAGCGGGAGATGTGTTTGTTAACCGCTGAGCTATTCAGCGGATGAGCACCGAGTGGAAAATGATATATTTGCCGCATTAGTGTAGTGATAGGATAATTGCCCGAGTCCTTCACTCGACTAATCCGGCAAAATGACGGATTTCCATCTGATTTCATCTTAAGTGATAATGAACAAAACTGGATGACGTTACAAGAATAGTTTATTAAGATGTTCACGACATAGCCCGAGGACAGATTGAGGTCTTTCATAAGTTTAGGGACCCACCGCAAAGCAACTGTTATGATGAATAGCCAACCATCATCTCATTGACAAGGGACGGAATTGCGTGCATCTACATCAATACAAAAACACTGAATACATTATAATTATCTATCATTATCTGATTTGCGTCCACAATTGCAAATATACATCCAGACAAAACTTGGTATTTGCTGAACTAAATTGAATAAATTCGATCTGCTTGCTTTCTAACCGCAATTTTTCCTGTCAAAAATATGAACATGAGTTGAAACACATAACATATAGATTCTCGCCTATGCATAACTCTAAAACCACAATATTCATTTGAGATCAATGGGAGAAAAACCTCAATGATACCAGTGGAGCTTCAGGATAAATGTAGGATAGTCTGCGAATGATAACTATAGTCAGCGTGTCCCAAATGATATTCATTAAACAATCAATGCATTAAAATGTAAAAGAGTATGTAAATAGGGCACTACCTTGACGAAGGTGTACTCTGAATATTATCGCATTGACCTTTATGTGTAGAATTGACCTTTTTGTGACTTCGACATTTCCTTTCGTAAATGGATTCATCTTGATTGATCGATGATAACATCAAACTTGATAGCAAATTCTTATGAAGAAACAAATGTCAATGAAGAAACAAATAAAACAGAGTTCCCCGGGGTAGCTCAGAGGTAACCTATGTACATGTACACCCAATGGGTATTGCGTACCTGTATTGATAGTAAACAAAATACATTTACATGAAACATGAACATTTTCTGAACAATGGAAATGCTTGAATTATTACTGGGCTACTTTAAGATTCTATGGAAGTAACAGGAAATGACAAAACAGGAAGTGACAAAACCATGATGGATTTCAAACATTTTTTGAACCAAGATATCAGAGTTCTGTTTTGACCTCAAGTCAGTTTAGTTAGTTCTATATATCATTTACATGACCCGGAACACAATGGCTATGGTCAGAAAGACCATAAACATGATGAAATAACTTTTTCAGCCCTCTGAAAATGTGACTGTAAAATAGCTGAAAGTAGAGCTTAGGAAAGGTCATTGAACAGAATCTTTTGAACTTTTCAGAAAATGTGCCTGATATATTGCTCTAAATGACACAATATTTGAAAATTTGATATCATCGGTAGAAAAAGAAAAAAAGAAAAAACTGAATTGAAAAGCGATCTATTTTCAGTTTTATGACCACCATTTTTGTTTCAGACAATTTTCTAAAATTTCAAAGATTGTATCATTTAGAGCAATATATTGACCACATTTTCTGAAAAATTCAAAAGATTCTGTTCAGTGACCTTTCCTAAGCTCCTACTTTTAGCTATTTTTCAGTGACATTTTCAGAGGGCTGAAAAATTCATTCCATCATGTTTAGGGTCATTCTGACCATATACATTGTGATCTTGGTCATGTAAATGATATGTGTAACTAGTTAAACTGACTGAAGGTCAAAACAGAACTCTGATATCTTGGTTAAAAAAATGTTTGAAATCCAGCATCGTTTTGTCACTTTCTGTTCTGTCATTTTCTGTTAAGTATCAAGAGACCTTAAGTTACTTTTGCCTTAGCCACATTTGATCTACGGCAACCGTCCATGGAGAAACTCTGTTCTAAAGAATGAAGCAAATATCGCCATTTTACAAAAGGTAAACCTAGACAGACCAAGATGACCAATTCAACCAAAATCGTTTTATGAGTTAAAGAAACGAAAGCCTTTCCTGCAAAATGTATTGATCATGTCACCTAATTCACACTTTCTTTTTGCAGTTAATACGGGAGGAATGACCCGGGGTTTGGCGATAGTTAAGATTGAGAACTGAACTGTGATAGTGCAATCGATTTTTTAGATTGCACTGAGTAATACGCTTCCTCACACTGAAGAGTACATAGAACTGTATAGATGCATTTGTCCCGTTTGTTGCGTTGTTTCTGTCATTCCCTACATTCTCCAATAGTTTTTTTGCAATTTGATAGAAAGCTTCAACAAACATACTCAGCTCTGACCCAAGGGAAGTCATTGTCTAGTTTGGGCAATAATTTATAACTTTTCTGATTCGAACGAGTTAAATGAATTGAACGAATCTGTAAGAATGACCTTATAATCCTAGGACCGCTTACGCCTGACTAGCCATTTTAATGTTTTTGGAGCTAAGCCTATCAGATGTTCAATCTGATGTATAATTCTGCTCATTCCTGATGCTGATATAAAATTAGAGTGTTCGAAAACGAGAGAAAAATAGATACAGCCAGATATACAGGGTGGGCCAAAAACATCAACAATCTTTCCTCATATTCCATGTCTTTATATATTATTATAACAATTTGTTACGACACTCTTGGGTTCCCGTTTATTCTAGTATAAATGCACTTGGTCGTAGACAAGACATTTTTCCTTTATGTAAGGGTTTTAAAGAAGCCGCAATTCATATATTAAATCCTTACACGAGCTGTACAAATGTTTAAAACATCGTAAAAATGTAGATGCATTAATTGGGCAATTGGGAGCTAAAGTCAGAACGAGAAGGCGGTTGTTATAGCAACAGCGTGAATCCGATGATCCATAAACACACTGGAGATTTATTTTTTGATGTTAGTTAGCTTCAAGAGAATACATGTACTCTTACATAGTAACCCTTGACCCGAAATATTTTATCTATCCCACATCATTTGAGACTGAATGCTGAATCTTGTATGAGTACTTGTATCTACAACTATTTTTGAGGTTATGTGTATTGGCTATCAATTTCTAATTTTTTCTTCAACATGTATTGTAATGACTTCAGTATGAATGAAATGTCCCTTGGTCTTCTGGTCTTGGATTGTGATATTGGTTCTTGAATTGTGGGGAAAGGGGGTATTAGACATTGTTTCTTTTCACGTTAGATTATGGTTTTGGGGCTATATGGGTTTTGTATTCAGTTTGACTGGTATGCACTTAGAGTTTGCTTTTTCTTGCTAAGTTCCGTTCCAACTTTTAGTCCTTTCCCTTTGGCACTAGTGCTTATATATCTCATATTTTCAGGCTCACATTGCAATGGCTGATAGCGTAGCAGCCGGGGCGCTGACGGGAGTCAAGGAATGCAAATATCAGTTCAAATGGGACCGCTGGAACTGCCCAGAGCACACTCTGTTTAAACGTAACGGTCCTAGAGGTAAGCATTGAGCTAGTTTATCAATCTACCAGTAGAAAGTAATTATTCTCCCTTAATTCTAGTCCCTGCAAGAACAACTACGCGATAACTACTAATGTAACTGTGCAAGGCAAAAATTGGCATATAAAACATTGCCCCGACCTAAAACACGAGTTATCATATTAGTAACCATATTTTTCTCATGCTCAATGATACTCAATGAACCAATGAAACTAGTATTATATGTGCCATTATTCTATATACTCTGTGCAAATTTCAAGAGACTTTCTCAGAACTTAATGATCGACCTGGTACAAATGAAAACTTATTGTTCGAGCAATGTTTATCCATCAACAAATGTATTTATACTTTATAAGCATTGTTTTTTGTTTTGTACAAATACACATTGGACAATATGATCTGCTAACCATAACCCCTTTATTTGTGTGCTCTACAGCCAATAAGGAGCATTCGTTCGTCCACGCCATCAGTTCTGCGGGTGTTATGTACATCATCACAAGAAACTGCAGTCAGGGCGACTTTGACAATTGTAACTGTGATGTGTCACGAGATGGCAAATTTACCTTTCAGGAAAGTAAGTAGTACATCCGTAGATAGTCGCTACTATATTTTATCTTGATATAAAAAGACCGACTTAGGCAAGGCGTAGTAGCATCCTAAGATGTTATTCATATACGATTAGATAAAGAGATTACCCCTTTAAGTACGCATTCCATAAACATCTATATAATGATTCCACATTAATGAGGCGGAGAAAATTCTGAATATGAGTTGCGCTTTCATGAAACCACGACTGGTCAGAAACAAAATCCAAGATCACCATGTACGTTCGTCAAATAATTAAGCCATGACCCTCATGAAGTATATCCTGACAATAAGACATTGAGCAAGTTTAATAAAAACAATTCACATCATGTACAGGGTGTCTCAAAAAAATGTACCCAAAAGTATATCAAGAGCACAGATAAACCAATCAATATTTTCAGACATTTTTTGCATGGTCATGTAGCCAAAACATGAACATTTTCTCCCCAATACACCATTTTTATTTCAGTCTTGTCTTTTTGATGCTTTAACCCTTTATCGTATACACCACATTATAGATGTAACCTCATATTTCGATGACAGCCTGTATCCTTACTGCTACATTGTTCATCACATTTGATGATAAATCCGGTGGAATGTTTTGGATTTCTCTTTGGGTGTTGCCCTTAAGTTATTCTAGGTCTTTTTGCTTGGAATGAGAATTAAAACACTTCTTCAAATAGCCACAGAGAAAGATGTTTGATGATGACAATGGCAGAAAAACACAGATAATCAGGTCAATTCTCGGCAAATGATTCAGGAGTTACCTTCCAGAGTTAGGCAGGCTAGCATGGAGACCAAATCATATCCAAATGAAAACACAGTGGTCTCAAATTGATACACAAACAAAAGCTACACTAGAATCCCCAGCAATGCAGTTTCTTGAACCTCTGACCTCTCTGTAAAAGGGGGCTATAAGACATTGTGAGGGCCTTCCTATTCACCATATTTGACGGCCCGTACTTTTTTCTCTGAGGCTATTTGAAGGACCATTTTGTGCTAGACCCAAGCTAAGAGACCTAGAACAACTTAAGACCAGCATCCGAACAGAAATCAAAACATTCCACCAGATATATAAAATTAAATGTGATGAACAATGCAGTAGTAAGGATGCAGACTGTCATCGAAATATTAGGTATCATTGAATATGCGGTGTGAAAGGTAACGGGTTAAAGTATCAAAAAGGCAAAACTGAATTAAAAACTGTGTATAGGGGAAAAAACTTTCATCTTTTATCTACAAGACCATGCCAAAAATGTCTGAAAATATTGATTGGTTTTTCTATGGCGTTGATATACTTTTGGGTACATTTATTTGAGACACCCTATATGTATTTGTACTTCAGATGGGGTCAAGTGGAAGTGGGGAGGATGTAGTGATAATGTTATATTCGGGGAGCAAATCTCCGAACAGTTCCTAGACGCGTTGGAAACGACTAAAGATTCCAGGGCAACTGTAATAAGACACAACAACGCCGTTGGCAGATCGGTGAGTAAATTCAATCACGGACATTTATGGGGATGGGGATAGAGGTCCGGGATAGAGGTCCATGATTCAATCAAGTTTAGCATCTGCCCATTTTCAACTTTCTATCATGAAAAGCTATACGAAGTTGCCTATTCTAAGCGTATTATTTAAATTAGGTACACACTAGATGAAGCTCTCTTTTAGAAGCGACATCCTTGGTCCAAGGGTATTTCACTTCTTTCCGTAATTGAATAACTGAGTAATAAATTAAGTCCTTAGAATGAAGGATGAGAAACGAATGCAAAGTACGTTTTAATAATTATTGTTCTGAATTTGATTTTGCAGGCTGTTTATAAGACGCTCATAATGAGGTGTAAATGCCAGGGCGTATCGGGAGCATGCACCATGAAAACATGCTGGCGTCAACTATCAGAATTTCGTAAGGTCGGCGAATATTTAAAGAAGCGCTATAAGCGCTCCATAAAAGTAGAGTTCTTCGAGGGCGAACTTTCGAATGGTGCACGAACCGTACCGAAGATTGTACCCAGTAACGATATCAGTCGGGCTGATTTAGTGTACCTCGATAAATCGCCAGATTACTGCACGTTTAATGACACTCTGGGTAATAGGGGGACGGAAGGGAGGGAATGCCGTCGACCCAAAAAGGGCGACAATCCTTTTGACAAACATGCGAAAGGGAGTTGTAGACGTTTATGCTCCGCTTGCAACCTTGCTGTTGAGAAAAAACCAGTGGAAATAAGCGAAAGATGTAACTGTAAATTTCATTGGTGCTGTGAAGTCAAGTGTGATCAATGTGTTGAAAACGTTGAAAAATTGACGTGTGTCCGGAAAGAAAAAAAAGTACGGAAGGAACCAGAGTCTTGAATGATCCTAAAAAACAAGGAAATAAACACACCTATTTTCAGATGTTGGCCGATCATTAGCGACCTACATTACATCATGTATACGTATGTGTATAATCACGTATTTGTACTTTTCCAAATACAGAGCATTAAACTAAGCATTACGTTACCAAACACGGGTACACGTGATATTAAATCTGTTGTGGTTCCTAGCTAATCATACCGATTCTAAGTCCATGGACTATACAGTCATGGACTTAATGTCCATGATACAGTGGAGATTTTTGTACAGATTTTTTATTTATGATAACTGTATTCAACGTAAAAATTCGATAGAACTTTTATAGCAATATATCTAACTTAAGTTTATATACCTAACAGAGCTAGCCGTTCACACGTGTTCTGTTTTGCTTGAAGGCTTCTATATTATAATAGATCTGACGTACGCTTATTGCGCGTACTTTATCTAGTATGCAAGGAGGATTGGCTCCCAGAATGCAACACCGATATTCTGCAAAACAATCACCTAGCGATAGCTTTGTTGGAGAGTATCGGGTCATTCTCCATGCAGTCGTACAAATTATACAGACACGAATAGCAAATGACGCATGCGTGGAGATTAAAGAATATCGAGTTGGAACCCTGGCTTCCAATCCTCCTTGTCTAGTATGTTAATATAAAACGACACACGGCAGCCTTGGTTGCTCGACACTATTTACAAATGTATGAACTCAAGTATTTGTAAATTTCTATTAAATTTTGACAAAAAAAGTAAATGTTTTGTGATTGATTTGAATTAGTACTTTTACAATGAGTTCTTACAAGGACTGGACATGAGACCCGCCCTTTTCCTGAAGTCAATCCAAATGAATATAGGATAGGCTGATTTATCAAGAGTGCTATAATCATAGATCACGATAACAAAGCTTGTATTCGCGAATGCAACTTTCAGCTGTCGGCTACCGGATTAACCTGTTAATTTTCATAAATCAACTCGTCATTTTGAGGTTGATAAATAGTGAACAAACCGCTAGTCGACGAACAGTGATCAGTGATTCCATTTTTATACCATGGCTAACGGTCGATTATGATGATTAATCCGTTATTTAGGTCAGTTATTGAGTTTGACTCGATAGCTTGCAGCTACCACGGCCAGGTACTATTCATATTTTAATGAGGTCAACTTAGTAGCCTTTTGCCGAAAGTTGTATCCGCGAATGCAAGCTAAAACTAAACAGACCGATGGAACCAGTACAGTCCCAATACAAATTAAAGAACCATGTGTGGAAATTTCCGATTAAGCGACATCTTTATATGTAAATTATCCTTTTTATTGCAATACGAATTTCAGATTAATATAATAGAACATCAAGTACAAAATAGATGTGTGGAAGATACATCCTTATCATTCATTTCAACACATATGTAAGGTATTAATACCATTTAAGTAAAGGATTGTCAGTCCATAATTGAGAAACGCACAAGTACCACCTATATGCAGTCCTAAACACAGCCTAGAACGTTTAGGCTAGAGTTGTGAATAGTGAATCAAAACCATCATATGTTGAAATTGTTAAATCCTTGACTCACAGGAATTTCTGGAATCATGATAAAACGTGAGGTCATATGCCAAGCTATACGTCTAGTAAACGTTAGTCCGTGTAAGATTAGCCTGAAGTCCCAATACTTTTATTGTTTTGTAAAACCTCTGCTTGATAAAGTTGTAAACTTCATAATCGTACTTTAGCAGTTCTTTAATCATTTTCTCTGTATTTTTATTTGGAAACGAAGGCTTCACGTCTGGCTCGTTTATCTTTCCTGGAAAAAATATGTTACAAATTTAGCAAATCAGATTACTTTGATCATGCGATAGCGCCAATCCTTTACTCTATTTTAAAAATTAAATGCTACACCCCCTTCGTAAGTTTGGCAACCGTTTCAATCTTGATTTTATTCCTTAATATAATGGTTCGGATAACAAATTGGATGAATTTTCTTGACATATTAACCATCTTTCTCATTAACCTGAATTTCCGACCTCCTCAGGAACAAAATGAATTTCAACATATTGTTGATTAACTTACGTCTGCGTGATGCTCCCGTGAAATACGCTGGAATAAGTTTCTCCAGAGCTAACAAACTGACGTGGTACTCCTCTAGTAGACCAACGAACTTGTAGTGCCTTGCAATATTAGCTTTGGCTAGTTGGACACCAATGTGGGACATCTTGTCGTCTCTAAAAGAAGAAAGGTATTGTTTTATTGATCTGAACGTATCGCATGGGTATTTGACGCAACGACATTAGTTCGTGCATCCGTATATACGGATCTATATAATAAATACGATTTACTTACAAGCAAACATGATGCTGTCCACAAAATACACGCATGACCTCACGGAAATAGTTTCCACAAATCTGAATGTCGTTCTGCCACTTATACAGACACTCTTCAAACGTCTAAAACAGCAAATACAAAAACAATAACCTAAATTTTAGATAACTGATTACAGTAATTATAAATATTTCAAAATGTAGGCTATAATATATTTTTGAACATATATTGAGAAACAATTCATGGATAGATGTATACGACAGAGGTATATATTGGCTGCAAATTATAGTATGGATCTTCGTATAAGTTCATTATAAATAACTATTAATTAATAATTCTTGATCTGTAGAGTGTAATATTACATAAACCTGTGGTATTACCAGATTTTTTATTTGATCCAAATGGTAGCAATATTTAGATCCCTTTTTGCAAGTTCTTTGCTTGTAGTAATAAAGTGAGGCGACTCTACTGTAAGGCTCACGGGCGATGTTGACGTAGTTTGGATTACTGTAGTTGTAGCTAAAATAACGAGAAACATGAATTTATTGTGAAATTCACTTTTGGACCATTTAGTAACTTTATAGTTTTAAAATTTTCAGTAGCTTTAGTTCTAAAAACCCCTGTCGATACTCGATAGGATTTCTGTTTAGAATTATTTTGCTCAATATTAGAATTAAAAATCAAGCAAATTCTTTCGAAAATTCAAAATGGCCTCCATTTTTGTTGCAAATAGTTCACTTTTTCCCTCAACCATATGAGCCCAGTAACTACGGTACTTTTTTAAATTTCTAGGCTAATATAAACAACTGTATAAAAATTACCTGTTGAAATTAAGAAAGTAAACGTCGTGATATTTTACAACACGCGTTTCCTTAGATAAACTGTATAACTTGTCTATGTATTGCACGGTCTGAAATCATAGAAATACAAAATATTAAATGGTATGTTGCTATCACGTAAGACCATCATTTTGAAAGCTCATCCTAAATTAACCGCATCTTAGTTTGCATTAATGATATTTTACAGTGTTTAAAGTCTTGGGCAAATAGCAAAGATCGAAAATATCCTCACTTTGTTACCAATACGACAAGGTCCAAATAAAGGTATTGTGTTGTATAGAAGAGCAATATTAAAAATATTTGATTGTAATTTAGAATGAGAATCAAGCTTAAAAGCTTTTAGGTTATTCTCGCGTTGCACTTGGTAAACTTTCATCAACAGGAATTAGTTAAGTATGTACGTCCACGGAATCACATAACCTAGTCTTAATTCAAGAATGTGGACTACCCCCCCCCCCCCCCCTGTCTACTTCAGCAACATTAGGACTTGTAGCTTGACAGCACAAAAGTACATAGCCTAAATGCTTCCTCAAGCAGCATATGGACTTGTAGAGCAAAACGTTTCAAATTTGAGAGCAAACTTAGGACATGCATTATGCATCCCTCTTATACATTTACATTTTCACACTTGCCTTGTTATGGTTTCCTATAAGTTTCACACCCCTGCCTTCCTGATAGATAAATTTAAATCCATTCGACTCCGACAAACTTCGAAGATTTTTATTAAAACTTATCGAGCCACATTTTGGGAGACCATTGTAGAAAATAATGTTAGAGTCCGGGATGGACGGCTCGGGTTGAGCGACGAGTTCCTCGAAGAGGATTCTGGACGATATCAGCATATCTTCCTCTAAAATAAAAAGACGAGTGATATAACATACTAAAAAACTTTCCTAAGCTTTCAAATTCATTGTTTGATATGTCTATTACTGTCTATTCTGTCAATGTCTATTCGTGGATCTTCAGCTTATACGTAAATGTTCATACACACCGTGATACAATGTTTTGGGCGATGGATGATTCAGAAATATTTACGTTGATATCTATTGTTTGCCGGTTGATCTTCTGGTGATTATTCTTCGACCACTGAAAACTTTGCCAAATCGTTTGAAACAAGAATAATATGTGATAACTGAAAGATGAGATTGCTAGGCATGTTCTGATAGTGTATGTTAAAATATTAACACCTGTAAGGTATAGTAGAGTTTTAGAATCAAACAATGGATGAATCAAATCCTAACACAATCTTACCATTTGATCCTAGAGAAACATTGGAGTTGTTCATCAGTTGATAAATGATCAAAATCATCAATATCATGCAACATATCCAGATAATAAAATTGCGGACGTGACATCTCATTCTGAATGAAACGGTAAACTCCTATGTTAAATTCCAGCACTACTCCAGCCTGAACTCCTATTTCCATGTATTACTCATGTTATTCCAGTGGCTTTGCCGATTTTGTTTGCTTTCCATTTGATATAATACAATGAGTACATAAAGCTGCTGGCATATTTGATTAATGTACCGATACTCCTAAAATATTTATAATTTCAACTGTAATACCAGATTAGTTACCCGAATATTACCAAATACATGAACAGAACTTCTTCTATGTATATCTTCTACAAACTAGAATAAGACCAGTGGACAAAAATGTTTGACAAATAAGCACCGGGATTTGGACGGTTGCAGTAACTACTGTGTGGAGTTGCTTCAATCAAGAGTTTATAAGTAGTTTTTAAACCACCCTTTCAGCCAATCCGTTTGATTGCGCATATCTGAGGTTCAGCCGTGATGGAAGTCGTACACCTTTGGTACGATTCATCAATATCAGTCTACAAATATCCCAGGATGGATAGCAAGTTTTGAAGCAGCTCTTGAACCAGTTACTTGGGGCTCAGGCGAAGTCTAGTTACATATTAGAAACAAGTCTCGTCGAGATCAGTGAGTGGAATACTGTATGCAAAGAATGAATTCAAAGCCGAGATCCTCCCTTGTAAAGGTTGAGTTTAATTCTACCATTTTTCAACAAATTATGTCGTGTGGTCTTGAAATGCATTAAAATACTACATTGGCATCAAACATTTGGTCTCGCGCTTCGTTATCCCTATGGTAACAAAATACATAAATTTTCCGGAGCGAAATCTTAGTAATCAATTACAAACAATGTCAATTCAAAGCTGAATTTTCATATGCAATGTGAAAATTAAATTAAATTGATTTGTAGTTTTTACAATTGACGATAAACATGTACAGTAGATTAGAGGGAATCCAGCACATGCCTTAGAGTATGAACTTTCATATGGTTCTATTTCTGAGATGGTTGGATAAAGCATGAATGAGATATTTGCCAAGGGAGAATTTTTCGTGTCCACCCATCGAAACAAACATAACTAAAGATGAGAACTCATAAAAGATCAAAGAACCACATGATCCTATTTGCGATCAATAATTTATAGACTTTATATGTTTTAGCTCCAACAAATATAGTTGTATTTCAGGTGGATTTATTTAGTTTAGATTTGGTTTTGATTAGAAAAACATTTCATGGACATTTTTCAACGAACAGGATATGTCATTCATCCATCGACCTTAACATCCATATTCTTTTCTTCCTTCTTTCCTTCTCATGACGAACATTGCGCGCAAACCACACTTGTGTACATCAGGACATACTAGAATGGCTCCATTTGTCATGGGGACGGTGTAAATTAGCCATCACCATCGAGACGTTGTCATGTGGACGGTGTAAATTAGCCATCACTATCGAGAGGTTGTTACATAATGTATCCATTAGGGTACCCAATGTATATCTTTAAGATGACCCACGAGTCCCAATTTTCCGATTGTTTGATAAAATCTCTGTTTGATGAAATGGTAAACTTCATAGTCGTATTTTAACACTTCTTTAATGATCTTCTCAGTTTTTATGTCCGGAAATGCCTTCACGCCTTCTTCAGTCCTACCTGAAAGAAATTGTTCCAAACATAATCTATCATTATCTTGCTTCACGGTATCATATACTCTCTTAACCAAACTAAGTCAGGCAGGTGGCTTCCACTTTTGCTTTGTTATGAAAAGTAATTTTGCAATGGTCATTTTTACATGAAATCAGACACCATATGTTTGATTAATTATCATACCCTATCGTGCTAAACAACAATAAGCTACATTGATTGTTTCCAACGTTATCTAATCCCCTGGAATCTAATTGCTTAACTTACGGCTATATCTGCTTGCTGTTCCTGCGAAATATGTTGGGATAAGTTCCTCTAGAGCTAACATGCTAGCTTGGTATTCTTCATAAAGTCCTACGAACGTATAATACCTTGCAATATTAGCTTTGGCTAGTTGGACACCAATGTGGGACATCTTGTCGTCTCTAAAAGCAAGGCACTAGATAAGGGAAAACTGTTTAGATACATGTACCAGCACATGCATAAAAATTGAAGCTTTCAAATGAATAACAATTGTAAGGAAATATATCCTTAAGTCCCCACCAAATATGACAAGGATACAGTTTCGATTGACGCCCTTTATTCCAAAGTTGGACAATCTTTTGTCAAAATCCCAAAACCATGTTTATCTCTCTGGCCAATCAGAACGCAGTACGGGGCCATTATGGTCAACGCATTATCTCCAGGAAAAAGTGCTCGTAGAGATGATAAAATAATTTGTACTCTGAGACAGGAAAGATGCAAGCACGTCACAAAAATGCCTTTTCTGTAGTAATGTTGTCATGATTTTCACCGCTTTCCTCACCTGTTTTTCAATGTTTGATGCATGAATATGTTGCGTTTTGAGACAGAGTGAACCTCTTAAAAGGAAAAATTCATTCATGATTTTTAAAGATAACCAAAATAAATTAATTTCCTATTGGAAAATGACATGGGCGATATTATTTTCGACGTTATTCAAAATGAATGCATTTCCCTTCTTAGGTGAACACTTAACACTTTTAGTGATATGTAGAAAATAGAAATGACAAGGAATTATATGAGTCTAAGATACTTTAAAATTTAAACAATGCTAGCTACATGGGCTTTCATGAGTTTTACGTTGTCCAAGCTAGATCTGATTCTACCTTTATAATATCCCTAAAAACATGATTATGAAGTCCAGGTGTAAAAGGGTAGGAGGTCCTATTAATGTATGGTCCTACTCTCCATTGATTTATATGGTGACCTATTTCCCTTATTATCTTATACACAATCAGGGCCAGTAAGTTCCTTGAAAAGGGGACCATAATCTCCGAGTGACCATAATTTCACACAGGTGTAAACAACCTCACCTTAACAGAATTCTCGCTTATCATGTCACGATTGCACCCCCCCCCCCCGACTGAAACCCGATATTTTTGGGCGTGCGCACGCCCATATTATGGATGGGAACTGATAATTCAATCTTTAGCTATATCCAAATATATTGAAAACCGAAATTAAGAATCGGAACCTTGATAACATAAACTGGTTAGAACTTACAGGCAAACTTGATGGTGTCCACAAAATACACGCATACTTTCTCTGAAAAAGCTGCCACATATATGAGTTGCGTTATGCCACTTGGTCAGGCATTCTTCAAACGTCTGAAACAAGATGAACATATCTACTTTAACACTATTTGAACGAAAATGTGATAGTATTTAATATCAAAGAGTTCATTTTTTGTCTAGTTTTTGAGATAAATACAAATGAATATTTTTGGAGTTTTGACAAATCTTTATTTCTTTATTATTTTCTGTATAACAGTATTTTAGTATGTATGAATTCATAAGTTAATGGCATTACCAAGTCTTGCATTTCATATATGAATGCAGTGCAGAATCTATTTTCTCTTTTACATGTGAAACGGTGAAACGTGTAGGTTGCCTCTGCTCTATCGTAAGGTTCACGGGCAATGTTCACGTAAATTGGATTACTATAATTGTAGCTAGAATAATGAAAAGGAAGTATTAACTGTTTTAATTCGAACAAAGAATCAGTAATTAAGAAAAAATACAGTAAATACAGTTTTTTCTCATATGCAAGAAGGTAATTACCAGTTTCACAACCAGTAGTATCGTAGAAAGTTCATTTAACTTTAATGTTAATTTTAATGGTTCAATTTTCATATCACCCTTATGTATACGTATCTAATAGTTATGCAAATCAAAGCATGTCTAGTAAAAGAAAATAGTATCTGTCTAATACAAGAAGAGATATTTCTTTTTTCGTAATTTTATAACATGGGGCCTATGGGAAATCTCCTCGAACTAGAAGTCACATTTTCAAAAACAATTAAATTTTCAAAGTTGATAAACAATTTTCGAAACCATATTTCTAGATGTACTTTTACATGTAGATTTCAATTATGACATCACTTTGACAGAAATTCTGAATATTTCAAATCAAGATTATTTCTACTAGCATCTAGTCTATTGAAGTTATGCAACTCAACTATACCTCTTAAAATTCAAAAAGTAAACATCGTGATATTTCGCAAGAGGCGTTTCATTAGATAGTCTGAGCAACTCATTTGTGTAGTAATAGGGCTGAAATCATACCAAAACGATTGTAAGTAAATCATAGTACAAATCATGCATGTTTCCCGTCAATTTCAAAAACTGCATCCATATTTTCCATCATTTTCAAAAATTTCAAAAATTGCATCCATATTTTCCGTCATTTTCAAAAATTGCATCCATATTTTCCGTCATTTTCAAAAATTGATGTTGCCCTTCATGGATTTTCATCATATTGACTCATTATAAGTGGAAGTTGACTGTCAGTGTGTTAGATGACGTCGTGTGCTGGGTTTATATACCATTCGACGACAAAAATCTCTACATCATGACGTTATGTAAGCTTTATCAAAACCGTAACATTTACAGAGAGATCATTATAACATGTCATCTGCCATTTATACGATTCGAAAAGTTCATTATGTTCCACCCATGCCTAGTGTGTTTGTCATCTACAAACTAACCTCTTTTATAAGCTTCCTTCCCCTGCTTTCCTGATGGATAAATGTAAATCCATTTGGTATAGACAACGCTTTAAGGTTTGCAATAAACCAACTGGACCCACAAGTAGAGAGGCCATTGTACATAAGAATGTAAGGGTTTGGAGTGGATGGCTCGTGTTGAGTGATTAGTTCATCGATTTTAATCGATGATTCCAGAATGACTCTTTCAACATCTAAAATGCAAAGAAAGTTGCTCTTAATTTGGTCTAAGGAGCCACAAAGTCTGCTCCTTAACAGGATTTTCACACAAACCAAAATTAGGATTTATAATTTATAGATATCGTTGTTTTTAGACTATAAACTGCAATTCCTTTCAAAATGTTTTTAAACCAGGCCAGCACTAGATTCGTTTTGGGGGATAGGAAGTTGGCCATTTGAAGTTACTCAGGTTCAACTTGACTGTGGCCTAGTTCTAGACCTATATCCCAGTGATCAAATAATGCTAGATAGTAGACTAGCCAAATGGTTGAATTGTAAGAACGATCCTAAATCGATATACATCGTTTAATATATTGATCCCACAAGAAAGAACAAAATAGGACACAATTTCTAATCACCATTATTAAACATTTCTTGTTTGTGGACACATTGTTAAATTGTTATTTCTACATTCCAACATATTATTTTCCGTCTAATGAATCTTAATTTTGACGACTTGTATGATATTTTTGTTGTATCAATTTGAAATTAAAACTCTTTAATAATGAAGTCCTATCTATATTTTTTTCTTATCAATATCGAGATTGAAAATCTTACCGTTTTTATTAGTGCTATTCGTAAAGGTGCTGTAGTTCTTCCACAGTTGCAAAATCAAAAAAATTAAAGCCGAAGTCAAGCAGAAAAAAGTGATAATAAAAAGGCGAACTTGGAACTTTGCCATTGTCGAATGTCGATGCACGAAATACACTCATATGTTAAATTCCAGCACTGAATATTCCAGTATTCCATGTGCAACGTATATTCTTTTTAGTGCCCTTGATTTTACGCAGTGTTCCTGATTTAGTGATATTGCTTACTTTTACACCTATATAGTGCCAATAGTGTTCTCAGTCTCAGCATTCTATTCATGTTTTAACATTTTACAACTTTTAAACTGAGTGACCTACTGTTCTACGTGGTATAGCATGGTATTTTGTACCACGTCGATATTGAAGTTGGATTTCTTTTTCACCCTATTGTTGTCCACTTACAAATGATTTTAACTCAACGATAAATAAATATTGTTTTCAGAAATGTCTATTCAAATGATAGGCCTACTATGTATATTCGAAAAATGAAATCTGAACTCTTTTGTAGAGTGTCTCCCTAAAGAGTTTACAATTCCAAATACTAATACTCGATCAGGAACGGGTATGAAAATCGGAAAAGGGAGGGACCAGATGATACTTCATGCACAAATGGCGCCATTTAGAAAATAAAATTGAGGCCTATTTTTCCAAATGTTACATATTTTTTATTCAAAAAGTATATATTTTTATTTTTATGATATCTGTAATGTATTGTTGTGACACAAATTGAATTGCAAATACCAGTAGTCAAATAAATGATCCAGCGCCAACGAGGACTTGTACGATAGATGACAGGTCATTTTGGGATTTTTTGCTTTCCGGTGATTAACTTTGAAGTAAGAAGATTCGAAATTAATGTTTTCTTAAACTGACTGCGACCTGAAGCTGAGACTGAAGTTTTTAAGAATTTTGAAGTAACAGGCCCGTAGCCAGGATTTGCCAAGGGGGGTTCACTTTTTGAAAAATTCCAGAGGGGTTTCACTTGTGACAAATTTGGTCCAAAAATGGCCAAAATCACTTAAAAAGTCCTCAGAATGGTGAAAAACTGCATGATTTTGAAAGATTTATTGGCCAGGGGGATCATAGTACCCATCGACCCCCCCCCCCCGGCTACGGACCTGAGTAATATCCAAGGAGGATTGGAAGCCAGGGTTCCAACTCGATATTCTTTAATCTCCACGCATGCGTCATTTGCTATTCGTGTCTGTATAATTTGTACGACTGCGTGGAGAATGACCCGATACTCTCCAACAAAGCTATCGCTAGGTGATTGTTTTGCAGAATATCGGTGTTGCATTCTGGGAGCCAATCCTCCTTGAGTAATATCCCTTGAGTAATATCTAAATACAATCCAACCGACAGATTATTAGGCCATCTATCGACAGTCCTAGTGCGTAAATTCACGTGTAACTTTTTTGTTTTAAAGCCATTGATTTTAAAAGGTGGTGGTTCAAGAAAAAAATGTTGAATAAATTTCTATACCAGCCCAGACTATTTTCTGGTGCAGAATAAAGAAAGAATGCATGAGTGCATTACATTGCTTTTTCAGGAACTTATCATTACATTGTCTTCCTTTGTATGTTTTGGTAAATCTGGTAAGAAGTCAATGGTAGCTTTTTCAATTTTCATAACTTCTTCCCAAAGTTTCTCAACAACACCGGGTTGTCTTCAATTTTAATTCATATAAAACACAAGATGCAACAAGGATGCTTTCCAGAAAAAAGGGAAGTACACCCATGTCTTCATGTTTTATTTTGTTCCAGAAAATAAAATGTGCAGATATAATTTTTCCAAAAATGTTTTTATGAAGGTGAGCCTAAAGAAACCACCAGGCCATGGACATGATCAAATGAAATTGCTCTACAGAACACGCATCAGTGTAATTATCAATGACGATGCAGTCATTAGTACGGTAGAAGACAGAAAGGTGGCGCTGTTACAATAGTCATCATTGCAATAGCAAATCTCGGAGACAACCCTCTGATCAACAATTTCATGTGTCCACATACACCTCACGTCGTAGGGTGCGTCGCCACACATTCTCTTATATGTAACTGAAAACAATCATAACATCACAACAAGACATTAAAATGCCACTACCTGTCATTTACTACAGACGCCGAACACCTACCGCCGAACACCGTCCACAAAAAAACTATAAAAAGAAGCGGTGACATAAAAACAAAATATTACAGATACATTTATGATCTAGGATCATGAAATAAAGAATGTGTTTTTGTAGATATATATTCTTACCTCCATTTCCAGCATCAAACTTTAGTTTGACACATCCGAACTCACAATTATCTATATTGGCTTTGTCGTCATTGCTTAATGGACCACAATTAGGATCTGAACACACGTAGCATTTATTGCAGTTTCCTGAAAGAACGGAGCATTCTAGATTAGCTAGTATTACATACCTAGCGAAGCATTTGCATGGCTGAAGTCAATGGAGCTGAAGGTCGGCTATATATTCCTGTATTCCTCGCAAGCTCGGACTTTATTGATGATAAACCTCAGGTATATATTCAATGATAGAGACATAATTAGCAGTTACGTCCCTATCATTGAATATATGCCTGAGGTCTTCATTAAGACTGTTTACCATGACAATCTTATGACGTCATGTTTCATTTCTCCCAAATTCCACTCGCACACAGACGTGTACGTCATTGATATAAAGTAGCCATGGAAATAAAGGTATGTAGTACAACAATTATGTCCGTATCATTGAATATATGCCTTCGGTCTGTCGTAATAGTCCTATAGCCCTCACAAGCTCGGGCTATATTGATGACAGACAGCATATATTCAATGATAGGGACGTGGACATAGTGGCTAAGTAGAAAATGGGCGGAAAAATGGGAATGAATTCCGAGTAAATCTCAACTCACGTAGAATAAAATATGTTCTTAAATGCCTACGATTGAACATCATTTTTAACTCAATATACTTACCGATTGATAAAGCTCCAAATAGGATACCTAAAGCCAAAAGGAGCGTATTGGTTGTCATAATTGTACGAGTCTGACCCCTGTATTTTGTTTTCAAAGCTCCTACTGAACTGTTTTACCTCTCCAATGGTTTTGCCTCAGGAATAATTGTCAGTTTCCAAACTCTTGGCCTGTACTATAGAAACATTTGTGATTAATCAATTGTTTTACTAACTTATTGTTTCGTCATAGGGAAAACATTTGTGGAAGCTAATCTAATATTGCAGGCAGCCAAGATATTGATATATGTGCAGTGGTTGCAGTTTTTTTTGCCTGGAATTTGTACTTTATTATTGATTCTCTTTTTCGGATTCCGTCCGAGCAATGTCACAAAGTTGTCGGATGTCATTTGGATAAATTGCAGACACCAAGAAAGGTTGATGATCTTAATACAATAATAAAATTAATTTCTAGACCACCTAGATTAAATATATCTTTTAAAAATTGATTAAAATTAATATATAATATGTGGTTTAAATATTTTTGAACTATAATGAAATGCGGATTGAGTACTCCTGTTTTTGGTCGGGCAGGTTTATAAAACACTGGAAATAACGTGACCCGTTTTGCCCCTGTCGCCCATATTCTTTAGTTATACCCCACGGTGTCCAACCCAAACGCTCTTACATGTATGACGGAGCGTTTCAATCACGCAGACACGCTGCGAAGCGAAATAAAATGGCGGCTAATGAAGATCCCACTATGACCGTAAGTATTGTTTCACTCGTTTCTCTTACATATCATATATTATGGTGTCATATTATGTACCATTCGATGGACAATACCCTGAGCAAAGATCTTATGTATTCGGCTTCTGGTGGTAAACTGTTATTTGCTTGATCAAAGCTCCGTAGTGTGGATCGAACGAATCTGAAGTTGACGAATTGACCACAAATTACGAATTAAACTAGTATTTATATGAAAACGTCAACCTTTCTGTCAAAGTAGTAGATCACAAACTTGTATTCTCATTTTCTAAAATCCCAGTCAAAATCCATTACTTTTTCTCGAGAAATCGATTGTTTTCCTCGAAACGCTCCGTCGATTTAGGACACGATTTTAGAATCGCTTTTACCATTTTTTTAAAATATTATTTTCAAATTATTAAAGAAGAGTTCGGAATCGAATCTATCTCTCAAAAACGGGTTGTACTTGTTAAGCAGAGTGAAATGAAACATCTTTCCGAACTTCATTGGAACAAAACGACATAAACACAACATGTTTAGGTCTCTCAATATTGTAATTGTACAGAGGAAATTTTGGTTGATTTTAAAAAGTATCTTGTTAATGAAATAAAAGGTTTATCTTGATTTTTACCTATTTGGGGGGGATTTTGTTAAAATCAACCAAAGATTCCTTTGTATAACTATAATATTGTGAGATCTAAAAATATGTTGCATATTTATTTCATTCTCAAGAATTGGTAGAAAGGAGCAAAAACAATTGCACTAAAGAAACAAAATTTTTTAACAAAAACAGTTATATAAAATATTTCTTAATAATTTTCGCATTAAATTGTCGTCAATCAGTCAACATTACATAAAATACCGTGTTTTTTACAGAATGTTTTCAATGATTGGTTTAAGAGAAAAACATTGTTGAAATCAGTTCTCCATATCGATACCACTCCTTTGACCAAAATGTACGCTGGGGCTCTAATCTTGGCTCAACTAATCACATGTCTCGACAAAAGGTGTTTTGACCAGTAGAATGACAAATACGTTTATAAATTTTGATAACTATACTGCTTCGTACAGCTCTTCCTAATTGCTTCAAACGTCAATAGCCAGCCAAGTACAAAATGAATATCACACCTATCGAATGGTATACTCGAAATAAGTAACTCATATCTCTTATTCCCATTTTTGGGGAAATCGTCAGTTTTCCTATTCCGGAGCGTTTCTTTGTTTAGTTTCAGTAATGAAACGCTCCGTCGTGCATGTAAGAGCGTTTGGGTTGGACACCGTGTATTCGTAGGCCTAATTAATTTACGCATTTCAAATATGATTTAAAGTTTTAGAGCGAAGTTAGAGGCTGGTTAGTCGACAAAGTACCATTAGCTCGGTTGGACCTTTTGACATAATTTAATCCTCCTATTTGAAAATGTCATCTCCTATTTATTGAAAATGTCAATCGATCATCAATGATTGGATTATTCAATTTATTTTGAGATATTTAATCCATTTAAGAGTGTTTATATTACGTTTTTAATTAAACATATATTTCAAAAGTATAATACAAATAGTGGAACAAATATTAAAACGAAAATATGCGTTTTCCTTTTCGTCCTAGACGCATTTTGTTTCTTGGATATGTACATTTCTCAAGAGTCTTGATATGTATTTAAAATGTTATAATAGCTGATAGAAGGCAGTCATGATAAGGCCCACAGTAATCAGGAATGTTGATGTTGTTCTATAGGTGGCGCTGTTGCATAGGTTCCCTTCACAATAGCACGTTGTAATTTTGGCCCCAGTGCCTAGGACAAAGCCCCCACTCTCCGTGCATTTGGTATCTCTAGACTCTGTGGCACATGCTCGTACGTAAGAAAATCCTGATGCTGAAAATGAAAACAAGAAAAATAAAACGGAGCACATGATAGTGACACGAAGGGTGTAACAATAACTTTATTCTTGAAGCACTTAGAAACGTAAATGATTTGGATGACCTTAAGTACAAAAGATTCATAAAGATGAAAGAGATGTAACCAAGAATAAATAAAGTAAACTCCAAATGTGGGAATCGAACCTGGGACATCTTAATACATGAAAGCTCTAACGCCGAGTGAGCTCAAAAAGGTTTCCACTCATTCCAAATCAGTTTTGTCTACCTTCAACACATATAGGCATAAAAATGTTTTCGCGTCCTTGCTCAAATCAAACAAGAATCAAGAGAGTACATACATATAATAACGAAATCCCATAATATATCTTGGTCATCCCTTCACTAAACTGTGAGAAGATTGGTTAAGAAAACATCTTAGAAAAATTGCTATACCTGCACATGTTATTTTCTGATGCAAAATAAAGTATGAAGGCATTTGTGTGTTTCCTTGCTTTTTTCAGGAAGGTATCCTGGTCTTCTTTTAGTAAACCTCGTAACAGGTCAACGGCAAACCCAGAAGATTCTGATATTTCAAGAAGAATCATTCAAATTGGCCGTCTTTCCAATTTTCCAAAGGATCCGTTACCCAATCTACCTAAAGATGCCCCCAAAGGTTTCATTGAAAATAACATGGAAATAGATACTTTTATCGATTATGAACATATCCAAAATGAAATTAGGTCATTGGGATTAAAACTAAGGTCATTCAGTGCATTTAAGTTTGACTATGCAAATCATTCTAAATATCATTTTAGGGGTACTTTAGTCTTCACTCATGACTATTTTAAGCATGTTGACTATTCAATCAATCGATATATCTAAACCTCATTGAGGTGGGACACAGAGGGCAACATATTGAAAACAGAAATCATAAAATAACCCCTAAAACGTAATATATCGATGAATCTTAATAAAGGTGTTCTTAGCAATGGTACCATGATCACCTCAGTTAGTATACAGTAGGTTTAACCTAGGTATTCAATTTAGAGGATATATTCAAACATCAGTTTTAAAGGTAGGATGCAAGGCAACTTATTGAGAACACAAAAGCTAGGTATTCAATTCAAATGTTACAAATCTAGTTGTGACTTTCCAATATATGAAATATTTATGTGGCATTTTCAAAGAATATTAATAAAAGGTGATTGACTCTCTAATCTTATTAGCATTGTTTTTCAAAATAACTAATTTGCATAAAATAAGCAGGTGATGGTCTCAGCTGCAACTTATACAGTGATAGTCTTGGATATAAACTTTTGAAGCTTAAAGCCTTTTAAAAGACTCATCGTTGCTATCAAACAAGGGGAGGAATTTTTTAACCTATCAATTGTGTAAGTTACATAATCATTATGAAATAAAATATTTTAGTGTGACTAAGGATGACAACTATCTTACAAGCACTGTCCCTTTAATGACTAAATGGATACTGATTCAGTCTCTCAGCAATTATCATCTTTCGTGGCAGGCGTCAAAAATAGATTGACCCTTTTGTTTCTTTTGGTGAGAACTACCTTACAAGCAGTGTCCCTTTAAATGGCTAAATGTAAATTGATTCAGTCCCTCAGCAATATATCATATTTAGGTGCATGCATGAATGATGGATCAAAAATAGATTGACCGCATAAGTTTCTTTAGATGAGAACTTCCTTACAAGCTGCCAGTGTCCCTTTAAATGGGTAACTGGATAATGATTCAGTCCCTTGGGAATATACCTTCAGGGGCAGACATAACTGATGAATCAAAAATAGATTGACCCTTTTGATTCTTTGTTAATATTTGAAAAAAAAATTTTGTGTTCATGAGGATGAGAACTACAGGGTGGTCAAAAAACGGCAACCCTAATTTTTCCTCATATCTTTGTCATTTTTGGAAATTTTGCCCTGATATTTGGCACTCATGTACATCATTCAATTTCATACTAGACTGTGTTATTTCATGATCATTGGACTTAGTCTAACTGATAGTCGCAATGTTACAGCACTTTAATGCCTGGGTCACATTTGCTCCGATCCATCGGCCGGCGCCCGGCCGATTGAGTGTTTTGTTCAATATTGTATTCAATTTTGAACAAAATACTCAATCGGCCGGGCGCCGTAGTGAAAATCGGAGCAAATGTGACCAAGCCATAAACAAGGTGCCCCAGTTTTCCAATATCGTGCTGTAGGCAAACCTGCACATGTTTTCCAAAACTGTCAATGACATAACAGCATTCCTCAGCAAGTATGGCCTGAATGACACATGTGATCTTTATTTTGAGGTCAAATGTCTTTCTGGTGTTTCTACCCTACACTGTATCTTTGGGGTATCCCCACTGGTAAAGATTAAGTGGGGCCATATCTGGGCTATGGGGTGCCCATTCATTGTCTGTTGAACTGCTGATAAGGTGGTCATTGAAGTGGTCCCAAAGCCATTATTGTGCATCATTTGATGTATGGGGTATAGTTCTGTCTTGTTGGAACCACTGTTGCTGCCTTTCAACCCCCTGGGTTCACCTAAAGTCCCCAGGAATTCCATGGGAATCACAAAATAGAGTTTGATGTTGACAGTTATTGCACATCTGTTAGCATTATCAAAGGTAAAGGACCCTATCTTCTGAGAACACACTATACTGTGCATCTGTCTGTGTGAAGGTGCCTCTCCACTACTTCATAAAGTGTTTGGCTCCCCAAGAATACATTATTGTTAGAGTTTACCAGTGCATCAAGTTGGAAATGGAGTTCATTTGGATAACAGACCAGCTCAGACAGTCCGAAAGTGGCCATCTGGGGTATGTTGCTTAAAATGCAGTAATATTGTTACTATCAGTCCGATGGTCATGAAATATGGTCGCTTAGTAGGAAATTGAATGATGTACACATGTGTAAAATATCAGGGAGTTATTCCTTAGAATGACAAAGATATTAGGAAAAACTAGGGTTGCCGTTTTTTTGACCACCCTGTACCTTAAAAGCAGTGTCCCTTTAATGACTAAATGAATATTAATTCAGTCCCTCTACAATGTATATCATCTTCAGAGGCAGGTATGACTGATAAATCAAAACTAGACTGACCCAACTGATTCTTGCTTGATAGTTTGTAGCCTTGGTGACAGGTAGATCCAATATGGCCTCCTTGTTCAAACTAAAATTTATGGTATACTTCCACATTGTGTATCTTCCGCAGACAGGACCCTCTCTCATTTCATGTTTGAATTATGCAATAATGTCAATACTAAATAATAAAGGTAAAATCAGAGGGGGTCTGACCTGCGGAAGCACCTCAATCTGTCAGTGACTGGAGAAGGTCATTCATTGTTAAAAACAAGAACACAATAGGGTGCCTTTCAAAACAATAGGATTACAAAGTATTTATGCATGACTGATCAGCAGATTTAAGTGTATCTACAAAAATGTATCTACAAAAATCAAGAAATTATTCAAATTTTTGTCAAAATATGTGAAAATTACTCATTCTAAGAGTCAGGATGACATGTGTTAAGAATCACTGTAAAAAACAACTTTTTACCATATTTTAGATATTATTTTTGTGATTTGTTGAAAATATACTTCATAAAGAATCATATTATATAAAAATAATTCTGGAATTCAATTTTACCCTTTTCAATAATTTTCTAAGTCCTTATAGGTACACTAATGGGTACGGATCCTTTCTTCTCCAAGTTTCTCAATGACACTGGATTTCCATTGACCACTAGGTCTACTAAAAGAAGACAATGTTATGATATTTCCCTGAAAAAAAGCAATGGAATAGACACATTCATAGTTTATTTTGTACCAGAAAATAACATTAGTCTATATCAAATAGACTGAATTTCCTGAGAATATTTTCATTCCAAATTTCAAAAAAATTTCAGACTAGAGGATATAGTCTAAAAATAACATGGGCAGGTATAGCATTTTTTCAAAAATGTTTTCTGGAAAGAATAACCTTATTAGTAATAGTATGCATTGCTATCATACCTCCAAAGACTTGAGTCTCGGTCTTTACTTTAGAGCAGCCATACGCACACTCAGCTTGTTTGTCAGTATCACCCACGCCAAAGCTGAATGCGTCTGTACACTCACTTTTCCCTAATAAATCGTCGCACTTATAGCACTTATCTCCACTTACTGAAAGCAAATAATTTTCATAGATTAGTAAATTTTAAAGAAAAACTTTATGCACACTTTACCATGCCCATTTTCATATAGGCCTTCTCTGCCACATCTAAAAAAGAATCGTTTTACATACATAACGTTTACATTTTGGGATTATTTGTAACTGGGTAAAATGCAAAAGTGTCATCTTGTATTTTGATGCTTTTCTCGCATGCTATTTTCGAAGATTATCAAGAGCCATCAGGTTTACTGCACATAAAATGATATTATACAATGTAACTAAAAGTTTTACTTACCAACAATAACTGCTGCATAGAGAATAAATGCTGAAACGATAAGGTTATTCATTTTGTTGATAATGTGTCAGGAGGAATGTATATCATGTATATCCTTGCAATGTACTGTTCAGCTTTAGGCGCGTTCACTTTGTGTGAGTTCGTGAGTGGTATCAAATAGATTTAGGCCCCTTGGTATTCCAACATATCGTGTGCTGGGCTCCAATAATACAAGTGTTTGAAAATAAATTATGAGTTTTGGTATGCTTTCGTCTGCACGACGACAGTAATGATAAGTTGGAAAGAAATTAATTTCAACGATTTTTAACATGTTGATCGCCTGGGTCACCGGCTCTGTAAAATGAAAAAGGAAATATGCTGTAGATATCCTGCTGGGAAAAACTTAAATGCTTCATATAATTGTAAAGATTGTCTCTTAAAACCACTTACATGCTGGCAGTTAACATTCATGTAAAGAGACGCAAAATATGATGTTGTCACAACCATAAAACCCCCAATATATCTAAACAGAGCTAGGGTTGACCTAATCATTGAACTCACAATTAAATGCCCATAACTGGACGGTCCAATGTAGATTCTCCAAATTATACTTGTGGCTCCCCAGAAACTTTTAAAGACATCTTTTTCAACAGTCCCTTATAGAAAACAAAATAGTAAACGATTTATCAATGAAGTAGAACTTATAGGTTTAGACATATCAACATACAAAACTCAGCAGGACAATATCAACTTATTCCTTTTTGGCGATTCAAACTTGACATCATTTCAATCAGAACTTTTATTTCAACTCACTTCAATATTTCAACGTTTGACTTGCAAATATACCTCAGACCCTTCTTTTTCCCACCCCATCCTATGATTAGCAGCAGCAACCCCATCCCTTTCTTTAACAGAATTATTGTATTCAACAGATCTTTATTTTATATTTGTCCAAATTTTTAGCTAATTGAATTTTGCATACATGCTATCTATTATATATTTTTATATGGGGACATGAAATGCCTGAAGTCGATTTGCCCCAACCCTGACAATTCATTGTATTTTTGTTTGTATTTATGAAATAAACCTATTGATTAAAAAATGAGGAAGCCATTCTAATTTTCAATCACACGCAAGTTCTTCAAAACCATGATTGCTAGAGCACCGTGCATTTTTAGCAAGACTTCATTAATTTCTGTTATTGCGACCCCATGAAAAATATAATTACTCTTTTATCATACTTATATAAACACTTCTGCTAGAAACATACATGGACATCCTTAACACACTTTCTGTAACTTTCTGTACGCTTGCCATGAACCTAATCTTATTGCTTATTGTTTACACATAAAATACCTAATTTTAAAAGTTGATATAGTCGGGATCTCACACACGGTACGATAGTCTAGCCAATGTCTTATATGCTGTGCATTCCTGTTCATGTTGATTTGAGTTTTGTGCTGGTCAAGTTAATGCTAATTTCCCTGATATTGGCCTATTTTGCTGGTGACCAAGGTCAGGTCAATTACCTCTCCTAAAGTGATCATTATGCTTAAGTCTGGACCCCACCATTGGACAAGAGTGTAAAACCAGTCAAGAATGAAAAGGCATGAGGTGAAATCTGGAAATAGTGACATTACAATTGCGAATGTCCATGTCTATGTCTAGAATGTCAGTTACTCCCATAGAGTACTCGCTTATCTTGGAAATTCAAGATGAACCTGCTGAGTTCCTTGAAATAACATTTACATAGTATACATGTATAGGGCATCTAAATAAACGAAAATAATGCCTGCTAGCCTAATAAATTTGAACTTCAATCCTCCGTATTAAGCAGATGTCGGTAATCAAAGGAACGAGAAGTGGATTACAAATAACTTTGTTTTGCTCTTATATTTCATGTTATGGACTTAACATTTGCCTTGTCTCTTTTAATGGCTTTAATTTTCCACTCCCCCAGAATCATGAACATGTCTCTTTCCTGAAAGGTCCAACAGTTCTGACTTTAATAAAAGATAATTCAAATGGAATTGCTTGTTGGATCAAAGATTTAAGTGACTCTTGCAATACATTTCCATGTATCCTAGACCTACCAACACCCACGATGCCATCTATTTTTCTATTTATACAGTCCGTCTAAAAAGGCAACAAACAGAAACATTGTAATACCACAAATCTAGTGATAATTAGACTCCAGATGAAATCTGGAGTCTATTGCTTTTGCCAGTTTTCTTTTTTATTATTATTCTTTCAGAATCTTCCTCCTTCCCAGATTTCTCACCAACTAGAAGAGTTTACTTTAAGCTGCTTTCATGATCAACTAGGGAAAGTACCTGGGATGATGGGAAATTAGGTCAAATTTTTATCTAGGTCAAAGGTCAAGAACTAGGTCAAATCAAGGTCAAATCAACATTCTGTCAATTATCTTCGTTGTTGTTTGTCGTTACTACTTCATCTTAGATTCAACATGTAGCTTAGAAAAAAACAAATCGAGAATGTGCAGTGCCATCTGTTTTTTGATTACTCTTAGCGATTTTGAGATATGGCGTCCTGAAAGTAGGTCAAAACCAAAAAGTTCTCCAAGTTTAACATATGAGCTATGAAATAAGGGTAAAACTTTCTCAGGAATCCGAATCTGCAAATCAAATTTTGATCCGACTTCCCGTTCGGAAGTTATGGTGTTTTGAAAGCTCAAAAATCGCTAAATTTCAAATTTGGTGCCCATGTTAAGTCAATGGGAAAAAATATTTTTTTGAAATGAAAAATACGAAATATAGACTGAGTTCAGCTAAATATAATGAAAGCTTTTAAAAGGAGGGGACCTCAAAAGCCATCTAGCTTGAAAATTTGGACACCAAAATGCCTAGGTCAAAATCTAGGTCAAATTCAAAATTTTTCTTTATTTTTGCGATTCTGACACTACACTTTAATTATATTCTTCGAAATTTTGTATATATGTAGCCAAGAGTGTGCTAATAGTGTTAGCCTTTTGCCGTCAAAAAGTATTTTGACCCACTTTTGAGATATGGTGTCCCAAAAGTAGGTCAAAATTTCTTCAAATTTAACGTATGAGTTATGAATTAAGGGTAGAATTTTATCAGGAATCCGAATCTGCAAACCAAATTTCGATTCGACTTCCTGTTTGGAAGTTATGGTGTTTTGAAAGCTCAAAAATCACTAAATTTGCTGCCCCATGTTATGTCAATGGGAAAAAAGATTTTTTTGAAGTGTAAAATACGCGATATAGACTGAGTACAGCTTAATATAATGAAAGCCTATTAAAGAAGGGGACCTCGAACGCTACTTAGCTTCAAAATTTGGACACCAAAATCCCTAGGTTAAAATCTAGGTCAAATTCATAGTTTTTCCTTATTTTTGCGATTCTGACACTATATTCAAATGATTTGCTTTAAAATTTTGTATACAGGTAGCAAAGAGTATGCCTTTTGCCGTCAGAAAGTATTTTGACCCACTTTTGAGATATGGTGTCCGAAATTTTTTCTCAGGAATCCAAATCTGCAAACCAAATTTCGATCCGACTTCTTGTTCTGAAGTTATGGCGTTTTGAAATCTCAAAAATCGCTAAATTTGGTGCCCCATGTTAAATCAATGGGACCGAATAATTTTTTGAAGTGTAAAAATACGAGATATAGAATGAGTACAGCTAAACATAATGAAAGCCCATAAAAGAAGGGGACCTCAAAAGCTACGTTCCTTCAAAATTTGGACACCAAAATACCAAGATCAAAATCTAGGTCAAATTCTTAGTTTTTTCTTATTTTTGCAATTCGGACACTACACTTCAATGATATTCTTCGAAATTTTGTATACATGTAGCAAAGAGTGTGCTTATAATGTTAACTTTTTGCCGTCAATAAGTTTTTTGACCCACTTTTGAGATATGGTGATCGAAATGTAGGTCAAAATAAAAAGTTCTCCAAATTTAACGTATGAGTTATGAATTAGGGGTAGAATTTCCTAAGGAATCCGGATCTGAAATTAAACTTCCAATCCGACCCCCGTTAAGATTCTAAGCCATTTTGAAGTTTGAAATTCGCACTTGCCAGTATTCACGATGCAGATTGATCAAATAAACTTTCAAAAATTCCTACATACCCTACTTTACCTCCCTACCTACTCAGCTACTTATTTGACTACTTACTCAATTGCTTAATTAGTTATTACTTACTTAGCTACTTACTCAGCTACTAACTCAGGTACTTACTCAGCTACCAACTCAGCTTTTACCCAGTTACTTACTCAGCTACTTACTCAACTACTACTAAGGTACTTACTCAGCTAATTACTCAGTTACTTACCCAGCTCTTTACTGATCTATCTAGGTCAAATAAATCTGGAGTCTTAAATTGTACTTGTTCAATTTCACAAATCTAGTTACATCTATTCCAACTGATTTACAATAAAGCCACACGCCTCCTCTTTCCAATGATATGTCATTTGTTCATATGACCATGGACCACTGAATAATCATTGTTTCTTCGCACATTGGTGAAATGCCCTTGTGCCAAGTTTGAACATCCTAATTCAACTGATCCTTATTATGCAATCAGGTCAATCATTGTGCAATTGGGGATGGGGATTAACTTTTGATGACAAGACTTACATGACATACATATCAGACTTATATCTACTAAGAAAAACGATTTCACTTAATGTATTTATCGGTATCCATGATAGTTTAGCTAACAGCACATCACACATGGAAAAAAGAAGTGGCATTATTAAGTCAGTTAAAGTTTTTTCGTTATCTTATGAATGATTACTCATGCAATCTATATTCCACGTCCATCATTTCTCTGCAAGTAGATATTGGCTCACCTTTTCATGTCACGCAAAGCTTTTTGAATCATTTGTGGGTTCTGGCAGAGATCAGCAGCCTCATTGAGATTGGTGATTCTCTGTCGTAGTGAACAATGTTTTAGATTTGGTCCAGAGCAGATTTTGGACCATTGTGCAAAAGGAATGATTATTCGGTGGTCCATGGTCATATATGAATAAATGACTTATATGGCTTATATTGTCGTCTTAGCCAATGTTATCAAAATGTGATCTGTTTTTTATTTCAAAAAGTGATTTTTGAAGAACATTTTGCTCGAAAAATAATGAATTTATTCAAAACTAAATTTAAGAGGTATATCTTTTAATAAGCAATAATTCATATCAATGCATAACATTCATCCTCGCATATTTTTTGTCGAAAAAAATTATAAGATTCAGAGGCGTAGCTAGCCCATTTTGCGAGTGTACGCCCGTATGATTTCCCGGTTTTATCAAAATTAACAAAACGATGGTTCCATAAAATAGGAAGATCCCGGGTGTTCAGAAGATAGAGGACACACTTAACACTCTTAATTCAATGAAGGAAATATGTATTGTTTGATCATTTTGATCATTTTTAAAGGGATTGAATTAACTGTATTAACAGATAATGAAATATTATTATTTTTCTGTGTTTGTTTTTATCTAGCTCACAAGATGATTAACAATAAAAGAACAGTTACACGACCGTCTCAACTCCATTTCGGATCTTAACAACCTTTTTTTGCATTTGCGAACATGTCAATAACAGTATCAATGTTTATATCCTGATCCCTTTGGATATGTATCATGGCCAAGGAAAAAGTCTTTCCTCGTTCATTGTGGAACGCAAGTATGACTTAATGCGTTTCAAACTGCTAAAAACTCAACTGAAACGAAATAAAATTCTCTAATTATCAGTAGCTAACTGATTCAAAACAAAGAAAATGAAATAATCGAGAACTTTTTTATTTATTAACACGAGTCTTCATAGATCTCCTATCGATTTCTATCTCTTGGTGAAATATTTATTTTTCATCACAATTAATCAGGTAAATTTTATTTTTCCTTAAAATTTGAGAGTACGCATGGGCGTACTTGGCGTACACGTAGCTACGCCACTGAGATTGGTTGATAAATTAGCAAGAAATCAATTTATTCATGCATGACAGTGGTTCAAAAAATGCATTTTAAAATGTTAGCGCTCATAGTACCAATGGTACAATTATATCTAAAACATAATATATTTTTCTATTCAACCTAGTTAGACAATAAACATTTTTTTATTTCGAAAGATTAGCATATTTAGAAGATTGGTATAGAAAAAATTAAAAAAATTAGTACCGTGGGTACTGGGCTCACATGGCGTTGCTCAAAAGTGAAAATAAAAAAAACGGATATATTTTTTTTCAGATTTTTTGTGACAAAATTATTTCATACAACTACTCTTTACAAAGACATGGCTTTTTACAATGCAGGACACCTGAGCTTATTTGTAA